ATTTTAAGGTTCTAAATTTTATCTCAAACATTTTATTTATCAAAAGTCTAAAAAAAGAAAGGATTTATCACACAAAGCAAAATTCATGTTGTCAACAGTTTTTTTTTTTGTGCTCCTACTTTACATTTTTTTCTCATTTCACGCTTATTAGGTTAATTAATTTTTATTCAAATATACAATTTTTTAATGAAATTATCATTTATGATTAATTTGATATTAATATTTTTTCTATATTATATTTTATTCTCGAGAGCATTAAATGGTAATGATAAAATCATGAAGATTTAAAATAGAATAAAAAAAAATCTATTAGCATATATGTATATAGGAAAATATTGATTTAAAGGCGCAAAAGAATGTCGGTGTTTCTTTAAAATGTGCCTCATTATTATTAAGCAGGTACACTTCCTTCTACGTTTTTAGTGCAGCTGCGAATCGAATTACGCTCGTTTGCGCGCCACGTTTCATCAAGTTTATAATCATAAGAGCACACCGTGACATACGCGAGTACACACTCGGGTACAATCTGTCACTCGAAGCAGCTCAAAACCCATCAAGGAAATTAATAAATTCTGATAAGTAATCACCAGGTCTAACGTATACATACATATATATATATATTCTCAACATATTCGCTCGATAAGTGCGCGCCCCCACATTTTTTTTTATATATTTTTTTTTAATCGCATATTGAGGCACGTGTACTCGATCAAAAACTACCTCGCTTCTGTAATCTTCTCATTCATCATCTTTCAATGTAAAATGGTCCAAAAAACCAATTTTTTTTTTTAGTTTGAAAAATTTATATAAAATAGAATTTATATTAATCTTCGATTGAAAATTCAATACTTTATATTTATTAAATGAATAATTTTTATCTAATTTATTAAATTAAATTTTTTTATTTAAATTTGTTTCAATTTAAAAGATAATTTTAAACGAAAAAATCGCGCAAAAATATTGCAGCGATACACGCGGTAATTTTAATTTTTTTTTTTAATTTAAATTTTGAAATTATAAATAATTGTTCTCAAAAATCATTTTGCTTATAAATTATTAATTTGAAAAATTTTAAATCTAACCTTGAATTCCATTTGCTCGATCTTCATTTCCCAACAGCATTCTGAAGAGATTTTCCATTTGAAGAAAAAAATGAAATCACTCACACGCGGTTTTAAGAATTTCGAACACTCCCGAAAAAACTTATATTACATATTTAAATACTTTTTATTGAACGAACGCGGTTTTAAGAAAATTCGAACACTCCCGAAAATAATTTTTTAACAAAAAAGAGAAAGAAATATAAAACTTGTTAAGAGAACGATTCACATTATTTAAATGAAGTATATTTTTCAATATTATTTAAATAAATTTTAATTTTCACTGCATTTATGACCTGCTATTCAAATTGGGGTCCATTGTTTCCAACCCTCAATGTCAACTATCTCGAAATGTAAACAGAGGTCTCCCGGAGGGAATCATTGTTTTGTGGCATTATACCTGCGAACCCAAAATATTTCGAAAATTTTATTTAATTGTTTTCACTTACAGAATAAATAAATATAAATTACTACAAATTGTAATATTTATAAAAAATTTTAAATATAAATTTATAATTTTATTTTTATTAAATATAGGGTAAGTGTACCAATTACGGCGCGTTCATAAAAAATAACTATTATTACTATTATATTTAATATAAATGTTGCAAAATGATTAAAAAAAATTATTTTAATCTTTTTTTAATACAATTACGTATAAAGATGCACATTTAAACAATTAACAATTATTAATTTAATTATTTGAGATCAAATTTTTTTCCGCGCCGCAATTGAAACATTTTTAAGATTTCTATTGGCTCCAATTTCGGCGGGCAAAGTATCGAAGTATAATCGATTTTTATAAAGTTAAATTTTTTTTAATATCTAAATAACATAAGCTTTTAGTTTAATAAGTCTTAAATGGAGTTTATACAATAGAAATGTCGAATTTTCTATTTCAAAGGTGTTTTGACTCGAATAGCGCCGCTATTAGTGCATTTACCCTATTTATTTATATTTTTAATATATTTTTATTTAAAATATTTTTTATTAAAATAAAAATTATTATCTAGAAAAACTAACTAAAAATAAAAAAAAACCATATTAAAAAATTCTAAATAAAATAAAATTTGAACTTTTCTTCCAAGAAAGTATTTGTATATACGAAAAAAATTTGAATCATTTATATAAAAAATAATAATATGTTTCAAAAGTATTTTAAAAGCTTTTTAGTTTAAAATACAGTTTAACGGGTAATATATAATTTTCCACGCGTTCGTTTAATAGTTATTATTTTATATATACTATTATCGCAAATATTTTCAAGTGGCCTGAAAATTTTATATTTATACTCATTTGTCTTCATCTGCTCACTTGTGTGTGCTTTCTCCTTTTTTTTGATGATTTTTATGTCAGTCATAAAGAGAAATGACAATAATGAGACGCATGAAGACAAGCTTGAACGTATAAATATGATTTTACATCGATTAGCGCGCAAACACAGACGCAATACAGTGTGAGGCGAAAGCATATATATATACCGATATATTTACACGTATCGTGGAGCAGGTGAATAAGGATATCAAATTGATTCACGTTTGCTTGATCGTTCGTTATTCGCGTGTCGAAAAAAAGGCCTTTTAATGTCGACACCATTAACGACTTAATTATGCTTTAATGTTTCATGATTTTGGTAAAGAAAAAAATTACTCACAAAAGGAGTCTCAAAAAAAATTTTTTTTTTGCCTCTTGATATTTTTGCAATTTTACTGCAATATTAGAATATTGAGGTAATAGCGTGGGGAATATTTTATAAAATTAATAAATATTCACCAGAGAATTTTTTGCACAGTGAAGACAATCACAATCAGATGATACTTATCAAGCCATTTGTCCACGGAGATCCCTCCTTTAGGTTAAAATCAAAATTTTCATTTCAACAATAACCATTAACAAGGAGACCGAGTTCAAATGGCTCAAATTTCTCCTCTTTGCGCACCGAGTGCTGGATCGTCATTTCTCCAAATGATCGGATCTGAAAAAGATAAATTTAATAATTAGTTTTTAAAATCGAAAAAAATTTTTAAAAATAAAATATTTTTCAAGATTTCGAAAAAAAATTATATCTTACTAAAGAATTATCTCAATTTTTGGCTAATACAAAAAATTTTGTTAGCTACAAAAAAAAGAATAACCAATTTCGAATTTTTAAAATCTGCTTCAAAAGAATTTTTGTTTTTGATTTTGTGCTGGATCGTCATTTCTCCAAATGATCGGATCTGAAAAAGATAAATTTAATAATTAGTTTTTAAAATCGAAAAAAAATTTTTAAACATAAAATATTTTTCAAGATTTCGAAAAAAAATGATATCTTACTAAAGAATTATCTCAATTTTTGGTTAATACAAAAAAATTTTGTTTGGAACAAAAAAAGAATAACCAATTTCGAATTTTTAAAATCTGCTCCAAAAGAATTTTTGTTTTTTGATTTTGTAAAAAAGCATAATTTTCCTTTTAAAGAAATCGGGTGGAATGTTTTTTTGTTTTTTGTTTTTAACGCAAAAATTACAGTTTTGCAATCCAAAAATGTATTCAGTCGCCAATTGTGACTTGTACCATATAATTTTGTATATATACGGTTAAAACGGGTCACTGGGTTTTCATTTGGTTTTATTTTTCGCGCATTTGTCGTCGGCAAAATATCGCGCGAGGTTTATTCATTTTTTGGCTGTATATATGTATATATAATAAAAAAGGAATATTAAGCATTAAACGACCTCCACCGTGTCTTGAAAGAAGTAATCTTGTCCCATTACTTGAGATTAAACGCGAGAATAATCGCGTTTAATCTCAAGTGATGGGAACAGTGAGTAGATTATATGTTACCACCATGAAATTTGCGCTTCAACTTACTTTTTTTCATCAGTAATTTGCTAAAAGTGTTGGTTTATTATACTTTTTTTGGTAGCTTTCTATTTAGTACCGAAAAATGTCTAATTACAATTTTTTTTTTTATATGAAACAAAAATTGAGATAGAAATTTTTAAAATATTTTTGTCTTTTTTATAACCCAGAATAAATTAGAAATATACCTAAAAAAATAAATTATTTATTAATAATTATAATAAAATTAATAATATTAATAATTTATAATAAATAATAAATTATAATAATTTTTTGTATAAATACATGTTTGAGTAAATAAAAATATAATATAATTATAATAAATAATTTTTAAACTGTCAGTAAAAAATAATTGTTTGTATTCGTCTGTGATATGCAACCCGTCATACAAGAATTTACAACAAATTGCATAACTTAAGGCAGAGACAAAAGAAGAAAATAATTTTAGGAATATCGGAAATTAAAAAATATAAAATAATTAAATTAAATAATTAGTATTTAGTAGAATGAAATAAATACTTTTTAAAAATATTTTTAGGTTATTTAAACTTCTAAAATATATTTTCGAAAAAATTTGTAAAATTAACCTATAAATAATTTTACTGAATTTTGCAATTAGAAATTCTCATTTTATATAGAACATATTTGTCTTCATTTCATAATTAAATAACATTAATCAACTAACAAAATAAAGGACATATATGTGTGTGTAGTATAAACAATTTATGATATTAATAATCGGAACATTTTCACTTATTTATGATTAAATTGTAAAAGAACTTACAAAATTTCGATCTTCAATCATATTTCTGATGATTTAATTTCATTAAAGGAGGCAGATTTAAACTTTAAAGTAACTTATTTTTCATCCACAACAGTTAAAAAACAACTTGTTATTTTATAAACAAAACATTCTGTATTATAAACTTTTCAGTGTGCTGCCTTTGAAACGGTCATATTAGACTTGAGACACTAGCGCCACAGCGGCTCGTATGGTAACTATAGAACTAAAGTACGTTCTGTCGATAAAGAAGAGAACTACAAAACGACAATAAAAAAAAATGTCAACAAACTGAATAGGTTAGGTATTGTCACGTTTTTGCAAATTTGATATAATATAAATTTATCAAATTTATTATAGAAAAAACAATGAATCTTTTACCAAAATCTCATGAAGAATTTAAAACTGCTGAATATTGGAATACATTCTTTAAAAAAAGAGGAAGAAAAGCTTTTGAATGGTAAATAGGTGTTTTTTTTTTAATTATTTCAATTTCTAACCTTAATTTATTTATTTACAAGGTACGGTGAATATCCCGAATTATGTTCCTATTTATTTAAATATATGAAACACAAAGATGATATTCTTGTTGTTGGATGTGGAAATTCTACTCTTAGTATGAATCTTTATGATGCCGGTTACAGGTAAATTTAATTCATAACTTTTTATTATAAAATACAATATTCAAAAGGGGGACAATTTTCTTTTTATATATCAATGAAAATATTCTACAACTTAAATTGTGAAAATTAAAATTGTAATTGTCTTTAAAATTTTATTTAAACAGAAACATCACAAATGTTGACATTTCTGAGGTGGTTATTAAACAAATGCGAGAATGTAATAAGTCGAAAAGACCCGATCTTTGTTATGAGGTAATGGACGTCACTAAAATGACTTATCCAGATGAAAAATTTAGTGTCGTTTTAGATAAAGGTACTTTGGATGCAATTATGCCAGATACTACGGATGCAACATTAGAAATAGTCGACAAATTTTTTAAAGTAAACTTTTTTTTATAGTAAAAAATATTTTGCAATTGTTTTGATTTTAATTTTTGTTTAATTGTTGTTCGAATTTAAAAATTTTTTAATTTTTTTTTCTTTTTATAGGAAATCCAGCGTGTTTTACGTAATGGTGGAAGATTTGTTTGTATATCACTTTTACAAGAGCATATACTTAAAAAATTAGTTTCATATTTTCCTACAGCTGGTTTTATGTTTCGAGTATCGCGATGTTTTGAAGCCGAAATGAAAACGAAAGAAGAAGAGGGTTCTACAATTCCCGTTTTTATAGTAATTGCGACAAAATTTAATAAATTGACTCAACCGGTACGAATCATTTATTTTTTATTTTAAATAAGTAAAATATTCTTATTTTTAAACAATAAATAAGAGTAAAATGTATTTTTTTTAAAGACTTATTAACTATTGATAGGTTCTAGAAATTGCTTTAGATAATGGACCACCAAGACGTGTTCAATTGATAGATGAAATAATATCAGCTGTAAATTCAACTCAAGAATCGGCTTTGATTTGCAATACACTTTATAAAGGAAGTGTTGCTGATGTAGGGGAAGTTTCTCTAGATTTATATCGTGCTGGCGAAACAATTCCAAGATATACACTTTATGTTGTCGATGAGCCAGTAAAAAATAAAAAAACATTCGCTGCTTTTATTGTTCCACAAGGAAGGTAATTGTGATAAAATAAAATTAAAGATTATTTCAATGGAAACAAAAATAATTGATTTGAAATCTTTTTTTTTTAATAGAGAATCAGATTGGTTCTTCAGTACAAAAGAAGGAAGACAACAACTTTTAAAAAGCACACAAAGAGATAGATTGGCTATTGTAATATTATGCCGTGAACAAAAATACGAGAATTTGGAAGGAGTAAAAAAAGAAATAAATGATAGTGTTAGAAATTTAGCTCCAATTGGTCTTGGCGCTAATGAAATTCCATTTTTATCACTTGGTGCCGATGTGGGAAAACGTATTATTTGTTGTGAAGGAACAAGCGAAATGAGCGGTGCTTATGTCGTGGAAGAAATAGAGGATGAAAATTCTGTTATATATAGACGATTAATTTTTTTAAATAATCAATTTACTATTCAAAGTGAAGCGAGATTGACAATCTGTAAGAATTTTTTTTTATTTAAAAATTAACAAAAAGAATTTTCATTTTGAAATTACGTATTAATTATTAATGAATTTATTTTTCTCAGCAAAATCAAGACGAGGGAAAATGAAGAAAATTATTGATCCCGGATTTTTAGCCTGCGAGCATCATATTTATATGAGCCTTGGTGTAAGTTCATTGACAAACATAAAAGAAGATCGAGAAGCACTTGTTATTGGTCTAGGTGGAGGTGGTCTTTGCACATTTTTGACTCATTGTTTTCCAAAGGTAAATTTTTTTTTCAATTTTTCCAATTTTAATAATTTTAATAATTAATATTTTTTATTTAATATTAATTAATTTTTGTTCACAGTTAAAAATAACAGCAGTCGAGATCGATAAGGAAATATTAAAAATTGCTAGTGAATATTTTGGTTTAGTACAAACAGAAAATTTAAATGTCGAAATAAATGATGGCATTAAATTTTTACACGATTCTAGTGAAAATAAAAGAAAATTTGACGCAATTTTATTTGACGTCGATAATAAAGATAGTTCACTTGGTATGAGTTGTCCACCAAAACAATTTATTGATGATTCTGTTTTAAAAACAGTCGCAAAATCATTAACAAATGATGGACTTTTTATATTAAATCTCGTAATAAGAAATCAAGCATTAAGACAAGGTGTAATTGACAATTTAAAAAATGTCTTTAAATTTATATCAAGTTTTACATTAGAGGGCGATGTCAATGAAGTTATAATGGCTTCAATGAATTCATTTATAATTGATGAATGGAATAAAAGAATAAAAAAAGCTGCAATTAATTTAAATAATCAAGCACAGGTGGAAAAATTATCCACAAATGATTTAATTAATGTTTCCAAATTATTGGAAACTTTGTCAATTGAAAATTGAAATTGTTAAAAAAAAATTACAATTCTTTTGTAAATTGTAATTTTTATTAAAAGAATTTTTTTGATAAAAAATGTATAATAATAGGGTAAAATTAAAATACATTTTTGTAAAATATAAAAAAAATTTTGATATCAACATAATGATTAATGTATATAAGAATATAGTAAATATAAAATGAATAAACAAATATTTATAAAACATATTGTAATTAAATTTGAGTGATGGATGGGTTTTGGGTAATACGTTTAAAATTCTTATTTCTAAGAAATTAAGAAATAAAAAAAAATTGAAAAATAAAATAATGTGACTATTAACCCATTTTGGCAACTTTATTTTTCATTCTGTTTAAAATTCACAAACATACTATATTTATAAAAGCATATTTATATTTATCAAGTACAACAGACGAAATAAAGAAACATACAAGTAAAATAACGAATTAATTCATTTTCTAGGAGAAAAAATTGAATTAATTTCATTACTTTTTATAATGTAAAACATATTTTCTCATACGTGACTTATTAAACTATTTTTTTTTTCATATAAATAGAATGTCACATATACGCAGAGAAATATTGTAATCAACACTTGGGGAGAGACGATTTCTTAAAATGAATCCACTTTTTTTTCATTTTCTTTTTTTTTTCTTTTCTTTATAACAGCCTTATGGAGTAATAAATAATTGTTTACAATACATACAAACTAACGATGTAATATCGAAATTTGCTTCACAAGCAAATCGACTATTAACAGATTTAAATATATATTTATATCTAGTAATAGAATTATGCTGATGCATTTTTACAATTCTGGATTTTCTATTATTCTAATATTGGTAAAATAGCCATTTAAAAATTCTTTACTTTTACGAAACTGAACTTTACAATAAAAAACAAAAAAAGGAATATTTACAAATAAAATATTTTAAAAATCCATAATTATTGTCACTGTATTTTAAATTGTTCTATGCTGAAGTTTATTTAAAATTAAAAATTAAAATTTTACCGGTGAATCGTTTTTTGAGTGAAATTTTAAACAAAGTTCAAATTAAAAATTCTTTGGATTTAAACAAATCATCACTTATGTTTATTCAAAAATTAAGACAATATATTGTAATACTGTTTATATTGTATAAGTAATATAATAACTTAAGAATAAGAGGAACTTAAGTAGTACTTTAAAATTTTAAGTAAAATAATTTTCTCACTAGGCTATTTTATCAATAAATTTTAACTTTATTTAAATAATAATAAAAAAAAAATCTTTTTGACAATCAAATTATCAAAAAAGACACACACACGCACGCAGGTATTTTGAGGATATATATTATATAAACAAAGTATTTTCATATTTTTAGGTTTTTCATTTTTATATTGTCATTGTATAATATTGAAGCTTTCAAGTGAGACCTAGAAAAATTCTCACTCATTAAAAATATTTATATACATTGTGAATAAGAACTCAGACAATATATCTGCAACAGTTTTTGTCAAAAATAATAAATCATTATTAAAAATTGAAAAAAGACATTTTTTTACTAAACAAAAATGTTATACTTTAATGAAAAAATTAATAATAATATATAAAATATAATTTTATCTTTTTCATTTCTCAGTCATTCAATTTTTGCCAAAGACTGTTGCTGATAAAAATTGACCTTTAATTTTCTGAATGCTACGACTCAATTTCGTTTTAAGAGAGAAAAAAAAAATAATGGAAAAGTAAATTTTCAATTTTATTTTTTGCAAATAAATATTTTAGATGCAGTGTATTGTATTGTATATACACACTAAATAAAAAATAAGTACATTTGCTAAAAACAAAATAAAATTGGTAAACTTGAGATAAATATAGAAAAAAATAAAAAAATTTCAAAAACTACACACGACTCAAAAATTGAATTACATAAAAAAAAAGTTATTAATAAATGCACATTAATCGTAAATAATAGAACGCCCTTCATGCAGAATTTAAGTATTCATATATAATCGCTCCTATTCCTTAAATTTTTTTTTTATTTTTCATTTGCATTTTATGGAGCAAATTATCACAGAGAGCATTACTGCAAACTACGACATTTAATTCAGGCAAGGTTTACTCTTCACATTTTCATTCTTTCGTTTGAAAAAAAAGAAACTAAATTAAATTTTCATTTTGAGAAAAAAAAATTCTATTATAAAAAGTCGAATATCAAATATCTTTAAAGAAGAATTGACTAGTATCTATTTTCTAAAGGACCAAACAAAAGAATTAAATTTTTTTCCCCTAAAGATCAGTTCTGAATTAAAAAAAAAAAAAATGTCTAATTTAAAAATTAATATTTAATTTCAATAACTGGGAAAAAAACACATTGTGCGTTCATGATACAAATTAAGTGTCAAATAATTATTAAATAATTAAGTATATTTAATCATTATTATAAATATTAACAAATCGAAAATTATAATTCCGAAATTTTTTTTTTGTTTAAAGAAATTAAACAATCTTCAAAAAAAAAAAATTTCTAGAATTTTTCGAGATTCAGTAAAACAATTTATTGTTGTCTTTATTCAAAACAAAAAACTCTCTTTGGTAATTTAAATAAAACTAAAATATACAATTACAAATGAGAATGATCTTTATATATTTATATTGTGCAAAGATCATTCTCTTATTCTAATTTTCAATTGTTATTTAATAATTAGTCATCGCCATTGAGTTAATTTGATATCCTACCTACTCTAAAATTTATCTACAATCATTTTTATATATCTAGTCAATTTGGGTGAGAAATTTTCCACATTTTTTTTTTCACGCACACATACATACACAATTTTATTTTACTTCGTGTTTAAAATAGTTACCAAAAAAATAACTGTAAAATAGTTTAAAATAATTTCTAAAAAGTAACTTTAGAACTATTTAAAATATATTAAAATATTTTTATATTTTAAAAATATATTAAAATATTTAAATAAAACATTTTGAAAAACACGAAATAAAAAATTTGCACAATATAATATTGTGAACTGAATTTATATCGATCAAGATCTTACAATAATTTTCTTTTAAATCCCATTGTTAATTATTCTCCATTTTTGTATCCTCTCCTCTTTCAAATTTTGATTCTCCTGAAATATTCAATAAGCCAAAAAAAAAAACCAAAACACAGTTAAATTTCCAAGAAATTACGAATATCTAAAAAAAATTGATCTACAATTTTTAACAATAATTTATCTTTTTTCTTTATCAAAGAAAAAGCATTTTTCAATATTATTTACAGTATTTAATTTCTCTAAAAAGCAAAATTTTATCTAAATTAATTTTTAAAAAATTTTGAAATAATTATTTGCTCTAAATTACAAGATTTTCATTGAAAATTAAAATATATTTTAAAAATGAATTCACATTAAAATAAATATAAATTTTTCAATTCATTAAAATTAAATTTAAAAAAATTATTTTTATATAAATTTCACTAAAATTAAAAAGTACAATATTTTTTTAAATTATATTAAAAATAAAAAATTCTTTTAATTGAAATAAAATAAAAAGAATTTTAAAATTGCTAAATTTGTTTGGCTCAAGTAGAATATTTGCAAAAAAAAAAATTAGCACTATAATGATAAACGAAGTCTTACGATTAAAGCAAAAACCTAGCGAAATACCATTTACAAGATTTCAATCTTTTTTTCTTGCGTTCATTTGAAAAAAATTATCAAATGGCACTACAGTCTTCTTTACTGTTTTTCCTGGCTTCTATTTATTTTGTATGAAAATTTCCCTTATTCGCAATTTTTTACTGTTGCAAAAAAAAAAAAAAATTCAAGTCCACTACTTTCAATCAAAAAAATTTTCTCACCATTTTCCTCAAGCCAGTACTTTTTTTTTCTTTCTTTTCCGAAGTTGGCGTTGCACTACTACTTCTGTCACTCTCATCTGCATAACCATTTGCCGTTGAACCATTCAAATGTCCATCAGTTGTAATTTGAAGACTAGAATTGCTAAATTTATTTTTATCCCAATTTTCCGTTTTTCGTTTACTACGCGATCCAAGTGCCGTTTTCATAAACGATGGTGATGATAATTTCGATTTGAAAATTTCAGTTTTCAATCCCTTTTTCACTGGTTCTTCTTCATCTTCATTACTGGACATATTTTTATGAATTTCATTTGGAATCAAAGAATTTTCATCACTACCACCTGATTTTTCGTTTGTTGATAGAATTTCAATTCTACCGCTAAGATTTTCATTAATCAAATCTCCATAATTTTCCCTATCAGATCTATTATCATTTAAATTTACAAATTGCTTTGGAACATCATTCGAAAATGTTCGTAAATTATTTGATGTACCACTAAAAACTTCTTTGTAACGTACAATATTGCTTTTAGTGTCGCCATTCATTGTTTTAAATGTTGTCTCCTTCTTTCGTTTTCTTTTCTTCTCTTTTCTTGAATTTAATCTTTGATCTTCTATCATTAATTCTTCATATGTACCAGCAATATTATTGGCAATTTCACTTGGTCTTCGTTTTTTCGATTTTTTCGGCAAAACCGTTTTTTCCCTAAGAAAATCCGTCGGTTTTCGACGTGTAACTTTATTATTTTCTTGAAATACATTTATTTCTCTATCATCATCATCGTCAACATCAAAATCAATTGTTCTTCGATAATATGAAATAATAAAACTGACAATAATGACATTTATACAGATGAGAATGACATGTTCACCGAGATAATATAATTTACTTTGCCAACTATCTCGATCATAAACAAGACTCTCGACCGATATTGAAAGACTTTTAATCACTTCGCGAAGTGCTGTAATTTCTTCCATTCTTTTTAAATCACGTTCTTCACCTTTACGAGATTCTTCACTCATTGCCAATGTTGCACGTTCAAGGGAACGTTGCATTTCCTCCACTTGTTTTTTATATCTTCGACTTAATTCTTCTAAATATTGACCACTTAATGACATATTACGCTCGAGAGCCTAAAAATTGATAATTCATTAATTTTATAATAAACAAAAACTAATAATCATTTTTAAATTATAAATAATAAAAATTGAAAATAGATTTTTTTTGTTAAATAAAAAAATAATTTTCAACATCTTAAGAAAAAAAAGGACAATCACGTGTTAAACATAATTCAATAAAAAGAAAACGTAATGGGATAATAGGTGAAAATCGTTTTACATCATTGTTTACATCACTTGTTTTCTCATTTAATTGGATTCGGTCGTCTGCGCGAGATATATTCAAAAACTTTGCTTACGTAAATATTTTCTACAGACAAATCTTTATAATCAAATCGTGACAAATAGTATAATTTTTAGCCAAAGTTCAAACATTATTTACAAATTTATATAATGTTGAGACAAAAACTATAAGAATTAGTTTAAAAATTAAATTTTTTTTTCAAATAAAGATTTTGATTTGTATAAAAAATTTAAAATAAACTATAATTATCAGTAATTTGTAAAATTTATTTTCAATTGAATTATTTATATTTTAAAAACTACTTTTAAATATTTAAATCACAATACATACCTTAATCCTGTTAGAGAGTCTCAGGAAAACAGATTCTTTTTGCTGTGGCGTTGAGCTAGCCGTAGGTTGAGCAGCAGAAGCACTTCCACCTTGTCCATTATTTACAGATTCGCCCTCGAATTCTTTAAAATCTGACAGAAGACTATCGAAATTCATTTGCTCTTGCGATAAAATTTTAGCATCCTCACCTAAATCTAATTTATTTTGTTCTTGTCCATCAATTTTTACATCACCTGATTTATTGACAATTTCTTGAATTTTCTGTGCATTTTCTTTATCATCAACATCCAATTTTTCACCTTCATTATTACCCAATGAATTATGAATCGTATTGTCAATTTTCGATTCAATTGATAAATTTTCTTGTATTTTTGTTATTGGACTTGTAACAGTTGGCGATGCAATGGTAGTTGTGACAATTTCCTGTTGCTTCAAATCATCGATTTGATCTTTACTTGGTTCCAAAATAGGTACAATAATTGATTCTTTTTTTGTTTCTTCATTACTCAATGTTTTTGTTGGTTTAATTTGTGTGGTAATAATATCATTTGGTACTTGATTTTTTGTTATTGTGGGTACAATTGACGGTGAAATTGAATCAGTTTCTTTTGGTAAATTATCACGACGTGATTCTTGAATATTGATTGTTGGTTTGCACGATGACGATGGAGAATTAATGTCAGTTGAACAAGGAGACGTTGGTTGTAGATTGTCAATTGAAAAATCACGTTTCTCTTCCTTGGTGCCGGGAATTTCTTCCTTTAATGTTCCATTGTCAGGAATTGGTGCAATTTCATCGCTTGAATTGAGAACAACTTTTCCGTCCTTTGCGGCAAGAACATTGCATAGAGCAACGAGATAATCGGGTGTAAGAACGGATGCAAGAAATGTTGCTTGAAGATCTCTTGCCTTACAGGAATTTCCATCTTCGTCGGATGATTTTCCACTGTGTGCCCAACAAAGATGACTATTGGGTAAAGAATTTTTTATTAAATTTGTCTCTAGCAAAGAATTTAAGTAACGATGCCTACAGCTCAATAATTGAAAAACTCTTGCAAATCTATCGTCTGAACAATTTTTACAAACAATCGCATATCTCGGTGTTGTACAACTGGCAAATGAACTTTGAAACAAATCACCTCTAATGCTTTCTTGAATTTTTGTTATATTATTTCGACTCATGTCACCTGTTTTAACAAGAACTTCAGCTGCTTTTCGAACGATACTTAAAACAGCGTCTCTTGCACTGCCAAATAAATTTCTCGTCGATTCACCGCCTTCTACTTCTAAAAGTTCTTCACCATTTTCATTGTCATTGTCATCGTCTTCTGAATTTGATGTTTGTACCTCAGTCTCTGTTTCAAGTACCTCAAATTCACTGGTACCATAAGCACGAAAAAGTGAAATTGGACAAAAATGCTCCGATCCATAATGTGAATGAAGTTCAATTTTAATAAATTTTCCAAATAATTGTGGTTGTAGAACAAAACTTTGAATGTCACGCTCATCTTTTGCAGTAAAATGACCAACTGAACTCCATTCTCGTGTTGGATAACGATCATTGACAAACACGGAAAATTCTTTAGGTGAGGAACTAAATAATTCAAAGTTGGCCAATTCAATTTTCTTCGCTTGAATTGCTTCGCAAAGTTCAACAATGAACCAAATTCGTGATGTACATTTGTTTAACATATATTCGTCGCGCGTTGAAACAAGAACATTACGAGCACTTTGTGATTCATGATTTGCAGCAATAATTTTCGCTCCACAATCTGGTGAGGCATAATTTTTCGAGCGCATTTTCATTCCACCGACGCTTTTTCCTGGACTGCCAGGAGTTTGTACCGAAACATTTGGATGTGCTAAAAAAAAAAGAAAAAGAAGAAAAATTGTTTTAAAAAAATAAATTATAGTAGAAAAAAAAACATTTGAGAATATTAAACAATTTTTTTTAATGAAACTTACTTTTCTTTTTCTCGTCTTCCTCCAATTGTTTTTGTGACCATTCAATAAACGATGGCATGTCCTCTTGCGTGTCAGATGATCCTGGTGTGACAATACCATCGGGAGCAACTGATGGTGAATCATCATTACCAACTAATTGTGATTTAATTGTTATTTCATTTAATTCTGAAACTTGATTAAATTCAACGTCCTGTAATAATTCGTCTTTCGTGAGAATTTCATCTTCAATTTTTAAATTCTCATCATCAATTTTTATTTCCTCGACAACCGTTTTTTTCTCAGCTCTAACAATAACTACTGTTTCGGCATCATTATCATCATCAAGCGTTTTTGTTTCTTTAGTCTCGGTGATACTGATATTATTATTATTATTATTAATATTATTATTATTATTATCAACAATTACACTATCATTAATTCTCTCAGTTGTTATCACAATTTCTGATTTTGTGTCAGTGACGCTGTCGAAATTTTTTTCTTTTTCTTCTTCCTTTCTAATTGGTGTATTACTTAATGATAAATTATTAGATAAAGATCTCGCTCTAAATTCCGAGACGATTTTTGGATCAGCCAAACTTTGCAGTTCAGATGCTGCAGTATCGACTAATGTCAGTACCACCGACTGACCGGATTCAGATATTCTGTAAAAAGAAAAATATTTGTTAATTTCTATTTAAAAAAATATTATTTAGTAAAAAAAAAACAAATTTAAAAACAAAATGAAAATTTTTGAAAAAGTTTCAAATTTTATATCTAATATTTATTTTATTCTGTCTGGCTTTTTTTTTTTTTTTTTTTTCTTGAAATGGATTTAACTTGAAACCACTTGGTTCAGGTATTTTGAAATTTATGTAAAATAGATAATTAAAAAAAAAAATTTTTTCTCTATTTTCCATCAACTATTTTTCCTATAAATAGGAATTACCACTTAAAATTTATTATCTCACCGATGATAAAAACAGGCAGGAATGCACCATAGTGTAATTATAATAACGAGATAAAGAGCAGCCGCATGAAGAAGATATCGAGATGTCGAAATTTGAGTTCCTGGATCCTCCATCCAGTGCATAGGACACTCTTGAGAATTCTTTAATATAATCTTTCCCATATCCTTTTTCTTTTGCTTCTTTCGTTACGTATCATTGATAATTTCAATAACATAACTTTAAAATTTTTCCAACAAAATCTTTATAATTCTCCCCCCTTCTCTTCTTATTATTTTGTTTAACTCGAATTTTTTTATCCTGCAAATTTAATTTAAATTTAAAAAAAAGTCTATTTTTGTTTCACAAGAAATAATCAATACGAAAATTCAGATGATCAAGTTTCCATCGCTACCTAATTATAAGAAATTCAAAATCTCAGGAAGATAATTTAATTTTTCGATATCTTTATTTCAAGAAAAAAAGAAATAAATCAATTGAATACATAAAACGGTGTTAAATCAATTGCAAACGAAATCTAATTTAATCCCCATTTCATCAATTTAATTTGATCACTCCATTCGTGAAATTGAAGTTTCTTAATCACTTGCCCGAGATAAAATTAAATTTGCTACGGGAAATAAGTATTAAAATAATTGAAGAAATGATTTTCGCTAAACAACAATTTGGTTAAATGAAAATTGAAATCTTTTTTATTTTCCTATTATAAATGCGAAAAGAAAAAAATTAAAAAGAATTGAGTTTTGAATTTAAAAAAAAATTGCAATTTGTCAAATAAGAGACTGCAGTGAAGACTGAGGACAGCTTTTTGAAAAATTAGAACATTCTATAAATGTACTTGCTTTGTGAAAAAGAAAACTTGTCATCTGATTGAAAGTGAACTTTCCATAGTACGTCGTTTTCTTTTCAGGACACAAGTTAATTTAACAAGACTTGACTATTCTTTATCAATCCCTTGAGAAAAATTGCTTGTCTCGTGAAAAATGATAAAATTTTTATACTTTCACATTTGATATATGTTGTCGACATTTTTCTACATCTGTATAAACTTTTATCTCTCAAAAGTTTATAAATAATATACAGATACTAAAGCTTTCTAGACACTGGAGAAAATAATATCCTACCATATTAAAATAAAATTTCCAAATTTAGAAAAAAAATTACACTCACAAAAAAATTCTATTTAATAATCTAAAAACAATTCTATATCTAAAACAACTGTCCTTTTAACTCTCGACTCCTTTAATCGATGGAATAAATTTTCTAATCGTTCGACTAGATAAAAATAATTTCGTCGAATAACGATATATAAGGGAAAGGATGACACTTGAGATACTTTCTATAAAAAAATATTGAGAACAGAGACTTTTTAATAGCGAAAACTTGATCGACGAAGATTTCAAGTGCATTTCGCAAAGAAAGTTTAGTGAAACCTAAAGAGAAGTTTATAAAATATAATTCAAAGTGTCAATATAGAAAACTCTTATATATTTTACATATGGGGGAATTAATTTCCTTTACTTTCGACATGTACAAACTTTCCCTCCCTTTTAAAACTATATACATTATTATACAGTCTAAAATGTCACCCCTGATAATAATCTTTGGAATTAAATTTAGAGACGATTAAAGATATTGATTTACAGGTGAATATAAGTATTTTATATAGAAAGCAATGAGATATATATATATTGGAAATAGAATATCGAGATTTTATCGGATAATAAATTTTTGAAAATGATATACAATTGAACAATTTATTCATAATATGTATATAGAAAACAAATTATATATTCACTTTTGTATCAATATTTTTAAATTTTCTTTTCACATTGTAATAATAATCTTTTTTAATAAAAAATAATTATAAATTATAATTATAAATTCTTTTTTATTTTTAAATTATTTCTGAAAATTTTTTGATCTGTATTTACTTTGATATAAATTTATAATTTGAAGATCGTATAATTAAAAAAAAATTTTAATATTTTTTATTCTATCTATATTCTATAAATTAAATATACGTTCTATATTCAGGATCGACATTATGACTCTACTATGATTAAGATACTAAACTCATTGACCTTCTTAATTAACTCATAGCTATTACGATCGTGTTATGAATTACTACATCAGAAATTATCAATTGATCTATAAATCACATTTTATGAAGATTGTCATGGATAAAGAGTCATTCACCGACTTGGGAAATTTTTTTTTTACATATTTTACGAAAAACTAGAAAAAAATAGGGAGCAATTTTACAGTTTAAATTTTCATTTTCACTTAATTTTATTATTATTATTGTCATAATAATTATTATCTATTTTTAATTAGTTTTTTAAATTATCTTTTAATTTGCGTGGAAACAAAAAAAAAATTATTTTCTTACAGAAAAATATTGAAGATATAAAATGCAAGAAAACTTTAATAAGAAAACTTTTTATTATGATAATTTCATATTATATAGTTTATTATAGAAGAAATTACTTTTTGCAATTTTTTTTTTTTTGTTTTACAATGAGAATTTATAAGGCGAGAAATAAATGTATATTATTTGCATCTCTATTTAAGTAAAGAACCAGTTTGCAATGATGGTGGGTAGTGAATTTTTGTTGGAATAATAAATTTGTCTATATATTCTTTACAGGTGAATGGTTCGAAATAATTGAATCGACAAGAAGAACAAGTATTATAGTCAACCCAATAGAAACTGTTTCTATTCTGTTGAAATCTATTTAATGAAGAGGGTATATATGGGAAATGACCATTGTACCAACAGAGACAAATGAAATTTTTGTTATATATTCTCGATTGAAATCGTGACAATTTCATAATAAAAAAGAAATAAAAATATTTCCTTCTATAACTTATATTCACAAAATAAATTAAAAATTGTTGCCAAAAAATATTTAATTTTAATTTCTATATGTAAAATTTACATAGAAAAAATTGTAAAAAAAAAGTAGGTGTTTTCTCATTTAATATTGCAAATTTTCATTATCCTTGACTCATTTTTTAGTGAGTTAGAAAAAAATATACTTAAAATGGGAACTACTCGCTTTTTTCGCAAGGGTTCGTCCCACGTTCAATTTCACGTCGCAGAGTATGTCAAATGAGATATATATATGAAATAACATGAATAAGAATAGATAAAAATTATTAAAAGAATGCAAGACTTGTTATATTCGAGAGATGCTAATTGCTTCCTATAAATTTGAATATTAAAATTCAAAGAGATCTTTGAAAAAAACAATTTTTACAATTTATCAATTAATTCCTTATCGAGACAAATTAAATTCATATTAACAAAAAATCAATTACAATTTTCTAAAACTAATTTTCAATATCACTTTTTCCAAAAAATTTGTAGGTCATGTATCTAAATAGATGTAATAAAAAAGCAATCATAAAATGCAATATTTAAATAAGATAAGATATGAAAAGAAAAAAAATAATTGTGATCTTTTTTTTTGGAATGAAAGTCAGATTAAAAAAAAAAAGAGAGAGGGCGAAACTCGATACACTCAGAAGGGCAATAATCATTAAGCATGATTAATTGAGGTTCAAGAGTTTCAATCAGATGAATGTAGGTGGTTGTCATATATAGATATAGTGAATACGTTTGTACTTCTAATATTTCTAAAAGTAAAACTTGTGTGTCTATTAACGTAACGGTTCCCATTAAAAAAGTCGTAAATTTAAATAATTATCATTTTCTTCTACAAATTATAATCGCATTTTTTTTTAAATTTTATTTTCAATAATGATATCCAATTATAAAATGAAACAAGAAAAAAATTACTTTATCTTTACTAATAAAATATTGTGATAAATATTTGGAAATTTACTATAATTTAAAAAAAGGTACTAAAAAAGTACAATAAAAAATTATGTATAAACTTCTTCAATTGTACTTACAAATTATTTAATTTTTTTTTTAATTAGTTCAGTTGTAATATTAGATTGGCGTGATTTAAAAAAAATTTTCAATTAATTAAGCTTTATGGAATATGCGCTATGAAATAATAAAAATAAGTTTGAATTAATTTCACCTAATATATTAGAAAAGGGAAAAACCAATAGAAAAACAACACTTTATAGGAAAAACAAAAGAAAACTTCTATATATTGTTTGAAAGAAGTTATAAGTACAAGAATCATCTCTATATAGCGAATCAAATGTACTTAACTTCAAGGAAGTGGGGAGTTACTCTACTTCACGTAAGTTGCACACAGTAAGTGACAATTGAACTGTCTCAAGCACACCAAAGGCCTTTTAAACGGTCTCTATAGAAAAGAAACGGTCAAGATAAAATAATATTGTGTAGATTTTTCCCTTTTTTTTCCTTATCAGTGCAAAAAATCAGATTGAATAAATTATTAAAAGTTAATTTATCAAAAAAATTTATTCGAATTATGGCGGAAGAAAGTGGAAGGCCAAATATTGCCTCTAGGCTCAAATTAAACATGAACGAGTCACCTTTCTTTTGTAAAATTATTGAGCTGGTTAGTATTTATCAGTAATAGTTGCGGATAAACAAATTTTTTTTTTGCAATATTAATAATAATATTAATAAAAATGTGAAACAAAAAAAAAGTTAATAATTTCTTCTTTATATTTTTTACCAATAATTAATATTGTGCAAAACTAAATTAAAAAATATAATTTTTTTCTTTTTTCAAAATATATGATTTAAGTGAAATATAATAATTGTGATTAATAATTATTTAAAAATATATATTTATATAATTATTATAGATACTGTGCATTGTCAGTGTGGGACTGATAGTGGGACCATTTAATAGTCGATTACATGCAAATTTTAAAAACACTGGATTAGTTTATGTAGCGATTTGTGGCTACGTTTTAATAAATTCAATTATCATTTTTTGCTACTTAATTGGCGAGAAGATGCCAAAAAAAATGGTGAGCAATTTCAATTTTATACTCAAAAGGATTTTCCATTTTAGAGAGAAAGCCCAATTCCGTGTGAAAAACTTTTTTCATTTCCCATAATAAATTATGTTGAAATATCAAGGGAGTCAAAGTTAAATGGAAACAATTGAGGAGAAAAATTACATGAACCAGTTAAACAGAGAGAGAGAGAGTAAATCTTTGAAAAATTAAAAAAAAAAATTTAATTAAAATTATTATAAAAAATTACAATTAAATAATAATTATTTTATTTATTCTAAATTGAATAAAAAAAATAAATTTATTATTTATTATATTTTTTTTTTACTATTTTTTATTATTTTTATTATTACATTAATTATTATTATTCAACTAATAGTAAAATATTTATATTTTTAAATTTAGAATAATCGTTTAAAAAAATGTATTTCTATTTTTTTTTTGTATTCTGTTAAATATAAATTTAAAATTCTTGAAAAAAATTAGATATTTTTTACGGCTTCTATTAATATTGAAGCATTGTATTTAAAAGGGTGATACATTATGTAACTTAATACGTAATATAGACGCCCTTAATTACTTGATAATTAGATGCTTGGTTTGTCAGACAAGAATGTAAAGTGATAATTATTTAACGTACACTATACTTTATATTTTATTATTCAATAATAATAATAATAAAAATAACTGAAAAAAACGAATTTTAATGAAATGAATTTTCAATACATTTTATATTTCAGGGAAATATAATTGTCATTGAAATTGAATAAAAATCAATATTTCCCATCGTAAAAATGAAATGGATAAGAATTTTTCGTTTCAAAATATATATTCACTAATAGAATATCAATATTTTAGTCCCGAAAAAAATTCCCATGTTTTTTTTTTTCTTCACTTCTTTACAAATATATAACAATTACTATTAACGAGTGTAATAGTAATAAAAACAAATTTTTATATTCATATTATATTAAAAATAATTTGTTTGGTTTATTTACAGTCTCTCTTTTTTACTGGAATGGGAGCTATATTGTGTTTTGCTGCTGGTGTGATTTTAATCTACGACTGGGACAATTTCGAAAACAATTTAATTTCTCAATATTTAAATCAATATCTCGATCAAACATTGGCCAGTGGAATTTTTGCACTTTTAGCTGCTTTTGTCTTTGCACTGGACGTGTACTTTATAAATAAATACGAATAGCGTGATTTAATAAAAAAAAGAAAGAAAGAAAGAAAAAAAATTTTTTACATTGCCGTTATATATATATGTATATAGAAAAAATAATAGAAACGCCTAAATATTCCATAAAACATACATTAATTAAAATTGAAAAAATTTAAAATACAAAATATAAATTTTAAATTTTGTATTGAAAATCCAGAAAGTAGGTAAAATAATTAAACGATTTATTTTTTTTACTAAATAATTTTACTGAATCTATATAGAACTGCAAAAGTTTCTATATATTATAGGTAAAATTATTTTATTTCAAAAAAAATATGGCAGAATAATTAATGTTCAAACGAAAAATAGATTTATAGGCTTTTAAATTAATAGATAATTTTTTAATAAGCACACAAAGTTTGATAAGAAAATATGTAGAAGTATAGAATATTGATATGTATATTTTTTATACAATTGTATTTGAAATAAAAATGTTCTCTATATGTATAGAGATTACTTGATCTCGCATACATTTTCATATACCCATATATATAGGTATATGGATATTGAATTTGAAATTTCAATTTTTCTGAGAAACATTTCAAACACAAGTGATGTGAGAAAAAGAGACAACAAATATTTTTTTTTAAAAAAAACGAGTGAAAATAATATTTCAGAATATTTTACTATCAACAATATTTTCTTTAGATGTAAGCAATAAAAAAAATAATAAAATGCAGAATAAAACAACAAAGGATAAATAATCAATCTAAAGACGAAGCAAATAATTTTCATTAAATTCGATTATAGTACAATTTTCATATTTCTTTTGGATTTCAAAAGAAAGTGTAAAAAAATGTACTTTTTTTTAATGTAGAAAAGAGCTTTGAAGATTGAAACAGAAAAGCTTCAATTTTTTGCCAGAAATTTCGGTTACAAAGACTTGAGATAAATTCATTCAGGGAAAAAAAGTAAATAGAGCAGATAAAAGACTAGACTCTTTCAAAAAAAAAAAAAGAAGCAAAAAATTATCGATAAACTGGCAAATGCTTTTTTACAGTTCAGTTCTATACTTTATTTATTCCTTACAATCAGGATCAGGGAAAAATGTTCAAAATTAAATTCTTTAAAAATCTAACTTTACAATTTTTCAAGTTCCACTATTAAAAAAACATTTAGAAAAAAATCTGTCTAAAAGAAGAAATTTTCCCTTTAATTTTCTTTCAAGACGAACCAAGATAAAAATAATTAAATTTTTTTTTTTTTAATTAATTAATTGTTGCTTGTCATATAAATGAAATTAAATTTTGCTATTAGTCTGCAAATGTGTTGGCGAACACAAGATTATGTATGAAAGTTCATTATCAGATCGTAAAACAAGATTATTATGCGCTCGATGACAGGACACGTTCGTGTTAAAGAACAATGTGAATTAAATTTCCATTATAACGTTATTAACCTGTGACTCGATCACGTATATATATATATACACATTTGATTTAATTTTCGAAAATTCAATATTTTGGAAGATGACCTAATTTACAAAAATATTCTCTTAATGTTCTAAAAAAATATTTTAAAAATATTCCTGCAATATTTAACAAAAACTATTCCTCAAACATTACACTATTTCAACAAATTTTCCATAATTTCCTAAAATTTTCCTACATTTCACAAAAATATTCCTTCAATGTTCAATAAATTTCCCAGTAAAATACAAATTTAAAAAAAAATTGAATAAGAAATATCAAAGGACGTAAGATAATATAATAGAATCAAATTTCAGCTACCTATGCAATGAAATGAAGAGAATCGAAATTATGAGTTGAGGAAAAAAAAAAAGAAATGAATCAGATAAACTGATTCATTTGCTATCGAAGGTGATGGAATGTGAGTAAATACATCACATGAGACACGACTTCACCTAGAAACGAGGCATGTACCTACTTATCGAGTAAGAAACACTCCACTGATGAGAAACTCGGCCACCTGTTTTCATATTGCTTTAATTACAACATTAAAACTTTATAACTTGTGAAACATAATATTTACAAATCTACACGCTCATATTGCAATTTATTGTACTCACTTTTTTTTGTTTTAGAAATTCATTTCAATTCACTTTTATATATATTATTTATAATATTCATCAAAAACATGTGCAAATTAGAGCACAAAAATAATACGTATATGCTCTCTAGTCAAAAAAATTCAAATTTAATTCAAACACACTTGAGTCGTCACGTAGGCACTTTTTTCTTTTTTTTTAAACAGAAAATTCTTTATCAAAAAAAAAATCTACACATTTAAATTGTTATCAAGATTCAATAATTATATTTATTGTGTGTGAAAGATAGAATTACTATATATGTCTAATTATAATTATTTTTAATCTCAAATAAAAGTGCGCAAGGAAAATTTATTTATTTATTTAGTTTGTCACGTTATTTATAAAAAATATAAACAATTGACGCTTTGTAAATTCAAATTTTTATAAAAAATATTCATAATAAAAATAATATAACTTTTTTTGTTGTAAGATGAAAAGTTTTGTATATAACAAAAACAAGGAAATGAAAAGTATTTCCTGAAAATTAAAACCAAGGTTTCTTTTTCAAGATGATGATGATGAAAATCGTCACCAAGAATGAAACAAAATTTTCATTTAAAAATGGTCATGCTCAAGAGCATATCTCGTCAAGGGTTTCAAGTTTCTCATTCTCCTCGCGCACTTTTTTTTTTTTTTTGCACACAAAACAATAAGATCATCTTTTTCTCCTCGTTAATTACATTTTATGTCTACTTATTCATTTTTTTTTAAACAAAATTTCATTAAATATTTCTTTTTTAAAATTTTACATTTTGCAATATTTTCCACAATTTTCCGCATAATTATTTTTTTTCTCCGTACAACTTGGTTTAAAAAGTCATAAAAGAATGTTACACAATAATATTAAAAAAATGTCATTTACTATGAGTTAATTGCAAAAAATATGTTACCAACTACTGATTAAATATATGTATTTTTTTTGTATGTAAATAATTGTTTACGAAAAAAAAAAATTTCCACATGTGTCAATAATTAAAGATAGGTGTCTATGTGTGTAAGAAATATGAGAGGGGAGCCAATAGTATTTTTTCACGTGTTTCAATTTAAAGTATATGGCAAAAAACGAAAATATATTTCACTTTTAACTGGACACGAGGGAATGTAGATAATACAATACACACGAAAGCAAATGCATCCGTATTGATAAGAGCCAAAGTGAATACTGCCTTGTAGTGGAATACCGGCGTCGCGACGCGGTCATGCCCCCTTCTACTTTCCTTTACTTGTGTCACCCTTTCCACAAAACTTTTCTTCTTTCCTTCCTAACAATAAATTTTATCCTCAACATTTTTTTCTTTTTTCATAATCCTCTATTTCTTGTCGCATTTTTTTACGTTTCCTTTCAAGTTTTTTTTCCTAATCTACTATTCATAACTGCTACTTTCCTTTATCTTTTTCACTCAAAAACAATTCATTTATTTATTATATTGAAAGAAAATTTATTTATTTTTACAAAAATTTTTCCATGTTTTTCACGATTTTTTAAAAATAAAGTTACTGTTTTTAAATAGTAAAATTTTAGTTTAGACATTGAACTTGTAAAAAATTAAAAAAAAATTTTTTTAATTTAATTTTCTACTCAAAAAAAATTTATTTGATGTAATAAAAAAAAGGAAGATAAATGTATATTTGCCAGATGGAGCAATATAAAATTATCAATAAATAATTTTAGTGACGTTTTCGTATCGATTAGAAAGCAAACTTGTATTAGAAATATGAAAATATTTTCGATCATCCAAAAGACATCAACTAATAAAATTAATTCACAATTAGAATGTTAATTTAAATATATAATCTTATCATTTTATACGATACAAGGAAAGCTTTCCTTTATAAGAATTTATTGTCGGGACATGCGATAAAAGATAATTTTATATAATTATCTTTAACAACACAAATATGTTTCCATTTATATTATTCGTGAAAAATGAACAACATTAATATTCTTCCTTTGTTTTTTTTTTTTAATTATTATAAGAAAACATTTAATGCAAAAAGTGCAAAGTTACAGGAATGTTAAAAAATTAAAGAAAATTTATGAATATAAATGAATATTGTAAAAATAATTCTATTTTTGTTTGTTTATGGTAAATGCAAGAGATTTTTATGTGCGATTGCAAAAACCTTGAACTCACTACTGTCTAGTGAAGCAAAAAAAAAAAAGTCGTTAAATAGCTGGATCAATAAAAATGAATAAGTTTCAATTTCGATTTAAATTTACTATTTCGAAGATGATTCTTTTTCTAAAATAAAAAATTGAAAAAAAATAAATAATACAATAAATAATTTAAATCTTAATTTATTTTAAAATTAATCATACCGCGGTCAAAAAAACAATTATATATTTTTATTGTTATTATAAATAAAATATATTTTATTTTAAGTAAAACGCACGTGTTTTAAATTTTATTTCTAAGATATTGAAAATAAAAATGTAAAAAAAACAGACTATTTATTTACGTCATTCTAAAAGATAAATGTCAGGTGATACAAAAATATATAGGCTTCTATTTAAACAAATTAACACTTGAAAACTCGAGGCGCCTATTTTATCTCTAATTTATGTTAAACAATTTTCGATAATTCTTCAAGAAAAAACCATTTTTTAATTTATAATAAAATCTTTAATTTCGATATATTGAACTAAAATTTTAATTATCTTATTGAACCAATTTTTTATTTATTGTTATTTTTTTTAATAACAAAAAAAAGGTTAAATGCAAAAATTTAATCAAATGCAAATTCAGTCATTTTCTTATAAAGTTAAAAAATTCTACACTAATTATAAATATATATATATAAATAACTGTGTAGAAATACCACAAAGTGTTGTAAAGTATTATTGCAAGAAACGTTAACCTCTATTATAGACTTTGTAATTTAAGGACCACAAGCAATGCAACAAGCACACAAACAGGAAAGTTGAAAATTTACAAAGACCTGACAAAAATAAAGGGAAATATCTTCCATTTTTATTTTTTGATTATTAAAAATTATTTTGAAATTTCCTAAAAAAATATTTCAAACAATATTTACACGAAACTATTCGGAATAAATTTCACAAGATTAATTCAATAATATTCCACAAACAAATTTTAACAAAGTTTAAAAAAAAAAATTCTAAGCCCAGACTAATTCAAACCTATTGTATTGCGTCAAAATATTAAAAAAAAACATTCCTTAAGACTATTTCAAAAATAAACCAAAAATATTAAATATTTCACAAGATTACATATTTCAAAAATATGTCTATTCAAAAAAATATTTTACTAAAATTCAAAAAATTGTTACAATATTTATGTATTAACTAATTATATCTTTCAATATTACAACAGAATCCTATTTGTACCTACAATATTAAAAAAAAAAAAAAAAAAATCTAGAAGTGAGATCAGAGTCTGAAACCTTTACTAGCACATCAAAATAGATTCACCATTCTAAGTATGCAAAAAAAGAAATATAGAAAATCAACTGTGTATATATAAACAACCAATCGAATCGCAATCTACGGCTTCGGTGACGACCTAACGTCATAATTTTTTCACCGCATCTAAAACGAAAGGTTTCTCGATGGAATTCCGTCGTACTTCTTTTTTTATGACACGTGCCGAGGATGATACAAAACTTGAATGATTAACTTACAAAGAATTTCATCGATAAAAGTTCATTCAATTGTAAAGAAATTAATAACTCATATTTATAACAGAGATAATAAAAAATAAAGAATTAATTAATAATTTTATAAAATTAATTATTATATAACTTTTACTTTACTAACAAATTTAATTAATAAGTTAATTGTAATTTTTAAAAATTCTGTATTCATTGATAAAAAAAAAAACTAAAAGTCAATGAAATAAAAATCAGTGCATTATTTAAAGTTCAAAACTGTAATTTTTTTTTTGCTAAAAAATGATTTCTTTTTTTAATTTTCAAAATAAACAATGTAATAAGTCGTGCGAATAACCGATTGATTATTATTAGCAACGATCTGAAAAAGAAACACGTTTCCACTTGAACTCGAGACTTAAGAATGCGTATATATTACATGTTTGCACGTAATTGATTAACGTATATGAAAACTTTATGATGCAATTTTAAACATCTATAGAGAAATGAAAACATATGATTCCCGACAAATTGCTTATTTTAAAAAAAAAGTAATTATTATTATACATTGATTTGTGTGCACATGTATTATATCAACATATATACATAATTATCGATAATAATAACATCACAAAAGTGGATTATTTACGCTTGTATGCATTTTATAATTCAACCTTCTAAACCAATCATTATACTGACTATTGAAGATCAAGTTTATCATTATCTATCATGCTTCTAAATTCTTGTCATTGTTTTATGTCATCATAATATTTATATTATTTATAAATCAATAAAACTTTCTGCACTATAACTATTTTTTTTAAATATGAAAATATAAAAAATATTTAATTAGAAAATTTAAAAAAAATTTATTTTACATTTTCAAAATATTTTTACAAAAAAAAAATTTTGAATTTTAAAAATGCAATGGTTCTTATTTCAAATTAGATTATTTAAATTCTCAATTATGAAAAGTCGTTTGATTCAAAGAAACTTTTCCCATTTTGACGAATGACTTCATTTAAACTGTCCTCATAATCTACAGTACCAAGTCTCTCACGTGCTAATCGACAAAAATTATTACTAAACCTTTCTCGAAATTTGTGACACCTAAAACTTTGTCTAAACTATTATAAACTTTTCCTACCTAAAGAGAAAAAATAAATTCATAAAAAAAGTATAAATTTTTATTATATAAATTTTTAACAGATTTATTAATTTTAATAATTAAATTAATTTTACTAATTGAATTGAAAATTTAACAATTTAAACTAATAATTTAGTTTTTAATTTGATTTATCAAAATTTTTAATTCAATTAATATAAATTAACAAAGAAATTTAAAATAATCTGATATTTTTTTTCTTTTTAATGGTTTGTTTTTTTATAATTCAATTAGTGATAAGATTAAATTAAACTGAATATTTAATGTTTTTAAATTCAGGGTTTGAGAAAAAAAAATTGTCATTCAGAGGGACAAATTCGATATAAATGTTTAATTCGAGGAGAACAACTTTATAAGTATTGCGTTTGTTTTTGGAAATGTATTTCGGGGTCACTGAGAAATAGAGATTAGTAAATGGTCCATGAAAATTATAAAAATAATAATCAGAGCACAATAAAGTTTACCTTGAGATTTTAAATTCACGAATAATTCATAATAAAAAAGTGCAGAAATTATAATCTTGAATTGCACAATTCATTTTGACAACTATTATCAGAATTGTGAATTTTCACGAATAATAATGAGGGGAATGCCAAGAATACGTCAGAACTTTATCAAACAAAGTTATTTACGATTTACGTGTGCCAATATGGTTTCAAGTAAATCTCACATTATCAATAATGATTTGAGTTTTTTTTTCATAAGCCTTTCTTAAAAACTTTTTAATGTAAAATTGACAGAATAAAATATTCAAACTTAAAATTAATTTCAAATTTTATTTAAAAAAATATATTAATATAGAAATAATTCTCACCCTTGAGATAAATTCGGTTGTTGCGTCAAACTCTCAGCAAGTACTTCAATTTCCTCGACTTTCTTAGGTTCTTCATTTCCAAGAGGAACTTGAAAATCATTTGGTACTAGTTTCTTCTTTTTCTGCTGGAAAATATCAATAAAAATTTTAAAAAATATGACAATAAATCATATTAATTTCTATAAAATGAAAAAAAAAGAGAAATTCACAATTTACCTCAACATTATCTACATCGTCAGTCTTTATAGATGAAGATATTTTTACGTCGGAAACAAAAGGATTGTTTCTCTCTGACAATACATCTTTAGATTCCTTATTTGTAAAGTTATTAGTGACTTTATAACTTTCATCATTGTTTAATGAAGAATCTTCAATATTTACTCCTTCTGATGCTACTATTAAAAACAGGACACCACTGTAAAAAAAAATGCATATATTTCAAAATAAAGAATAAAACTAGATTAATTAGTTATATAATAAATACTGACTAATAACAATTGTAAAATATTGTTAAATAACTTTTTTTTAAATTCACATAATTAAACAATTCTAACCTAAAAATCATCATGCTCGGAATTTTTCAAAACTTCCGAATTTTGAAATATAAAATCAAAAAACTAATTTAATTAATAAATAAGAAAGTTTTCTGTTTAATAAAAAAAATAATTGTCCATTTTTTTAACATTAAAAATCGCAATCTACAATGAACGAGAACTATCCAAATTTTTCTACATATCCGTTACATTTTCTATTTATAAGTTATAACAGAAAATAAATTATTTAAAAAAAACTCTTAATATTATCAAATTAGAGATTTAATATTATAATAAAATTAAATAAACCAAATTAATGGTCTTTAATTTACTTACCTCGATATGACGGATATTAACAGAAGAGTCCAATACACATAAGTTACACAAAACTTCATTTTCTTGTCACAAATGTCATTTCACCATTCTCAAAGAATTTAATAAATAAGTGCGCGCGAAATTCTTGAAGCTTATTTCTATTTCTTTTAAATTCATTCAAGTCAACGATTAACATTTCCGTAAATAACTGACGTGGTGTCACTGTGAATTCTCAATACACCACTATTTTACAAACAAAACTCCAATAAAATTTCGTCATATTTTTAATTATACGTAATTCACGAGAAATGAGAGAAAAATATACGACACTTAATTTTATTTATGTGTAAAATTGTATTTTGTAATAAGAAAATCATATTTTTTTTTTTCCTCCTTTTGGTTGAAAAAATATATGCAACCGATAAATGAATTCCAGCACACGGGGTAATCAGCTGTTTTAGAAGCGCATGCGCGTATGACGAAAAATGAGTGACGTTTAAAAAATCCGAAATAAACATATAAACAATAAAAAATGGGTCCTTTAAAATTAAATAATTTTTTGGGAATTAAAATAATAAACAATTAAATGTGTTAATACTACTCACTTTTTTGTTTTTGAGCACATCCGTAATAACGAGTTTAAAGGTTGATTCATACCTCCTGCAATGAGTGTAGAGTAGAATTTGATTGGTCCATTACAGAGGACAATTGGACGCTGCAACTTGTGAATGTATTCTTAGGCTGTAAAGTAAAAAATTTTTCTAATAATAAATTCTGAAAATATATTTTTAATATTTGTGAATGTTAAATATTAACATAATGTTTAAACTAATAATCATAATTACATTTATTTTACATTTCTTTTAAGAAAAATGTAAAAAATTATTCAAAGATCAGGCAGGAATGCCAATATTTAAGACACTTTAACCAACATAACAAGCACAAAATTCAATTTAATTATAATATATAGAAATAAAATATATGAAAACAATATGGAAAAAATTAAAAAATCTTTATGATTTTACTTTTAGATATTGTATATAAAAAAGGATTTTAAAAAAAATTTTAATTCTAAATTATTAGTTATAAAACATGACCTTGAACAAAACGCATGCGCAAAAAATGACATTACCCCCCTTGAAATTAGGTTAGAATCAGCAAAAATGTATTACTTTGGTTATTTCATCATAAACAAAAAATGTATAGTTAAATCAGTTAAATTACATGGTGGTAAAGAGTCATACTTACAGAATGTACATCTACAGTTACAATGTGTGTAAATATTTTTCCTTTGATTTGTGTTTTATTTTTTCATTGTTATTGCACTGGTGGAATTCCCCGATTTGATAACACACACATCATAAGTCTGCTGAAAAAAATTGAAAATCTACATGTCAGTTAACCTTTAGTATCTTATACATTAAAATAATAGGAAATTAAATAACGATTATAAAATATCAAAGTAAGTAATAACTCAATTAATATTAATTAATTAAGTATATTATATAAATTTCAGTTAGAATTTTGTAAGATTTTTTAATATTGAATTGCATCATCCTTAGAATATCAAAGGAAGACTACAAAAAAAGAGTTTTTTAAAAATTGAAGTATTATTAATTACAACCATCTAATTTGAAAATTGATTCATTTATGTTTTTTAACAACTATTAAAATTTTTTATAAAAATATTTTGCTATTAACATGTTTTTTCATAAGTCATAAAAGTATTCATTTGACATTATTTTGTAATATCTACAAATACATAAAATTTTAATTTGTTTCTTTAAAGATATTTATTCTTTTCTTATGTTAAAAATAACTAACCTTAACTCTTTTGAGATAATAAACAAATGTTAATTTTAAAAAGTAGAAAAATATATAAAAAGTTATTCAGAATCGAATATTTAAAATATATATTGTAAATGTATACTTGTTAATATTTTCAAAATATTATGTTTTTTTTTTATATATGTATAAAGAGCTTAAATTCAATTTTAAAGATGAATAATAAATACAAGAATAATATTTTCCTAAATCAAAATCAAAATACTTGCGAGAATAAAATTTAATAATTTTAACTTTATGTGTAATTTTCTGTTTACAGTACAATAAAAAAAAATGGAAAAAACACCTATTGCCTTATTAGGAGAGTATACGGTGAAAAGAAATCCTCCTTTACCTAATTATATATACCTTGGCGATAGAATGATTGGGGCAAATGATCATGAATTCTCTTTCAAAATTATATATCATGAATTTTCTGTTATCGGAAAAGGTCCAACAAAACAAATGGCAAAACACAATGCAGCACAAGAAATGCTTACACTATTAGGACAAAATAATTCCTCTAACAATAATATTAAATCATTACTAACATCAACAAATTCTTTAAATATACAAAATGAATCTCCAGAAACAGGAATTAATTACATTGGATTAATACACGTATGTTTTACATTTTCGAGAAGTATAATTTTAATTTTTATTTCTAAAATATATTATTTAAATTTTTCTCTTTTAGGAGTTATGTGCAAAGAAAAAAATAAAATCACCTGAATTCAATGAGAAAATTTCATGTGGACCACATCATATGAATTTTAAGATAAAATGTCAAGTTGGTGATATTATAGAAGAAGGAATTGAGAGAACAAAAAAACAAGCTAAAAGTGAGGCAGCAAAAAAAGTATGGTTCAAATTAAAGGAAAAATATAAGATTTTTGTAAGGGAGAAAGTAGAAACAGTTAATGAGGAATTTGGTCTTAATGTAGAGGACATTATAATAGAGGACATTCTTCCTGATTACAAAAATGAAAACAAAATTGCTCTTGAAAATTATTTAAAATTAACAAAATTAACAATTACACCTCTATTGAGCGAAAATATAAACATTGAAAATTGTCATCGAATTTTTACATCGGAAAAATATGATACAACTATCAGGCAAAGAATTCTTCATTTATTAGCTGATATTAGTACAATATCAGAAAATACTACATTTATTGAAAAATATCTTTTGATAATTAATCGAATTGCTAAAATTTTAAATGTTGAATTAAAACCATTAAATTTACAATTAAATCGTTTTGCAAACACTCAAAATGTTAGTGTCAATTATGCAGCTGGTTATAAATTATATACAGAACCGGCTATTACCGGTATTGGTGTTGGTGAAACATTGACATTAGCTCGATTAAGAGCAATTTTAAGTATTCAAAGTAGCATAAAAGTCTTATTAATTTAAATAATTTACATGAGTTCCAAATCGTTAAGAGTATTAATAATTCTAATTTATTTTAAGTTTAACAAGTTCTGTTTTATTGTTGATATTTTATACTTTTTCTTTTATATAAAATGAAAATAGATTTTAGAAAAAAGTATAGTATATTATTTTTATTAAAATATAATAATCTTTCAAGTTTATTACACTTTTTTCTATTTAATATTATCATTTATTATGTAAGGATATAACAAAGACTTATTTAGTATGCTTGAAAAAAAATATTAAGAATTTCTTTTTTTTTTATTAAAGTATAGGATGGGCCGCAATTTTACTTTTTTTTGAACTATTCGCTATATTGGATCCGCCATTTTGACTTTTTCAAGTCTTTGCCGAATTTTTAATTTAAAAACCAGATGCGCCAAATATAATGGTATAATAATGATTATGATGAAAAATCAAATGATTAGATTCGACGAATGTTTCATTGTAAGCCGATATATATTTTCCAAAAATTGTTTTCTTAATTTACTGTATTATAAATGTTTATCTTGTGATATATTTATAGAAAAACAAAATTTGACGAAAGTTTTCTCAATCGAAAAAAATTTGTAAATTTGCATGGGAAAAATCAAGCAAAATTCTTTTTTCAATAAATATTAAATCTATTTGTAACTTGATAAATGTGATCTATTTTCTTGAAATAAATGTATTTTTTAATAAAAATTTCAGATAATAAAATTTGTTTGATTTAAAAAAAAAAAAGTCTTTTTAAGTCCAGAAAGGTGAAAAATCAAAACTTCTACTTAAATTCTGATTGACGGTAAAATTATATTATTATTGATTGTAATTTTTTTTTTTTCAATATCAATCGGCATGCATTAAAAGGCGGGAATTTTGACGCGTTAGTATATTCGAATTAAATATATAGGTATGTGATCAAACTTTACCAAAAAGGGAACTCGTTCTCCCACTGAAATTTCTTTGAGATTATCATGTGGAGGCTGTATGTACTTGAGAGTATCCAGTCCTTGACAAACCTGCAATTGAATAGACACGAGTTTTAAAATTATATCATTATTTTATTTAATTAATTACTCACACTAATTAATCAATTAGAAAAACTGTGCAATATAATAATTTTTATCAAATGTTTTATTATTAAAAAATAAAAAAAAAATTAAGAATTCTAAAAGTGAATTTAATTTTAAATATAATTTTTCTAAAATGACAAATTTCTAATCAAATGTGAAAATTAGATTTTAAGTGCGTAATATGGGTAATAAAAGTGAAATGAAACAAATGACAAGTGAAAAATATAGTTTACGACCTCGAAATAGTGTTCGGCGAAAATTTAAATTCGACGATTATGAAAATGAAAAAGAAGAATTTTCAGAAATAAACGATAATCGGGGGAAAAAAAATTATATTAATTGTGCTGGGAAAAATAATAATAATAATAATAATAATACAAAACATCGACCACCACCTTTAAGTAAATATAGAAGAAAAACTGCAAATGCACGAGAAAGATCGCGAATGAAGGAAATTAATTCAGCTTTTGAAACTCTTCGAAAAGCTGTACCATCATATATGCCAGAATTAGTTCTTGCTGTAAGTTTTTATTTTTATATTTTTAATTAATAGAAAATATATTTGTCTAAATCTTAAATATTTAAAATCAAATAAAAATAGAAAATAATTACTTTTTTAATAAATAAAAAATTAATTATTATTTTTCAGCAAGGTGATGGAACAAATGAAAAATTGACAAAAATAACAACATTAAAATTGGCAATGTTGTATATATCAGGTTTAACAGAATTACTTCGTAAAGAGGAAGAAAATGAAGAAGAAAGATTACGCCTACTAAATGAAAGTGTCGAATCTCTGGTAAATTATCATCCCACACTTTTCAGAAATGGTCGCGATACATGCACTTTAACTGCTTTGAATACCACCACCTACGACATTTTTGAATCATCGAATTCTGTTTTAAATGTAAGTATTTTCGATGCAATTTCACTTTTTATAAAACAATTTTTTTTAATTCCGAACTATTATCGATTTTAATTTATTTAATTTATTTATATAAGACAATTATTGATATTAATTAAAATCTTAAAAATTCCTAATTAAATTTTATTTACATTTGCAAATATTTAATTTAATAACAGGACTGTGGTAGTGATGGGGAAAGTTTTCATTCTGGCGACACTTTGGACAATTTCATTAAAGAACCAATGGAGGTCCTTGTTCCTGATTTGGATCTTAATTTCTCAGATAATCTCATCGATAACGAATTAAGTTAACATATTTTTATTTTACAAAATATATTTCACAACATCGATCTCGCATTTGTAAATTTATTTGTAATATATTCTCATCTAAAAAACTAATTTAGAAATATAATTTATTGAAATTAAATTAAAAATTAATTTCATTTCTCAAGATAGATAGTTTTATTTTAATTATTATTTTTGTTACGTTTTTTTTATTCATCATTAAATTATAAAATCGAAAACCTTTCTTTTTGTTAGAGCATTGGATATGTAAATTTGATTAAAAAAATTAATAAAATAGTGGACGAAAACTCAAAAAAAAAAAAAAAAAAAAAAATTCTGGAAATTGACCTACATTTTTTTTTTAAATTGTGTGAAAGCATTTATGGTACGAGTGAGAATGCTAAAGGCGCCGTACAGTCTCAGACCTTAAAAGGTAAGTAGGTCATTAGTCTGATAACTCTTATATGGTCCTGTATGTTTTTATTTCTTTTGCGGCAATTACTATTTATTTTTATTTCGCGAAATTTAAAAATGATTCACTTTTTTTGGATATAAATTTTGTTTTACCCTGTGCAAGACAGTTTTTATACGACGAAAAACAATTTGTTCAATTATAGTTAAAAACTGTCAAAAAAAAAAAAAAATTATTTTATGAAAGCCAAAATAATTGAAAATACACATTTCTTTTCTCGAAAACACAGAAATATTTTGTTTTATCTGAAAAGCAGAACTTGAAACAATCTAAAATTGACTCGACTCGAAAATTTGAGAAAATAATTGTTTTTGATTTATTCAAAATAAAAAAAATTCATCCCGACATCAATAATATAGAATGCAAGCAAGGTTGAATAGGTAGAGATACCACTGTAACATCAGTTAATCTACGTATAACGATAGCGTGATTTAAAAAATTACGTTAAGATTTTTACGTTAAAAAACAATAATGGCACTCAGGCTATTTTATTATTTGATTGTTTTATGTTTATTATATCGCATTTATATTGTTTAAAATTTTCCTTACACTAAACTTATACTTTTTTTCTTAAAATAAAAGTTCGTATTATCTAACAATTATATTATAAATCCGAAATTATACTATTCGATTCATAAAAAAACAATTAATGCTTTTATGTATATAATATAAATTGTTCTATTCATTTCATAAAAATAATAAATGTTTATATTCATATAATATTTAAAGTCAATAATTGAAACTGATATATTTGCTTTTGGTATATTGTTATACAAATAGAATAAAAGTGATTCTAAATGCCAAAAAATATGAGACTAATATTTCCCATATGTAGATATATTATATTAATTAACACAAATTTACCATAAAAGAGATGTGCTGAAATTATTTTGATGCAAGATGTATAAATCCTGCTTTTTCTGTACGATGAATAATAAATAATGGTTGAAAAAAATTTTTTTTTAAGGAGCGCAGATCCTACCCATAACATTGTCCAAGTGGAACTAAGTGGGGGTAGTAAAAAACTGTCCGTCTTTATACTAGGCCTCCCCACCACCACTACAGTATGCTGGCTCTGCCAGGCGCTTCGTGATTGGCTCGGGTATTCACTGCCAACCAATCACGAAGTGCCTGGCAGAGCTTTATAATGTAGCGATAGGGACGTCTAGTAAAAACCGAGAGCTTTCGCAACCCCCACTCAGTTTCAGTTGGATAATGTTATGTGTCGGATCTGCGCTTCTTCAATAAAAATTATTTCAACAATTTTTTATCATTCATCGTACAGTCTTTTCAGATGGCGCTTATTAAACTACTTGCTTCATCAAGGTTGGGGGTTTACTTCATAGATGAAATTACAATTTCATTGTTTGATATATTATTATTCTCCTGATAGATGATGAAGATAACAATTAAATTTCTTTTGATAGTGAGTATAAAAGAAAGGAACAATTTTTTTTTACCATGCTTTTTTATTGAGACTAGAACTTTTCTCCCAAACGTTCTAAACTCTCTTATTAGTTGAAAAGTTTTGAACGTCCATCACTTCTACATGTATTACACTTTATCATTTATATGATGTGCATTCTGTTTTTTTTTGTTTGTTAGTTTTCTTTTAATGTATATTCATAAAACAAGTGAACGAAGACATTTTATATACTACGCGTTGACCTGCAACAGCATTTTTATATATGTTTATATAATAATATATGATACGTATACTCTTAGTATTTATGTGCGTGTTACAAATGGCAATGAAGGAGCGAGGACGAGATTGATATCGAAATTATGATATGTACTAATATTATAAAGGCTATATTTAACAATATATACTTATAGCTAACAAGAGGCGCCAGCACCTCCTTCAAATTTTTTTTTTTTTATTTGACTTTTTGGTTCTTTAGACCTTAATAGATCTATCCTATTTTTTTCTACTTTATCTACATAAATAATCTATGTGTTATTTATTATTATCATTTATAGGTAACATTGTGATAACCGTCATGGGTTTTAGTTATATTTATTTATCGTTCAAGGCGTGATAGAGAATTGTTATTTTTTTTCTTTAAATTCAAAATTTTAGCTTTTGACTTCAAATTGTGGCAAAGAATTATTTTTCAAAGTGCCAAAAAAGAGATTTCTATTATTAATTATTTACATTTGAAAAATTTTATCTTTTATACAGATTTTGTTTTTAATTATTAGAATATTTTGCAGAAAGAACATTTTTTTTTATTACTTTAGATCAATTTGTTATGTTGAAAATAATTTTTTAAATATAAATTTTCTATTTTATTTTATATATCAATTTTGCAAAAGAAAATTGAAAATAACTAAAAAAAATGTTCGTATTACAGACCAGCTGATAAATAATTCTTATTTAAGTTAATTATTAATATACAAAACAGTCCATTACATTTATGTGCCAGTTGATTTAAGAATTTTTCACGATTCGAAAAAAATGGAAATGTTCAACATTTTGTCTAATTCTATTAGAAAAATGTCATAATTAAGATTTCTAATTCTAATTTTATAAGTTTCATTGAATTTTCAAATTTTCAGGCCTAGAAGAAATTATCCAATATCTTCGCCTAATTTTTCGGTGTTTTACATTTGAACACACGTAAATGAGTCTTCTAATCTAGATTGCACCGTCTTCACTTAAATTATAAGTCCAGGTAAGAATTTTTGAAATAGCTTTGTTCCATATCCTAATTTATGTTTATAATAAAAATGTATTTTCTAATCTGATAGTTTTGTAAATTTAAAAATTTTATAAATTAAATTAAATAGAATTTTATGTAATTAAAATTTGTCAAAATTTTTCATTAATTTAATATTTAATTTTTAAATAAGTTATCTATAATTTTGAATTATTATTATATGTTAAAAATTTTAAATTATACAATTTTTTTTTTATTTTCCACAGATAAAATAAGCAAAAATGGTGCAAATCTCTGTACATACAAAAAAAATGTTGTTCACTGAATTTCTGCAAAATAACAATGTCGCGATTCCAAATGGAAAGAAATCCTGTATCAATAATAATTGATGCTTCAAAAAAAAACCAAGAAAACTTGGCCATTTATGTGAAACTGTATTATATTTTCTCAACAACTGCAACTTTTTCAATTATCGTCGCAGAACATCAAAAAGATTCAAATAAGATCAAAATGCATATGTATTGCATTCTACTCGTCGACAAGTTCCCAGAGCATTAAGGCAGCGTCAGTTCCACCGACGGTGACGACATTTTGATCATTATACAAGAAACGAGCGCAGGCAACGAGGGAGCTGTAAACTTTTTCCTCAACATATTCAGCTTTTGCGCTTGTACATGGATATCTGAAGAGACGCAAATATCCTTCAGCGTCGCCACTCACGAGCATATCATGTGCCGCTGAACGACTCGCGGTTGTTAAAACCGTTGTCAATGGGTAATAACGATTGTTCCACATTCCTAAAATTTTTAATTTATTAATTACTTTTTTTTAGCGATATTTAATATCAATATTGCGACAAAGAATTTACTTCTTTAAAATGATTTAATTAAAATATTTTATTTAATATTTAAATAGTAAATTAAATATTTAATTAACAATTAGTTTACCAATTTTTAATTAATTCAGTAATTATAATTATTAATTTTATGAAAGTATAATTACCTGACACCATAAAACCAACAGTACAATTGTAAGTGTACCATTTGACGTCCTTCATAACTAAAGGACTCTTTTCTGATGATAGAGCTTTAACGTCCCCTAAAAGAAACAATTTTTCTCATAAAATATTAATTAATAAATTTTAGAGATCGAGTCAAATATTTAATTCTTTAAATGTAAAAAAAACTTACAAAACACGAGATCATAGTCCTGAGTAACAGTTTGTAAAAATCGACTATCAGAACTCCAATCGAGTTGAACTAAAGGTTGAGTTCCTCTAATTTTATTACTCTTCTTGTACGAAAATCCATCTCTTGATACTTTGAACAAATAAACACTTCCATTTTGTGAGCCCATTGCCACCATTTCGCCAGCTGTTGAAAATATATTAATTATTTAAATATAAAAGTTGAGAATAAATTATATCGAATAGAAAATATATTTTAGTAATAGGATAATAAAAAAATACAGAAAAGGAAAAAGAAAATTTTAGAAAAAATTAAAAACATTTTTTTTTAGGACGTACTTGGATTATATCCAATGCAGGACAAAGGTGATCCACAAACTCTCAGGGTTGCCACTGCAGCACCTGTGTCAGCTGCCAAAACTAAAAGATGTCCCTCGGAAGAACCTGCGGCGAGTGCAACTCCAAAAGGATGAAAAGCAATGCAAATGCATTCAAAGCCAACCTGATTTAGAAAAAAAATTAAAGGTGTTACGTTTATTAATTATTTTTTTTAAAAATTAAATTACACCACCTAATTAATTCTTTTATCTAGATTATTTCTACAATACCTGAGTGGTCCATAGCAATTTGTGTCGTCTCCATAATGCAATATTCTTATCGTGACCAGCAGTGGCAAAAACTTCATCGTCCGGATGAACAGCCAAACCCCAAAGCTGCCGTCCATGACCGAACACAACTTGGTTAAATCGTCTTTGAAGTGAACCTTCCAAAATATTATTTCTCGTTGTTCCAACGTAAATATTGCCATCGTTTCTACCTGGCCGTTGGGGATAAATACTTCGTACACCACCGGCAGATTCTGGCAACTGCAATTAGGTAAATTATAAACGTTTTTTCAATTTTTTTTTTTTTTTTTTTTAAATATTATAATATAAATCATAATTTTTATGAACAATTTTTTACCTTGGTATCTGTTATTCGTTTATAGTTTTGCAATGAATCCCAAGCAGCGATTTTACGATCTTTCTCACCACCAGAAAGTAAAGTGCCTTCGGAAAGCATCACCAGACAACTGATGCCTTTATTGTGTGCTTCAAATTCCATTCGAACAAAATAAGCTCCATCCGCATCGACGGAATAAATTGTGATAAATCCATCACTATCAGCCGTGACAACATCTCCGTCTTGTTCAAATTGAATACTCGTCACGTGTGTACGAGAGGGCTTTAAAAAAAATTTCATGGTAATTTGATTTTTATAAATCTTTCTTTGATTTTTTAACACAATCGATTAATTTATTTTTATTTATATATATTTCACTTAATTTATTATTTTAATTTTCTACATAAAATTTCTAATTTTGTTTAATTTCATTTACATTTAAATTAATTTATTGATTTAATTTATATTCTTAAAAAATATTTAAATTTTACTTACAGGTTTAATTATGTCGGTCCTTTCAAAGAATCCATCCTTTCTTCGATTCCAAAATGTTAAATGACCTCGACCATGAGTGATTAGAAGATTGTCGTCGAGAGGATGAAAAGCAGCTCCAGTCAAATCTTCCTGTAGTGTCTGTAAGTAAAATTTTTGTTAATATTCATTTTTTTATTCCACTAGATTTTTTTTATCAGGATGATCGAAGATTCAAAAACAAAAAGTCACATTTTTTTTGTTCAAAGAATCTGTTAATTGACAAATAAATTTTTATATTTTCTTTCTGCTTTTAAAAAAAGAAATTATAAATTAAATATCACAATTTTATATGGAGAATTATAAATTAGCTTTAGGAAAAATATAAAATTAATCACGAGAAAGTTAGGGAAATAACAGAGAATTCATATTAAATTTTCGCGCCAGCTTTAATTTTCCCCACGAAAAAGTATGTACAACATTAGAAAATGAAAATATTAAATTAATCATTCTTATTTCTCTGTTAAATAATTGTTACATTAAAATAAAGATTATCGTGTTTGTAGCTAGAAATTTAATTTAAAAATAAGTAAAATTAATTAATTAATTAGTGAAACTTATTATTTTCATTTTTTACATGTTGGCAATTCGGAATTTCTCTTAGCAGTAAGAACAGTGAAAAACGTGCTCACAACGTGCTTAACACATTTTCCTCAGTTTTAATTGAAATAGTAATATTTTATTGATTTCTCTTTAGTTAAATTCTAAAATTTAACAAATTTTAGTTTAACAATTCTAATAAATTAAAAAATTCAGCCTAAATTAGTAAAACATGATTTTATTTTTCTTAGTGAAGTGACAGACACCTAACCCATAAAATACTTTCGTTAATTTTCAATCGAATTCGCATCGAAAATAAAAAATATTTGGTAAATAGATTTTATTTAAAAGTGTGATTTTTTCTTTTATTAATAATTTTAACAAATGTAATACATTGTTTTGAAAATAGATGATTTTTAGGTTATGTTCTTTTATTTTTATTTTTTTGTTGTGGCAACATTTTAATGAATTATTCATAAGTAATAGTTAATATTATCAAATTAAAGAAGTGAATTAATATTATTATTTATGTATATTATTAATTTATTGTTCTATATTGTTATTTTCTTTTTATTTTCAGTTAAAACTGTGTTTCTATACGAAAATCGTTGTATTCGCTGGGTACAAGCTGAGCTTCGTTTGCAGATTCTAAAAGGTATTTAACAAACTCAAAAATATTCGGATGCTGATATTATTGAATTTAATATAAATATTTGAAAATTAATTTACTCACCGCTACTTTACCGAGTAAATGACCCCATTGCCATTGCCATACTGAAAGAATTGCCTCCCTTCCAGCGTCGACAACTAAAACGTAACTACCTCCATTCTAAAAATTTTTAACATTGATGAATAAAAAAATCCCTAATTAAAATTCGGAAATTTTTTTTAAAAAATCCAAAATTTATTACACTAAAAAAAGGGTTTGACAACCAAACGTTTGGTTGGTATTTAAGCAATCAAAATTTGTTTGACACAACCAAAATTAGAAAAAAAGGATTTTTATTGTCCTAACTAAAGTTTGATTGGGACAACCAAAATTTTGTTGATTCAACAAAAAAATTTTGGTTGCTTAAATACCAACCAAATGTTTGGTTGTTAATACCAAACCTTTTTTTCAGTGTATAAATAAATTCTAAATTTTTTTTAACCAATTCAATTAATTTAAATGAAATTGAAATGAATTCCAAATAAAAAAAAATTTCAAGAAATACAAAATAAGTAAAGTTTAAAAATAAATAAAAATTTACTATATTTACCAATTGTGAAAAAGCAAGGGCAGAAACGCCCATTTGAAATTCGGTCATTCCAAAAACATAAAGTGTGAGAAGAGTTTCTGTCGACCAAATTCGAACATGCGGTTGTGCTTTTCTGTGCCTTCCGGCTCTTTGACCGGAAGCTACTAATTCCCTGCTAGGATGTACCTTAAATAAAAAAAATTCAATTAAAATTAAATGCAACGTTAAAAAAATACATTATTAAAATTAAAGAAATAAAATTTCTTTTTTTTTGCAAAAAATAAAGCAATTCCAATATTTATTTTCAGACATATTTGAAAAATCTGAAAAACACATTTTTTTAGAAAAAATAAGTGATATTTCACTGAACATGAATAAATCGTTTTTTTTTTAAATTAAATTTTGAGAGAAAATAAATTTTTATTAATTAAAAATTATGAGAGTGTTTTGGAGAACCTTAAAAAGACATTTTCAGGTATTTCTTAAATTATTTAATTATTAATCAATAAATTAAAAAAATAATTAAAATTTCGTTTATTTTATATACCTCCATGCAGGTAATATCCTCAGTATGTCCAACGTAATGTCGTTGAGCATTTTCTTCTCTATCAAAGAGAACAGCTACGGCAGCAACATAATAAAGTAATTCTCCACTTGGCAGTACCCAAAGATTTCTTCGCGTATCAGTACCCCGATAACCGTAAACCCATTCTAATTGTAATTTTTTATCTGGCGGTGAATTGTCGACCGGTGGAAGATGAGAGGGTGGATAGAAAGATCGTCTTAGTCCTCTTATTGTAACTCTCGCTGGTTCTTCTCTTAATACTTCTACAACGCTATAATCTGCAAAATTTTATTAGAAAATAAATAAAAATTATAAAATTTAAATTTAAATTCTGCCAAATAAAATTAAAAGTTCTTACCATTGACTCGTACTACTTCGGCTTCAGGAGCGTACAATGCACGGGGTCTACTCTTGCTGCGTGCCCTCCTTTGTCGTCCAATATCCTCAACAACAGTTGATGGTCCACGAGAACGTGATCTTCTCGCTGGTGAACCCAGGGCCGTACCCATTCCGGTACCAGCGCCAATTCCCAAATAAAATGTATCCACATCGGCAAATTCATTTCTCAATTGTGAGAAACTCCTTACCTGTGTTTATCAAGGACAAAAAAATTTGATATTACAATTAAATGTCGACCTTCTTTTCTGAAGAATTTAGATAGAGAAAGACATTGTGTGTATATAGGGTAGATATTTGTGTGGAATGTAGGCGTTTGTGATTTTCGCAAAGACTCGAGTAAAACGGGGAAAATTGCTTTTGATTTGAAATTCATATGCGGTCGTGACCTGAAAGACGGATCTCTGACCTTTTTCTTCAATCGGCCTAGTTGGGCATAACTGAAGGCGTGTATAATCGTTTAATAGTATATATATATATATCTAATAAAAAGGAAAGGGAGAAAAGGGACCTTCTTTATAAAATGAGGCCGAGGATGAAATTTCCATTGTAGGGTTACTAAGAAAATCACGAAATGATATATGTATAAGAAATATTATAAAGAAAAATTAACGCGGAGAATCAGATCCATCATCACAAAAGTCGGAAGTAGACAGTGGCCTCAGTTCAAAAAAATGTTTTGTGATTTAAATCTTAATAATTATACTAACTCGAGAGAGGGTCGAAATTTTTAATCATTATGGATCTCTGATTGTTATCACTAATTGTCATATTGGATTTTTATTAATCTTTCACTTTAATCACTCTCTTTCTTTCTCTCTCTCTCGAAAAAGGGAAACAACTTTTCAAATATTGATTTATTTTCCCATTTTCATGCGGAGAAAAATATACATTTTTCAAAAAGTTAAGGGTATATTTAAAAACAAATTACTTCATTAAAAGCGTTTTTCATTTTTTTAAAAAATAAAAAAATCCGGTGGTAAATGAAAATTTTATATTATAAATAATTATTAAACATTTTCAAGCAATAATTTTATATTTAATAATTTGGCTAAATAAAAATTCGATTAAATGAAAATGTAGTGGCTAAACAAAAAATTCTATACCAATTGAAAATTTTACATGATTATTCTGCTAAATAAAAATTCAGTTAAACAATCATTTATGGCTAAATTAAAATTTAATTTAAAAAAAGAATTTAAATAAAAATTGTATTAAAAATTCATTTGAAGGATAAAAAAAGCATAAATCAACAAAACAAAGAAAATTGAAGTAAAGTTTTTATTTATATAATTTATTGAAAGTGATTCCCTTATTATATTTTGAACATATAACTAAACTAATAACAAATGAACTGATTCTAATCTAGACACATCTCAAGAGACGATAGCGTGTAAAATATGTACATAATGAAGTTAGTCGTGTTTCTCTATAGGCGAATGATTTTTAAAAGATTGATCAATATTTAAGATTTGAGATTTTAATCACCCCCATTTAATATTGAATTTTATATAATATTTATTTTATGTAAACGAGAAAGACGTATCTCAGGCGCGACATTGTTGCGTATTATAAAATTATTTTGAATAACTTTTTTTAGGGGGTGACATAATTTTATACATTTGTGGACAATATTATAAAGTGTGTGAGGAATGTTCAAGAAACAAAACTCACTGTAAGCGTGACGATCGGGGTCGACTTTATTCAAAACGACAGAATCGGGTCGCAAGAATTTTTCCCAATTCAACACGCACGCTTATTTAGAAAAAAATTAATTTTTACTTAAAAGTCTCTTAAAATATTTTCAATTTTCCCCATTTTGTTCATATTATCAAATAAATATTTTCTCGAACCAAATAATTTTTATTTTTTTGTTAATTTATTGAAAGCAATTTTCTTTTTTGTCTCAATAAATGGGCTGTCGTTCTTCTTTCAATTATATCACGTTTAGATTTTAGTGTGTAATTAATTTGGATTTGGAACAAACCTCTTGTCCTGAGACAGTAAACATTCTCTTGGCCCCGTTCATTTTGAGCACTTGGCCCAAATCCTCGAGCACTTCCTCGAATGGTTGAGACGTTCGAAGATTCAAGAGCACTCGACACTAATGAAAAATTCACAAAAAAAATAATTTAAAAAAAAATAATTATTATTATTAATATTATAATATTAATATATTAATAATGTTAATAAATAATATTAAAATATTTCCGGATCTGACAGACCGAGAAAAGGACTAACGGTATTTTTTTTAGTATAGGTTAAAAAATTTTGTAGTCAAATCGTAAAATTTCGTCAATTTTGTATTTACAATAAAACTTACTTGAACCGTGTGATCGAGGTTGTTGACAATACGAATGACGCGACCGGAAGAGGGTTTTCCACCCCCAGGAGGGGGGGCTTCGTCGGTGATAGACGCTTTCCTGCTAAGACTTGCCACCGCCGGGGTACTTCTACTTTGCCACACTCCAACTCCTCCACCTCCACCCAATCCGGTACCAGCACCTCCACCCCTACTTGCACCTCCACCGGGAGTTGCATACCACGTATTGCTCTTTTTGCCGTAGCTTGCCGGCTGAAAATCGAAATTATTTTTCAAAAATTTTTAATTTAAAACTTAAAAAAGCAAACTAGAAATAACCGTTATTTTTTATTAATAATTAATTATTTATTAATTCAATTAATAATTATAATTTTTATTTAATAATAATTATATTTTTTATTAAATATTAATTAAATAATAATTAATTAATAATAATTATTCACAAGAGAATATATTTTTAATGAGTTTTTTTTTTTAATGAAGAGGAAATGAAATAAATAATTTAAATATAAAGAATTTCAAAAATTTGTTTCTAAAACTTTTATTTTGCTTAATTATAAAAAATTAATTTAATATGAATAATAGTTTACTCTAATGAATTTTTTTTTTTTGTATTTCGTGCAATGTTTTATGGTCAGAAATTAGAAATTAAAATATTTTAAAACATGTATCCACTGATTTTTATCAAAATTACTTTTAAAAAAAAAAGATTATAGATTCTAGAAATACTAATTACTGAAAGTGGTCACTTTAGGGGATTAAGATTCATTTTTAAATGATAAAAAAAAAACTGAAATGTAAAATTATTTTAATGAACTATTTTTCATGTTTTATTGAAATTCATTTTTCTTTAGTTTTTATATATATATTTTAATTTCATGAAATTCTCTTTTAATTAGTTAAAATTTTTTATTAATATTCAAATACATTGAAAAAATTTTAATAAGCAAATAAATTATTTGATCAAATAAATTATTAATTTAGAAACATTTTGATTTACATCACATTTATTCGCGCAGTAGTAAAAGAAGTTTTTGATCAGACAACGATGTCAGTAGTAATACTATTATTTAGTCAGACACGCGTTTTCTCTTATTATTTTTTTGATTTTTAAACATTTCCAAAAAAATTTCCATAAATATTTTTTTATAAATTAAAAGCAAAATTAGTATTTTCTTTTAGTAATTAATAATTTAATTTAATTAATTAATAATTAAAATATAAATTATATTAGTTAATTATTAGTAATTAATTAATTAATAATTATGAATGTAAATTATTATTAATTAATTGTTAAAAATTAATTTATAAATTAATTAATTTTTGCTTTTAATTTAAAAAAAATTTAATTAAAAATTAGATTTTTTTTTCAATGAAAATTGTGGGAGAAAAAAAATACCTGTATCATTTCGGCCGGCAAGGATATAACCTCAAAAGAATCGCTCATCAACACGACAAAACTGTCGCAAGTATTGCGGATAAAATTATTGTCTTCAGAAAACTCAGAATCGCTAAAGTCCTCGGCGATGCGATCGGCAATTCGATCGACGAGGTCCGGCCCTGAGTCCGAACGGTATGAGGAACTCGGCGACTCAATGGTGAACGGATCAAACGAGACGAAAAACGCTATATCGAAAATCCCTTAGTTCAATCGAATTTTTCTTTTCATTTATCTGACATATTTTTTCCCCCAAAGAGAAAACAAAATCATTTGCATTAAAAAATTTCACTCTAAATAGAATATATAAAAATAAATAAATAAAATAATTAAAATTAAAAAAAATCTTAATTGTTTAACAAGTAAAGTTTTTTTTTTCGAAAAAAATAGTAGAAAAACATTTTTTTAGTTTGACATTTAAGTTTCGGATTTGAATTGCAGAGCACTAGCATTTTAGAAAGAATTATCATACCACGCGATCGGAAACACATTTTGCCAATGTTCTTGGACTTTTTTTTTTATACGTGTATTCTTGCAAATTTTTCTCTGCACTTATATATATATATATATTTATTATATAGATATTTTGTTTTTCTTTCGAAATAGAAATTAAAAATTGTTTCTTTATGTATAGATAATTATTGCAATAAATAATTTTTAATTTGTTTAGACTAAATAATTTTTAAAAAGCAAAAAAAAAATTTTCGGAGATTAATAAAATATTAAGTAAAAAAAAATAATGAGAATTTTTAAAATATACATTTTGTTGTTGGCATTATCAATGATTTCGAAGGCCCTCAGCTTTGACACTTGAGGAAATAATGGACACAAAAGCGAATGACGTCATCAAATGCAGTTAACCCATTTCGCGTTCAAATGCTTCGAAGCCCATAAATTAACTACTGATGTAACGTGCATTCATTCTTTTGGCAGCATTCTTACATTTGTCATTAATTTCTCTCTTCGTGTCAAACTTTCTTCTGTATCGTATATAATTTTTTTTTCTATTTATGACCTTAATTAATGGTATATAATTTTTCCGCAATTTTACATAAAAATTCGAAATATTAAAATTTAAAAACAAAACTTTTACTTGTTAAACATTTCTAAAAAAACAAATTTCTATTTCAATTTAATTTTCCACCAATAACTTTATTTCTAAAATTAATATAATTTTAAAATTAGTTTTAAAATTAATTTTGTTGAAACAAATTTTAGATATAATTTCTATAATTATTGATGAAAAATTAAATTGAAAGCAATTAAAATTAATGTAATTAAAATACAATTCGATTTGAAAAAAAAATTAATCGAGAAAACAAAATCAGTGAAAATTAAAAATTTTAATGCAAATTGTTAATAAATTGAATTTGCTTGACTCACCAACAAATAAGCTTTTTAGTCATTAAGTCGCGCACTCACGTACGCATTGTTATACACGATCACATAATTCAGCCGAGATTACTTTCCCGCGACAATTTTCGTGGGAAAGTGTAGAAATTCGCGACGTATTTTAAATTGACAAAGGGGTGAGGGTCGAAAAAATTTATTTAGATATAAAAATGATGGAGGGAGGGGAAAATTTTTGTATTTTTTTTTTTTTAAAAAGGATGCTGTTGATGAGAACCAAAAATTCAAGTCCTGTGTACACGTTGGCTCTGAATCGACTACTGAGTGAGCGTAACTAACACTCCTTAGGATCCTTAGGACCTGTGTGTGGCTAAGACCTAGTAAATCCCCACCAACCCCCCTTGCGGTGTGGACTCAAGGCCAGCCGCAACTAACACATCAAGGGGTAGTTGATATTATTGGGGAGAGACCTCGTCGGGATACTGCATGTTAATCGAGACAATGCACCTTAAAATGCAAACTTTATTCTGAAAAAAAAGAATCTCTGCGTCGCAGCATTAAAAAAAAATTAAATTCCTATTTACTGATATTTTGTTTTTTTTATTTAATTATTCTGTAATAAATTTTTCATTCGTGACGCCTTTTAATAAATATTTACTTGAATTAAATAAACTTCATTTGAACCAATAATTTCTGTATACTATTTGATTCAAATAAAAATTATTTTGATACAAATAATTATTTATTTGATAATAGTCAAGTAAACCGAATATTTGAATCAAATAAATTTTTTTTTAGTATAACTACACTTTTTATTTGAACCAAATATATTTGAGTTAAATAAACGTATATTTGTCTCAAACTAGTCCATTTATTTGGCGTAAATAAATTTTTTTATTTAAATCAAATAAAAATTTATTTGAATGAAAAAAATATTTGTCTCTGAGACAAATATATCATTTCTCTGGTTGTATAATAATAGTAATAGTAATAATTTTAATAACAATAATTAAAATTAAATATATTTAAATTAAATAAAATCAAAAATTTCCGTTCAGTATAGAAAGAATTTTTCTTTTTAAAGACAAGTTTATTTGTCTTTCTTTCATTATTATATTTTCGAATACGTAGAGGTTGTAAAAAATTCTTATCTGTTGGATTTTGTGCTCTTGTAACTCTGGTTTTTATTGACTTGGTAAATTTTCATATTCGATCTTCAATGTAACTATGTTTCGAGATACTTGAAATATAGATATATTATACCTATATTGAAAAAGGGTGTTTGGTTTAGGATATAGCGAGTTCAATTTAATCGAACCACACATTTTAAAAAGGCCATAATATGATGATAGTGAATTTCATATATAGTGGACAAAAAAGATTGATTAATATTGGAATTTAAAATATTTAAAGAGGCTAGGAATATTTATAAGTAAATGTTATTCCATTTTTTTTTGCCTTCCTAATGTATGGCCTTAAGACCTTTTGACTAAAAAATAAATTCAAATCATTTTTTTTTATTTATAGTATGTCTATAATATTTCAGACAAATTTTCTAGAATGAAAAAAAATTTATTTCCAATTTCAATAAATTTTTGATTTGAAACGTTTATTAGAGGCATAATTATAGAGATTCATTTAAAAAAAAGAGAGTTTTAAAATTAAAAACTAGTTTTGAAGTATTTTAGTAATGAAAAAATAGGGGCCGAGTTGAAAGAATTTGATGGTAATTATATATTGACTTCGCCCACATTTCGGTCAATTATTAGGACTAATGGCGCAGCTCATTCACTTAGAGAAAATCAGAAAATCACAATTGGAAAGAGGCAAAATTTTACTTGCTCTCTCTCTATAATGGCAAATAATCGACTTATGTTTTCTCAACACGCATGGAATTCGAAGGCTATATCTGATCAATGTTTGGAATTTTGTATTATGCTCTAAATATTCATCTTTATAATACTTTTTTCCTTTTTACAATTGTTTTTCTTCAGATTTAATTCAGATTTTCGTTTTTCTTCTTCGATTCAATATATATTTTCACGAATTTTTTTTTCTTATTGTAATTTTACAATTATTATTACATTTTTTTTAATTAACAATAAATTATCGTTGAGGAGTTTCACAGAAAATTAAAAGGCATTAAAATAAGCTGCAACGCTTCTTATTTTAATCCAATTTTGCTTATTTTAATCCATTTTGGTATTAAAATAAGCAAAATTGGATTAAAATAAGAAGCGTTGCAGCTTATTTTAATGCCTTTTAATTTTCTGTGTTAGAGAGAGATATATTTTTTTAAATTATAAAAAAAATAACTAAAAAAAAGAGTTATATTTTTTTCATTTAAACATATTGTAAAAAATTTACCAACTAAAGAAATTAGATCGTGTAATATGTAATTTATACGTATGTAAAATTTGCTAATCGACGTTTTATCTAAAATTTACATCACTCGACGCTATGATGAATAACGATAAAAAACGGTTATATATAATTTACAAACTAAAATATTATAAAGAATTATTTACACAAAGAAATTTTATTTTTTAATTAAAAATTTTTCCAAAATTAATAAAATTTTTATTTAATTGTAATGGGAATATTTAATTTTTATTTATCAAGCAGTTTTTCCTCATTTTTTTTCTAATAACAAAAATATTTGTTTAAAGTTTTTTTTTAAAAGTTTTTTTTTTTAATGAAGTTAATTTGCATTTTTGAAGTAAAAAAATTTGAATTTGACAAAATAAACATATATAGTTGCTGTTTATATTGAATAGTCCATTCACAATTTGAAACTATATGAGAATTTCGATAAGGACTTGCATAAAGCCAAAAGCCTCTTGTTGGATAAAGAAGGTTAAACAGTTAAAATGTAGTTATTGTATAGTGTACAGACGTAAGCGTACGATAGTAACAGCATGAATTAACTCCAGGGTCAAGGTTGGAACGCTAATTCACATACTCTCCTACCCCTTTAATTTTCAGTCTCAAACGTCCTTAAACCCAACTATGGAGGTCATTAGTATTTCACATTTTCTCTACATCTCATTTCATCAATTTTAATTATTACATTCATCATTTGTTATTATACATATTCAATTATCATAATACAATTATATATATTGAACCTCAGTACTCAAATTTAATTATAATATATCTTAATTATTATAATAAAATAATCAACGTTTATTTATGAATTAATTTAATAATTAATAATTAATAAAATTATAATTAATGTAATAATTAATTATTATTGAATTAAAAAATGCAAATTTAAATTATTGGTATAGCAAATAGTAACCAATTCATTAACAGAGATAATAATTCATAATTCCATAACAACAAATTTAAAATTCAAATTAAAAAAAAAGAGAGAGAGAAAGAAATTATCAATGCACTATTTTCACTTGGTTATTTGTGTTCAGCATGCCACAACGATCGGAAACGCGTGATTCGTATATGGCATGTCCTAATGTAAAAAGCTTCCTGTACTTCTTCGAGGCAACCTCCTTTTTTTCTGACTTTTATCTCGAGAAACGATAACAAGTACCTATATGCGCGATAATATGGCCGCACGCTCGAGGAATTGCAGCTTTGATACGTCTTTAATAGTCACATATAAGAAGAGAGAAAAAAAAAGTGTGCTACTTATTTTATACAAAAGTGAATTTATAGGTCAAAATTTGGGTCAACAGAAATAATAACAATTACATACCTCATACTCTAATAACTATATATAAGTATAGACTCAAAATTCAAATGAATTTGGGTTATCGACATGGGAAAATTTTTGCATGCGTGAAGCTATTCGAGTTTATAAAATATTTCAAATATTAATTTTTCGACTATATATATAAAGAAAGAGTGAGTGATAAAACTTTAAATTAGTAGCGTGCCTATTTGTCATAAAACATATTTATTTAGAACGATCAACATTTAAAAAAAAACAGCATGAGTAGTGAACGAAAATGATTTAAATTTTTTATAATCTTTGTAGATATTTGACTTCATTACTGGATGAAGCCGAAATGCAGTTCTTTAAAATTTATTATTTTTATCTTTATACTCTGTTATCTGTGAAAAAAAATGTCAAAATTATTTTTTAATGAAATTATGACTAGTTAGGATGTACAATACATATTACAGACAATTTATTAAGAAATAAATTATATTATTTTTAAAAATACTTTCTTGACACGATAGAAAGTAATTTTTTCGAATTTAACAAACTTTCATTTTAAACAGATTTTTACACAAAAAATTAAAAGGCATTAAAATAAGCTGCAACGCTTATTATTTTAATCCAATTTTGCTTATTTTAATCCATTTTGGTATTAAAATAAGCAAAATTGGATTAAAATAATAAGCGTTGCAGCTTATTTTAATACCTTTTAATTTTTTGTGTAGTTAACAAAAAATTTAGGTATTTTTTAATTGATTTTCATTTTACAAAATTTCTCTTTATACAAAATTCTAATTTAGCAGAATATTTTCATTCAATGGAATTTTAAGTATTTTTTTTTTTTTTTTTTACAGAATTTTCATCTGGAAGTTATCAATAGTTCAATACGGAATTCCGGAAGTAGTGTTATCGTTTCTCCTTCAGGATTTGCTTTTGGTGAGTACTTTTAAAAACAATTTGAATTTTTTTTAATAAAGCGGAATATTTTTTTCCAAATTTGAGAAAAAATTATTTTTATTACGTTTTGCGATTATATATATTATTTCAATGCAAATAATAATAATTATTATATTATATTATATTATAAATTATTCCTAAAATTTTGTGCAATTTCACAAAGTCCACTCTTATTTATTACAATAATATGCATAATAATTTGCAATAGTGTATAATAGTTAATAGCTGGAATACATAATGAAATAGATTTATTCACCCCAAACTGTCGGAATTGGAATTTGTAATGAGGAGGCGGCCATTCAGTACTTGCAAATTTGAAAATGTAGATCAATCTTGGAAATTTAATATCTCATTATGCAATGACGCGTATAGTATAGATTTCAATTTGTGAATTTGCAAATAAATTATTTTTCCCTTTCGCACTCTCAAACATTAATATGAATTTGACGAGTTAGATATATATACATTTCTTCGTTAGTTAATTATTCCACATATGTCTGACGAAACTCGGGTTTCACTACTTATTGTTAGTGCCTTGCTGTTTCCAATTATTTAAGTATCTTTTTATTTCTTTTACTATATTTAAATTTGAAAATAAACTAAATCATTTTTTATAATTACTACATATTTTATTTGAACCAAATATAATATATTTAAATTCAATAAACTTATATTTGTCTAAGCCCATTTATTTGAAGCAAAAAAATTTATTTGAATCAAGTAAATATTTATAAAAACGAATATTTTGAAAAAATGTTCAACTTTTTAATGGTAATTATTTTGTATGTAAAATTTGTCTAGAGAAATAATTATATACAATGTCACAAAAAAGGAATATTAAATAAAAAGAAATTTAAAGGGGAAAAGAAATATTTGATTGTAATAAAGTAAGTCGGCGTGCTTTTTTTTTCTTGGACGGTACAATTCGCGATATTGCAATGCAATGCATCACTTTGCACGTGCCAAGGCCAAGGTCATGACTCGTCACGCGCTTTACAACGCTAGACAGGTACAATACTGGTTAAGTACCTGGCCCGGGGGTTACTACGGGTGCTCAACCCTTGGCCTTTGACGCATCTCTCATCGGGTACAATAATCTCTTTAACATCATCTTTATCGTATTTCTCAATCTCTTATGTAGTCGTCTATTTATTTGGCGTGAATACAATTTTTTTATTTAAATCAAATAAAAATTTCTTTGAATCAAAAAAATATTTGTATTAGCACCAAATAAATATTTATTTGGTTGAAATAAATATTTACTTGTTGCAAATAAATATATTTATTTGATTTACATAAAAATTTTATTTACGCCAAATAAATGGGCTATTAGGCTCTGAGACGGATATACGTTTATTTAATTCAAAAATATATTGTATTTCGTTCAAATAAAACATTTCTTTGTGTATGTATTTTAAATAATTTTATACTTGATATAATAATTGATTGGCTTAAATAAATGGTTACTTGTTTGTTATGAAATAAATATTTACTTGAACCAAATAATTTTTATTTGAATTAAATAAACTGTATTTGAACCAATAATTTTTGTATTTTAAACAAATATCATTTTAATGACTCAAAAATTATTTGGTTCAAGTAAATATTTATTTGATAATAATTAAATAACCGATTATTTGGTTCAAGTAAATATTTATTTGATAATGATTATATTTGAATCAAATAAATTTTTTTTTATTTTAATTCAGTATAACATTTTACAAACATGACAATATATTGAGCAATTAAAATTTCTTAGTTTCGTTATATCGATTGTAATGGTTGTAAACATAACATATATATACATTGGATTTCTGCCATATATACGAACTGAAACCGCCTTCATTGGTCCGTTGACTCTGTATGCGAATGCAAATTGAAATCGATCGCCATTAGAGAGTTAGGATAGAGGCAACATGTTCTATTACGCGCTTGCAATAAGACTCGAATTTTCGGTGATAATAATTACTCTTAATTAAAATAAATTAAAACTTTACTGTATTCAATTTTTTTTTTGGAAAATGATATAAAAATGGGAAATATTTTTTGTTTTTAACTTTTTTTATGGTAAAATTATATATAAAAACAAACGTACTAACAATTGTGCTCAGTAATAATATAGTAGATAGCAGTTCTTTAATATTAAAATAAGCAAAAATATTAAAAACATTTTAAAAACCTTGGCTTTAGCTTGAAAATAGATTTCGGAAGAATAAATGTATGTAATTAGTCATCATAAAGCTTATCTTACAATATACTTCTTAGAACTCGGCGTTCTCTCTTGCGATTTTATATTATTTCGGTGTTAATGACATGCTTTTAATTTTACCACTTCACACCACACACGTACAGTGAAAAATAAAACACGCTCGCAATTATATTTGTAGATAAGTTGTAACAAAAGAAATCTTTAGAAAATTTTTTTTTTAATTTAATTTTTTTTTTAAAAAATTATTTTTTATATGTAATATAATAATTAATAATAATTAATTAATAAGAAGAATTTAAGTGATAAAATTCTTTTTATTTTGTAAATTATTACAAAAAATTATTATTATTATTATTTTTTATTTTTTTTATTTTATTATTTAAACAATTTTGTGTGTTGAGAATTTTGTCGCTCCCTCTTTAGGGTGTGGACCAATTTTTTTTTTTTTTTTGTTTTATTATTCATCATGCACGCGTGTTCATACTGCATACGTTATATATGGGGGTTTATAGAGCGTATCTCAGCATCGTTATAAAGGACTTAGAAATTACTATATGCCAGTGCGTGACAAGTATAAGAAAGTAAGTCGCAATCGTGTTACTATAATACTAAGTACAAGGGTTGACGAGGTGGTTGCCCTACTTATGACATAATCATCTCAGAAACGAGGACATTTAATCTAAGATGAATTTTAATATAATCTTTATTAAAATTTAAAAAAAAACACTTCCTGAAAAACTCTTTAATTTTTTTTTCATATATAATTTACGTAAAATTCAAATTTTTTTTGTTTTAAATAAAAAATTTAATTTAGCACAAATTTTTTTTAAAAAACTACTCTCTAAATCTGAATTAGTAAAAAAGTTTACTATTTTAAATTAGTGACTCACTTTTTGCTTCTCAATTAGTAAAATTCTACTAATTATTAGTAACTTTTACTAACAATTAATAAAATTTAACTAATTTTAAAGCAAAAAGTGAGTCACTAATTTAAATTAGTAAACATTTTTACTAATTCAGATTTAGAGAGTAAATAAAATTTCTTTGAAACAAATAAATTTTTATTAAAACTAATAAACATAACATTTTATTGCTGAAATTTTTTTTTATTTGTAATAAAAATTATAAAATAAAAAATAAAATTTTTAAAAATTTTATTAAAAAATAAAAGAAGTGAGAAATATCGCATTGTTTTATATAATATGAAAGTAATTTATCATACTTTATAGAAATTATGTTACATTCAGAAGAAAAACAGTTATTCTTTATTTTTATTTAAACTCTCTTTATATATATATAGTATATATATATACATTTTGTGGTCTGATATCATGCGATATGCAAATAATTATTTATTCAAAAATCTCTCCTTAAAAATTCTTAATTTACTTATTATATATACATGTATAATGTCGTGTTTGTATTTTAATTATCGTTAAAAAAAAAAAGTTTAATACAAATTTCTCAGCCACGTTAGATTAAAAAAATGCGCAAAATTATATATTGCAGATTGTTCATCTTATGAAAGTAATTAATTTCTATGAAAAGGAAAATTATTTTACAATTTTTTTTCTGATATAAAATAATGAATTTTAAATAAGTTTTATTTAAAAAAAAAAAAAAAAAAATTACAGAGAAAAGTAATTTTGGTATATACCGCAATTTCTTATCAAAGTTCCACTCGAGGGATTTTATATAAATATAGTTGGGGAAACAGCTCTCGCAAAGTTTATACTGCGCGCGATAGTTTTGAGAAAAAAAAAAAAAGCCGAGAGAAAATTTGTGAAAAAAGAATCAGTTGAGGTTAAAGTACAATGGATAATTTGCACCGGGATACATGTGAACTATATGTAATTAACTATATAATGTCGAGTATATCAGTTGCAAAATCAAAGTAATGATGTCAATTAAACGCAATTGCAGTTAAACATGCACTTCCTGTTTTTTCCTATTTTTTTAATTTCCAGATTTTTGTTTAATTATTATTGTTTTCCTAAAATTTTTTCGGAAAAAATTATATTTAAAAAAAAGGATTATCTATCGGTATTTATTAAATATTTTTTTTTTGCATTTAAATAATTAAAAAACAAAGTAATTAAAAATCTTTCATTGATATTTAAAAATTGCAAACTTCCGCTTGAGACGAGCAAATAGTGACTATATAAAGTAATCAATAAATGGAGACATCAATGCTGGAATATCTTTCCTTCGGGTATATAATACAAAAGTACAAATAATTTTCTTTCTATTTATATTAAAAAAAGTAAAATTTTAAAATAATAGTTATAGTATTGATTGTGAGTTGTTTTTTTATTTACTATTTTATAATTTATAGCAATTTGAATTTTAAATAAATAACTATTTATTTGATAATAGTCAAGTAACCGATTATTTGAATCAAATAAATTTTTTTCAGTGTAAATAATAATAATAATAATAATAATAATAATAATAATAATAAAATAACAAACAAAATTAAATTTGATTAATTGTATTTGTTACAAAAAATTTTAGTTATTTAAAATAATTAAAACTATTGAAAAAAATAATAAAATTTTAAACAATTAAAAAAAATTAAGGGAGACAGTAATAAAAAAAAATTGAACGTATAAAAATTTGAAGTTAAAAGTAAACAGTGGTAGCCTCTCTCGGACGAAAAGTGAAACGAAAAGTGGCAATTGCGTTTAGTCGACTTAAGAAAGGGGAACTAAGATGCAAACTAAAGGGAGTCATATTGTTCAAGGGTTGTATGTATATATACATATTGTTATATAGTTGGTGGAGTTATCGATCCTCGCGGCTCGCTGACCGGCGGTCAATGAGATACGGACTTTTCCCTCGCCCTCCTTGAAAACCTCCTTTAACGGAAGTCATGTCTGACCCCTTACACCGCACACGTGATTCATACACGCCATTCGGGTAAAACTTTCACATAGGAGTTAACTGAGTGCAGAATATCTGCGTCGTTTAAGAGGAAATTAAGAAATCAACAAAAATCACTAATATATGAATGATAATGTTTCGAAAGCTTTTTTTGATGATCTTTCCATTGGTAATTTCATTCTGATGAAATAGTTGAAATTTAGCAATATAGTTCAGTAAAATTTACACTAAAATTCAGTCAATTCACTCAAAATTATAGCAGAATTCTACTTTACCGATTGATCTGTTTTACCGATTAATGATAATGCAGATCAGTAATCACTGATTTTCAGTGAAATTTGATTGAATTTCAGTTACTGAACTAAATTCAGTTGCTAATTTACAGCTATTTCATCACAGTGAAATATTAAAATTATTTATTTAAATTAGTTAATTTTAACTAATTCAAATTCAAGTACTGAATTTCAGACTAATCTTAAAATATGACTTTTACTGTGATAAAAAAATACAAATAAAGTTCGCTTTTCAAGCAGAACAATAAAAAAATCACCCTTACTTTTATTACAATAATAATTAAAAAAAATTGGACGAATGAGACATTAAAATGAGGGAACATGGAACCCTCGATCGAACGATTAAACAAATGAAATCAGTGACGAGGGTAAAACCGCGTTGGTATGTCAAATCCGAGGGAATATAAATATATATTTAAGAAAGTATAGGGATATATGGCGATCTACTTTCAATTGTAGTCCATATATATACACATTACTGTAAAATAGTGGGGGATAGAACAAAAAGGAGTGGGAAAATGAAATGAGGAGAAATTTTAATGGGTGGGGATTGATCGTGATTATATTTTAGAGCGCAAACTCCAATTTCCCCTAAAATCCTTTTTCTACCCTTCTATACATCCTCCTTTGTACCCCACTACAATTGAAATTTTTTTTTTTTTTGGAGTGGGAGGTTAAATACGAGTCGATTTCAACCCCTCCCCTTTCCCCTTTTCTACTATTTTGTCACGTTTGGTTACGCAGGTGCCGCCACCCCTCACACAAGCCACGTGCTTCGTGTAAACATCAGCTTTCGTGATCTCTCCAGGGGTCATTTAATGACTCCCTTCTCTTTCTCTATAGTATAGATATACAGGTGAAGTCAAATGATTTATTCATCATGTCTAAGTGGAATCGTTTGATTCACGCGAATCATGAGAAATTAGTAGAAGATAGTCATGCGAATTGATATTTATTTTAATTGAACCGACATTTTTTCCACACTGATTTGTTATAAATTTTGAAAATCAATTTTTAAATTTCTTATAAAAATAAAGAATTTTTATTTTCAAGATTATTAAATCTAATAAAAAAATTGGTTATAAATCAAAATTCAAATCAAAATTTTGTTTAGAATACGAAAACAAATTTAATTTTTGTCCTACACTGAATAAATAATTATTTGATTGAAATAATTGGTGACTATCAAACAAATATTTACTTGAACCAAATAATTTTTATTTGAATTAAATAAATTTTATTTGAAGCAATAATTATTTGAAAATAATATTTTCGTCATTATATATTAGGGAAAAAATTGACGTATACAAGAGGATTTTGAACATGCCCTTAATTTGTGTTTCATTATTTTAAAATTTGTTGGTTTTTTTTATTAGCTCATAAATTAATATATAGATTAAAAGACTTTAGGAAGTTTTTTTTTCTCCCATAACTAGGGCAATTTATTAGCAAATACTGTTACTTAGTAAAGTGTAGTGTAATGAGAGGGTTGAGAAATATTGACTTTGAGAGTCACACCTTAAAATCCAGATATTGAAATTGGGTGTGTCAGGGAGAAAAAAAGTACCACATCATTAAAACTGATTTATTAATGCCTTTGATTAACTACTATTTAAAAATTTAAAGCATTTATTTTTAAATTAATTAGAGAACACCAAAAAATTTTCAAAATATTTTTTGTTTTAATATTAAATATTTTTTTGTTGCAAAATAATTAAAAATTAGAAAAAATTTTAAAAATTATAAAAAGAAAATTTTACTAAAAATTGTAAAAATTTTATAGTTTAAAAAAAATTTTGTCATTTATGTACGCTAAAAATGTATGCCTTAAAAAATTATTTACTCTCTTATCTTATTTAAAATATAATTAACTTTGTTGCAAGGCATAAAATAAATAATTGGTTTAGTTTGCCTATGGTTTAAAGATAAGATAATATTTATAATAAAAAAAAATTGTAGTTTATTTTTCTTTTTTTTTTCGTTTTAGTGGGATTTTTTTTCACTTATCTTAATTGACAGGTTTTCTTTCCCTTGAAGTAAATTTTAAATTTTATTTCTTATATATTGACGGGGTAAATATATATATGAAAACTGAGTTCAATATGTGTATTTTATTTTTACGGTCAGTACTCTCATTATATCTAAAATTTATTTTCACCCTGACCTCTTCGTTTTCCCTTTTATCGAACATTGATCCCTATATATGTATATATAAGGGCGAAGACCTCCCTATACGAAATATTAAGAAATTTAGTCTGAAAATTTAATTACTAGAACTGTTTAATTCAATTAATTCATTATCATCGTTATTATTATTATTATTAACTTTTTTTATAAATTTTGATCCTTCACTGAATTGATTTATTTTTTTCATCAGTTATAATATTTGAGGTTATATTAGATAAGACTATAATGTTAAATTGTTATTATGATTAGGCCGACTTAACCTATGTTCAAGGATTGAAATTAAGTTAATTTTGAGGTTAGGTCGATTTCTGAAATACCCTTAAGTATATATACGAGTTTATACCTTGAACATGGCCTTAACAAAATAGAAACACTTGTCTCGTATCATATTATATAATCTATTTAAATATCGGCAAGTTGATATTAAATGGAAAATATAAATTTAAATTTCATGTAGAAAATTTGTCACCTTCCCCGTACACATATATATATTTAGGACCAGGTGGCCTTCTCTCTTCCAACTAACAAGGTTACGCGCGTCTTTTATCAACTTTAAATCGTCGAGACGTTCATTTTTGTTGCGTGTGGCCTGCTTGTATTTTGATCTGGGCCAGATACACGCAAACATTGTTAAGTTTCAGTATATATATATTGTATACGCAAGTTTCTTTTATAAATCGTCTCCTATCGTGTTTAACTTTCTTTTGTTATTAAAAAAAAAAAAAACAAATTTGGACCAAAAGTTTAGAAAAACTTTTCTAATTTGGAAAAATTATCAATTTCAATCAGTTCAAAAGTTGATTTTTTCAATTAATTTAAATTTAGTTTTATGTCCGAATAAACATAACCTTAAAAAATATTTTGGCGCGATTTTCTAAAATTTAACCAATCAGAAATTATCGAATTTGTCGAATTTTTTCAAATCGTGCAGAAAGTTCTTTGGAGGTTATGTTTGTTTGGACAAATTGAAATTCGATTTTTAAATAATTTTATAATTGTTTTACAATAATATGAAATTTAAATTTTTTTTTCTGTGACAAAAAAAATTGGTGTGTTAAATTTTTGTTTCCAATATATAAAAGCGAAAGGACATTTCCTTGTTCATTTTCTTCTCAACGCGCGTTGGCAACGTCCACGCGAAAGAAATATTATCCCTCTCGCTCGATAATCCCGTTCCACTTTCCTTTCCGACTTGTGAACGACTCAAGAGAGTTTGCTTATTCGGCTGGTCGCCAAATTTCTCTGATTTTGCAAATTTATTCTCAAAAATCAATCTAAAAATGTTTCTCGATATATAGAGTATATATAGTTTGATCTTCATAAATCCTTCCGACTTTTTTGAAAAAAAAATTATTCAACTATTTTTTAGATAAAGGATTTTAATTATTTTTCAGATATAATTTCAAAAATTTCAAATTTTATATAGAAAAATTTAAACGTTTCGTTGTAAAAAAAAAACTCCATTTGCAAAACCTCATTTTATCGAGTTTATAAAACGTCATTTCATGTTTGCTATCATATCATAGTCCTTAATAGTAATATTAGTAATCAGTTGCTGAAATCAGAAACCAAAATCTGTTGCGTGTACAGACAAGAATGTGTACATACAATAAATTTAAATTTATAATTTCTTTTTTCTTCTATTTTTCATAATTTCACTCTTGTTATAGTTATTACCTTGGTTCTAGTTCTTTTTTAAATTATGAAAAAAAAGTTCTCTCTCTATTTGTTGATAAAAAAAAAAAATCTGATATATCGAAACAAAGCAAACTCTTACAAACCAACTTATTTCATCAAAAAAACTTCAATAGAAACTTTGGAAAAAAAATATTTATTATATATTTAAAGAAACAAAAAAAGAAAGTAGAAAAAAATCCATATTTTCTTACATTATTTATTTTAGCGAAGAAAATAATAAAATTTAAAGTGTTTTGTAAGGAAATTAATTAGTTCTTTTCATTAGAATTATTAGAAAGAAATTAGAAAAAAAATTGAATTTTTAAAAATTTTTTTTAATGAATAAACAACAAAAATCATTACTTACTTTAAAAGTCTTGTAACTAGATACAACATAAGAGGCACCGTCCTCCAATTCGTCAAGATTGAGTTTACGGTCTCCATCCATTGAAAAAATATGTCGCGCCCCTCTCGGGAGATCCAAACGCAGTGATAATCTGTCCAATAAGGCTTCCAATGAGCCAATATCTCGTCCAGGTTTGAATCTGGAAAAAAATTTTGAAATTTAGTCGCGTTTTTTTATTGATTATTTACTCTCTAAATCTGAATTAGTATTTAGTAATCTTTTTTAGTATTTAAAAATATTTATTAGTATTTTGCGTATTTTTTAGTATTTACTAATATTTATTACTATTTGAATTAAATTTAAATTTGTTACTGATTAAAGGTTGAAATTTTTACAAATTCAAATTTAGAAATTGAAATCAATCAAAACTAATAAAATATGTATAAATATTTAGAATTTTTATTAAAATGAAATGAAATTTATATATTAGCATATTAACTAATTTAAAATGCTAATGTATTTTAAAGTAATAATGATATTAGGTAAATTTCTATGAATCGTAAATCACGGCATATTTCAACCGAGACCTTAAATTCATAACTTTGAGATCTACATCTAGAGAAAGCAAACTACAGGAGACTCACAAGGAGTTTGCCATTACCAGTTTATCGCGATACGAGTCTATCGATTTTGTTTTTTTTTTTATCGTTAAACACAAAGTTTTTTTTTTTACATCAAACCATTTGGCATTTGATTTTTAAACTTTGTTTATAAAATTTATCGCAATCGTTAGCAAATAATTATTATTTGTTTCAAATATAAAAATTATTATTGATTCAAATCCAATTTATTTGATGCAAAATTATTTTGGTTCAAGTATAAAATATTTATTACATTTTTTTTTAACTTAGAATTTGTTAATTACTGGTCCAAAGTTGTTGTTTTATAAAAATCTGAGAATAAAATTTTCAGAGAGAGAGTGAAATAGTTCAGACAGCTGTGTGTATTAATTCAATACGTTAATTAAAAGAAATTTATTAGGATTAGTTGTTCCTATCTTCTGACGAATTTCATTTGCTAGGTTGATCATGAATTATACATTACCTATGTTATTCACTTCAGTGAAATGGTTACGTATAATAAAATATTTCTTACACTTTAAATCGGATTTTTTTTATTATTCTAATAATTACAATTATTAATACAATTTAATTATTAATAAATAATAATTAAATTCTATTATAGTTGCAATATTAACTTCAAGTTTGTAGTGTTTCCTGTTATGAAGAAATTCAGTAGTAAAAGGCCGTTTAAGTCAGACACTCTCAGTATAGCGATAGAAAACCGACAGACATTAATTTTTTAGACTTAGAAAAATATGCATAAGGCAAAAAAAATTTAATACAATCAAGGAAAAAAATATAAAACTAGAATTATATATGAAATAATTATAATTTATGTTATACTTTTTTTTTACTGGATTTTAAACGTGATGACATGAAATCCCTTGACACAACTTACAAAGTATAATTTACTTTAAAAGGGAAATTATAGAGTAATTTAAATATTCAACGTATTTTAATTTTATAGTCCTGTCACTTAGTAAATCTTGTTTAAAAAAAAAAAAGTAAAAAACAATGTATTTTAACAATTTATGTATACTGCAAAAAACATTAAATAATGTTTAGAGTATATATAGTAGCATTGCTAATTTTTCATTTTATTTAATTATAAAAATATTTCTGCTAAAAAAATATATATAATATATAATTACTCTAATTATAATTAAAATAATTGTATTTATATTATTATGAATATATTTTATTACATATATTAATTAAACTGATCAGTGATAAGATTATCAACAAAATGTGTTAAATAATCTTAATTTCTTTTAATTTTCATTAAAATATTCAGATTTTTATCTAAAACATTTAAATTTATAATTTTTCTTTCAATAAGAATTTGATATCAAAGAATTAATTAAAATGATCCTCCCCTCCTTAATTTTAACGGATAAAACTGAAAAATTTAATCCGATTTTCTCGTTTTTATTTTGTTTTTTATTTTCTTTTATACTAAAATTGAAAAATTAAATTAAAATTATTGAAAAAAGATAATAATTTTTATTTTAATAACTGTGATAAATTCAAAATTTTTTAAAATTAACTCTCACAGCAAATCTTTTTATGCGCCTTCACAACAAATTTGTTCTCTGAACATAAATTGAAAAATTAATTATACAGAGATAGAAGAAGTTGGATGCTACAGCAAATATTATTTGCTCTACGTGCATATATAAAAAATTTGCAGTAGCAGCGAACTATTTGCTGACACAGCAAATTACATTTGCTTATATAGGAACAGCGAACAAATTTGCCGTGGGGTCAAAAAAGTTTGTGAGTTAATTTTTAAAAATTTGGACTAATATCACAGTTTATCACAGCAAAATTTTTCGTTGTCATGGGAAAATAATTTGTCTGTAGTTACTAATTTTGATAGATTCGATCATTAGTTCACGCATCTGTAAGCAATTCCTTTTTTTTGTGTAGCAAATATTGACTTTAAAAATCAGGTCTTTTCGTGTACGAACAAAGGAATTAAAACACTATTATCAAAAAGTAATCTTTCAATTGTAAAAAAAAATTAAATCAGTAAAAAGGTGGATTTAATTATATCAAAACAATCAAAGATTAATATCTTGTTGACAGTAAATTGACCCTCCCTCTTTTGGAAATGACAAGACCACCCGGAACAGATTAACTCCCCTCCAACCTTTGTTTTTTTTAAAAAATCAAGATCAAGAACTCACCTGAATTCAACTCCGGGAAAATAGGGATCCCCATTTTTGTAAAATGTGACACGTCTAGCCCTCCAATATCCAAGGTTATTGTACCTTGCCGGTTGCACCGGCTCGTGTCGGCTCCTCGGCCTGGTCTCCGGCTGCTCCGGAGGCGGCATGCGGGGACTGGAGGGTCTACTCTGCCTGTTCCAGTACCCGCCCATACCGCCACCCCCACTTGTACAATGCTCCGATCCCCCCATTATTCCTGTGTCCTGCATTACCATTCCCACCCCTGATGATGTTGTTCCCCTACGTCCATTGTTCGTTGTCGTTGTTGGTGGTGCCACCACCTCTTGACCTGACATCTCCCTCTCTCTTGATGATTCCACCTCCTCGTCGTCTTCCTCTTCATCTAATTCCCCTACTCGTACACCATCTTCTTCCTCCTCCTCTTCATCTTCTTCCTCTTCATCATCATCATCCTCCTCTATACCACCACCAGATGGTGTTGTATTTGCCATTTGAGTTGAATTTTGTTTTGGTGATTCGTCACGACGTGGCGCCTCTTGATTGCGTTCGTCTTTTGTTACCTCCCCCACAATTGGATCTTTGTTTGAAATAATATTGTTTGATGAACCAACGTTATTGTCTTCAAATTGACCGAGTCGAGAGCCCGCTCGGGATGAAGTTTGATTGTGGGTTGCTATCATACCTTTTGCAAGGATTTCGGGGTTTTACTTCTAACTTTGCCCTTTTATAATTTATTTCTTTGTATTTCAGAAAAAAATTATAAATGATTCGTTATTTTTTGAATTTCGTAAGGGTGGATGCTAATTGAATTCTGTTTTGGTAAAGTCATTTCGTTATTCTTGGACTTTTGGATGATGTTTAGATTCTGCAAATTACAGTTCTGACAGTCGGTTTAGCCAAAAGTCATTGAAGATTCTTCAAATTCTGTTTGTTGCGGCTGATCTTTGATGAAAGATTCTCGTAATATTTGTGATGAGATTTTGCTAGCAATTGATAAGATATTTTTGTTAACAAATGTATTCCTATTTGATGCGAGGAATATAAAAACAGATCGTTCAATGATTAAGATTAAACCGATGAAACTGACTAAACTGATGCTAATAACAATTTCTAGATGTGTGATAAATGCTGATGATTTATCAGATATGAGAAAAGGAGGTTTAGCAAACTTTTAGGATTCTAAAATTGATTGTTTGACAGATAAGTAGGATTGTGGAATTCTTTTTGGTTTGACAGAAAAATAGGACTATTAAGATTTTATTGGTTTAACAGGTAAGCAATTTTGCTTTTATTGGCATATATTGAGGACTTTGCAAATGTTTTCGATTAGTTTAACAAATTAGGATTATACAGTTGTTCTTTTATTAGTTTATCAGATGATTAGAACTATGTGATGATAGTAAAAATTTGCCCCTTTTCTATTATAATGATATTAACGGATTTTAAAGATTACAAAAAGAATGTCAATCCTGAAGCTTTAATGAAGATGTATTGCTTTGAAATAACGGATGACTGTTGTAGTTTTAACAAATCATCTAAAGAAAAAATCAAAATAATTTCTATTGAGAATATTTTTAATTTTCATGTAATCAATACCTATATACAATCGATACAAAAGATGCTAATATTTAGGTGAAAATTCGTGTAAATTTGACCTAGTAAAAATCATGACTGATCGGTACTAAAGATAACCAAAATATATACTCGACAGAACATACTTAACACATGCTTTATAACTTCTTCTTGAAATGTTCGATCATCACAATTTTTAATATAAAAGTTGATTATAATTATGCAATTATAAAACAATTTTGTTTCCTTACACTTCCTAGTGACAAATCTTCTTAATCACTTTTCTAAACAATATCCATATTATTAGCACTTGACCTAGAAGCTGTTTTTTTTTTTCTACTGCATAATTTTAACTTTATGGTAATTATTATTTAAGCTCTTGACCTTGAGGGGCTTTTTTGTTTTTCTTCCTAAAATTATACAATGCGGTATTTTAAAAACTCAGAAAATGTCAGATTTCAATCACTTATAGCACTACTACTGGTCATTGTGCTCGTTTAAATCGGATAAAATTTTTTCTAAATTATAATCACTCAAGTTTTTCACTGAATTGATTCATCACAATCCCTCTCTAGTTGACAAGATCTCTTTCTCAATTTAAATTAGGTCTCTTATTCAGCTGTTTTGATAGTATCTGAATATTGTTAATGTTCACTATTAATCTAAAACTACAGGTTTCGAAATAATTTAAAACTTTTGATGCCATGTGCAACTTTTCTTACACGGTGATTATAATAAAACACTTTTTTTTACCCCTTAATAAATTGTGTAAAGAATTTAAAAATTATTAACAATTTTTAGAAAAATATTTAAATTCTATTAATTGCAAATACAAAAAGCAGTTAAATAATTTTCAAAGCACTTGTAGTTTGAAAAAAGCACTATTTTAGTAAAAAGAAAATTTCAAGATCGAGGGTCCAAGGTCATTTACACAAACACACACACACATACACACGATATGAGTGATTTTAAATTAGAGGGACTATGGGACAAAGTGACTTCCGGTACTTTCGGTCACAAGGTCTCGTGGGATAAAGTTGACGAATGCAAATGATTTAAGTCTCGCCGCGGTAAAATTGCTTACATATTCATCGCGCTCGCGTCCTTCGACAGTGGCGTCCCGACGTCGAGTGTTAGCTTTTGAACGGGCGTCGGCGTCAACTTTGCGGTGTCAGTGAACCGAAACGCGAGAGGTTGCCGCTTTGGTGAACTTGTTGCGCTCGATGAAAACGATGTGCACCAGGTCTAAGTCGACAACAACGACGCAAGCTCGAGGATGAAAAAGCTTCCGATTCGCCAAGACCCCCTCGACTTCATAGTGGATTGGTGTTTTTTTGGGGGGAGGGTGTGGGAACAACCCTCTCTTTGTTATTGGACTGACTTCCGGAGTTGGAATGGCCGACGAAAGCGCAGCGTCCAAGAGAGAGAAAAAGATTATATATATATGTATATATTATAGCAGAAGAGAACAACCATATAAGGGGATCGAACCTCTTGTGCAAAGTGCACTGACCCTTTGTGCGAATGTAGAGTCCTTTAAAGGGTGCGATATCAAAACGACATGATCGACCTAACTGCTGCCTCACTAAGATCATCAGCTTATATATTTGTGAGCTCAAAAACATGTTTGCGGATGGAATCTGATTTTGCTTTAGAATTGATTGTTTAGAATTCTTGGTTCTTTGAAAGGGAAATTTTTCGTAATCGCTACCAATTTATTTCTAAAGCCTACTCTGTAGATCTGTATGACAAATTTTACTAGAATAGTAAAAGTTTTGATTGGTTCATTTAAATCTTTCACTATTCTAGCGAAACTTTTTGCTGATTTTTGATTTTTAGTAACAGATTTTGTACACAGAAAATTATAAGGTATTAAAATAATAAGCTTTGCAGCTTATTTTAATGCCTTTTAATTTTCTGTGTATATGCCTTAAAAATATATTTGCTTCTATTAATAACACATTCCGAAGTTGAATTTGTCAATCCTTTTTAATTCCGAATCATTCCGTATCAAAAAAATTCATACCGAATCAATCCATTTCCAAGCCAATCGGATTGATTCGAAATTAAATTTTAGGATTCAAGAGAATTAAAATTCAGCTTCAGAATAAAGAATGAATTCGAAATTTTGTTTGAGCTGAAAGCAAAACAGTTATTTTTTAATATATACGTGCAACCAAAATCTGTTGTCCACACAAACATGTTTTTTCAATGTACAAATTTAGATTCTTATGGATTACTAAAAAAACAATTGCGCATAAATTGAAAAATAATAATATATCTATAACAATTTTTCCCTGTTACTATAAAACATATATGTTTTATTTATAATTTATTATTATTTACTGGAAATTTTGTTATTTACAAAATTTTCCTTATTATTGTTTTTATTTCTTCAAAAATAATTTTTTTACAAAACTTTTTTATTATGTATTTATTGTTTTTTTTTGCGTATTATTAAAATTTGATAATAGTTCTCTGTGTATATATAAATTAAGCGATTTGGTTGCAAGAACATTGTAGTCGAAAGCAAAAAAAAAAAAATGACTCTGAAGATTATTTTTCTCTTTGCATTATTTTGCATTTGTTTTTTAATGCATTTTAATATTGTTGATTCGCAAGGTTGCGTGGCTTTTGGTCAACGATGTGACTGTTGTTCAGGTTTAAGTTGTCGACCAGCTTTTGTTGGATTTGTGTGCCGTTAATTCAGCACATTATTCCATAATGGTAAAAAAAATACTTCATTTTATTTTATTTATTGTATATAGTCAAGTTTTTTAACTGCAAGGTATTTTATGATAGAACTCTCATAACTGCAAGTTGACGTCATCAACCTATCAGTGCTGTAAATTCAAATTATATATTTTTATTATTAAATCATTTATTATTGATAATTGCAACGATGTCGCTTACTTTATATATGAGAACCATTGTCAGACTTCAGTAATGTGCAAATAAAGGAAAAATTATAATTATAATGATTGTTATTATTATATTATTTAATTATTACAATTTTTTCAATTATTATTATTTTTTAATTTATGCAGATTTGTTAATAATAATCCATTAAAAATTAGGTTGAAAATAATTTCTGTGCGTCCATTAGGTTGATAAATAAAATTTATTTATTTATATAAAATAATTTATTTTTATAAAAAATTGATAACAAAAATCAAGTTTACATATCTCCAAATATAATTATTTAAAAACTTACTAAAATGACGAAATTTTTTTTTTTATTAAGATTCATCGACACATATAGCTCCAATAAAAGCGGTTTTGCATTTTAATCCGCTACAACAATTAAAGGGTTGTGCATCACAACGTTTAAAAAATGATAAACATTCTTGTGAATTGACATTATTAAAATTTATTAAGAAACAAATGATGCATAAAATTACTGATACAGAAGTGATTTTCATTGTTATTTTATTGTCGTTTGTACACTACAATATAACATTTTTAACAACTTGTTATCTTTATATATATATGTATACAGTAATCGCAAACAAAGTAATCTAAAATTTATACCAATTTACAAAAAAAAAATTATTTGCATTACAAAAACATTTGCAGATAATAATAAGGAAAAAATTTTCAATCAAAAAAAAAATCGACGCCTCCCGTTGATAAGATGCCCGTTCATTTGTCAGAATAATAAAATGCCAACTCGAGCTCAGTTCAATATGAAGCTAGTTCAATTGTCAAAATAATAAAAGGCTATCTCAGTTTCAGAATAATATAATCCTATCTCGCATTAAATTCGAATTCAAGTTTTCGTAAATTAAAAAAAAAGTTTAAGTCGATCAGAATATTAATTCATACTTTTTAATGATTAATTAGTGATTAATAATTATTAATAAAATAAGAAATAGAATAAAAAACAAATAATAAAGTAAATGAAAATAAAAAATATTATTAAAAAAGAAAAAAATTAATTTAGCCTTGAATTATTTATTACTAATATTATTTTTTTTATTATAATTTTTTTATTAATTTTTTTATTTTGTTAATCATTAATTAATCATTACAAACTATTAAATAATATTCCGATCGAGTTAAAAATATTCAAGTTTTCGTAAAATAAAAAATTTTTAACTCGATCGGAATATTATTTAATATTTTGTAATGATTAATTAATAATTAACAAAATAAAAAAATTAATAAAAAAATTATAATAAAAAAAATAATATTAGTAATAAATAATTCAAGGCTAAATTAATTTTTTTCTTTTTTAATAATATTTTTTATTTTCATTTACTTTATTATTTGTTTTTTATTCTATTTCTTATTTTATTAATAATTATTAATCACTAATTAATCATTAAAAAGTATGAATTAATATTCTGATCGACTTAAACTTTTTTTTTAATTTACGAAAACTTGAATTCGAATTTAATGCGAGATAGGATTATATTATTCTGAAACTGAGATAGCCTTTTATTATTTTGACAATTGAACTAGCTTCATATTGAACTGAGCTCGAGTTGGCATTTTATTATTCTGACAAATGAACGGGCATCTTATCAACGGGAGGCGTCGAAATTGTTGTAGAAATAATTCTTTGTAAAATGTGAAAAAAAGATTTCATCACTTTTTTTTTATAAAAAATTTTAATTAAAAAAATCCACCATCCTGAAAGTAAAAAACAAAAAATATGTTTAATATACTTCTTTATATTTTTAATTAATTAAATAAATTATAATAATTAATTAATTGATAGTTAACTGCATTAAATAAATTAATATAGTTAAATAATTAAACTGATTAATTATAGGATAGTAATAAAAAAGAATTTAATAAATTATAAATTAAAATATTATTTAGATAAAAAAAATATTTACCATGGGGAAATTTGAATTTTCACATTGTCTGACATATGTAACCAATAAAAGCAGGTACACATCTCAAATTTTCACAGCATCCCTCTCTATTGTCATCACATCGTTGAAATCGTTTGATACATTCTGTTGTCGCAAAACAAGGTGCCATTGAAAGAAATATGCAAATAATTGCAAATAAGAGAATAGTCTTTAGAGTCATTTTTATTGTTTTCACTGTTTTTCACACAACCTGTTTGTTAGATTTAATTAATTTTTTTTGCAATCAAACTTCAAGTAAATATATTTTTATTAAGAATTAGTAATTTTTTATTAATAATTAGTTAATAATTTATTATAATTAGTTACTTGACTATTATCAAATAAATATTTATTTGTATCATATAATTATTATTTGAGTTAATTAAATTGTTTCAAATACAGAAATTATTGGTTCAAGTAAATATTTATTTTATAATAAATGTAATAAATTAAGTTATAATAAATTAAGTATTTACTATTTTAAAAAAAAATTGTACCTATTCAAATTATTTTTACGATTTTAAAGAAGCGAAAACATTATTTAAATTCTTTTTTTTTTTATTTGCTCTTTATATATACGATTGAAAAAAAAACTGGTTTTCCTCTTTCCTTGTTGATTGATAGTAAATATATTTTGCGAAATGTAAATGTTATTCTCTTCATGTGAATACCCTGGATAAAAAAAAAAAAAAAATTTTATACTTACACATTGATAAAATGTGTGATATAACACGACTATATAAATCTAACGTCGAAAGTGAAATAAAATGAAAACAATAAAAATGTCTCTAAAGACTGTTCTTGCAATTTTTTGCATTTGCCTGATAATGGCACCTTGTTTTGCAACAAAAAAATGTATTGAATATGCTCGACGTTGTGATGACAATAAATTGGCATGTTGTGAAAATTTAAATTGTTTACCCGCTTTCATTGGTTATATATGCCGTTAATTTTTCATTTAAAATTTTTCTGTAAGTATAATTAATTATTTTTTTCAATTTTGGCTATTTTAAATATTATTTTTTTTTTATTTTTAATAATAATTTATTAATTTTTTACTTAATTATTTTTTGAATTATAAAAAAATATTAAAAAGTAATTTTAATTATTTTTTTCTTTTACATTTTTAGGACACGAAAATGAATTTAATCAAAAGGGAAATCAAATTTTTATTAATATTATGTTTTCATTTTTTGATGTTGATTAATGTTACAATTTTAATTGAAAAAAAAATAAATTATTGATAAAATTAAATTTACAAGTTTCTATTTTTATTATTTTATTGTGGTACAAAAATTTTCCTTATTTATTATTTGTTTAATTTTCTTATTGCAAATAAATTTTTGTATTTTTATGAATATTATATTATTTATTTAAATGTTGAAATCTGCGATAATGATTTTTTTATATATATATAAAGCAAACGACGTTGTTGAGAATATTGCACTCAAAAGAGAAAAAAAAATGTCTCTAAAGATTATTTTTGTTGTTGCAATTTTTTGTCTTTGTTTTTTAATTAGTATTATTCATTCTCAAGATTGTTTAACTCATGGTAAACGATGTGGTCGATTATTTGACAAAAAATGTTGTGCAGATTTAACATGTCAAAATGCTTTTGTTGGACAAATATGCCGTTAATTGAATATTTTAACATTATTCCTATATTTTATGGTAATAAACTTCATTTTATTTACAAAAAATATTTATTTTTATGTATTATAATTATATAAATAATCCAGAGAAAAGGTTTTTTTTTCAAAAAGAAATAAATATATATTTGTTTCAAATAAATTTTCTTTGATTTAAATAAAATTGTAATTATGTTAAATAATTTTTTTTTATTTAAAACAAATATAATTTTATTTGTCTCAAATAAAATATTTCTCTGGGTGTATAATATTAATAGAATACAATATAATAAATAAATACAGTCAAGTCTCGTAACTGCAAGATATTTTATTATAGAACTCTCACAACTGCAAGCTAATGTCATCAACATTGTCAATGCCTGAAAGCCATTAAAATTATCATTAAATATTTTATATTTGATACATTAATATTCAATGCATAAGATAAGATTAATATCGAGTGGAAATTTACACACGTGTTAATTGTATTTGAATATACATATGTAATAAAAAAATTTTTATTTAATGAACCGAAAATATTTTCTGGATACAATATTAATTTATTATTATTAACGTATATTGTTACATAAAATGAATAATATAAAAGCAAAAAAAAAGAAAAAAATTGTCCCAGTTTTCAATTGAAATTTGCAACGAAATGTACTGGAAAACTTTTTGTATACTTGCAATCATTTTTGTTTGCCTATTTTTTAGTGCAAATGTAAAAGCTTGTTTAAATGCAGGTGAAAAATGTGATGGAGAATTATTGAACAATTGTTGTGAAGGTTTAAGGTGTTTACCTGCTTTTTCTGACTCTATTTGTCAATATAATATTTAAAAGCATAAAAAAAAAAATTAGTAAGTAATGCAAATTTTTTTTTTATTTATGTATTAATAATAAATAAATAATATAATTATATGCTATATAATAATTATTTTTCATTATTTTAGAATTACAGTTCTGTTGAAGCTATAATCATTATAATTTGGAAAATGGAAATTGATAAAAAAAATTTTAATCTTTGGATAATTTCATAATTCTGTTAAATATTATTTTAGAAAATTAAAAAGTATTAAAATAAGCTTATTATTGTAATCCAATTTTGCTTTTTTTAATACCAAAATAGATTAAAATAAGCAAAATTGGATTAAAATAATAGTTGCAGCTTATTTTAATGCCTTTTAATTTTCTATGGTGATAATGCTTGTTGATTTAAAATTATAAATTTTATTTGATTTAAAATAAATTTTTATATATTTAAGTAAAATAATTTGTTTTTAATTCCTCATTAATTTTTAAATGCAAATCTAATTACGAATTTATTAAAATTTGCATATCGTTTGGAAAAAAACATTTTTTTTTCAATTCAAAATTTTTTAGATTCGTAGATTATATATATTTAAATTTAAGATAAATTTTTTGAAAAAAAAGGTGATTGAAAATTATAACTATTAAAAAACATGAATCAAAAGATAAGAAAAAATAAAAAATAGATAAAAATAAAATATTAAGGTCATTGAAATTAATTTAATTTATTTGTATTTGAATAAATTTATAACAATGTATAGATATTTTTTGGTTATTGAATATTAATACCTATTAAAATGGTATAAAAGCAAAAAAAAATGTGGTCCTAGTTTTAGAGTTGAAATTTTTAACGAAATGTATCTGAAAACTATCTCTGTACTTGCAATCATTTGTATTTGTCTCTTTTTAAATGCAAATGCAAATGTTTGTTTAGATTATGGTAGAAAGTGTGATGGAATTTTTAAGATTTGTTGTGAAGGATTTAAGTGTTTACCAGCTACCAGAAAACCGAATGATCTAAGATGTCTAAATGATAAAAAGAATACAACAAATGATATAGTAAGTATTGTGAAATTTTTTCAATTTAAAAATTATTTGTTAATTTAAAATAAAATAGAAATAAATAAATTATTAATTTAAAAATGAATAAATTAATTAATTATTAGTTTTTAAAAAATAATTAATTAACTTAGTCGATTAATAATATTACAATAAATTGATAATTATTAAAAAAATAATGATATATTAAATTATGAATTATTTAGTTTGTTTCAGAATTGCAGCTCTATAGAAATTGAATATCAATTATAGGAAATTAATAGATAAAAATTTACACTCTGGATAATTTAATTAATTTTGTAAGAAAAAAAATTTATGATAAAATGTAGATTTAAAATATATTTTTATTTATTTAAACAATAAATGTTTTATTATTTAGTAAATTTAATAATTTTTAATTCAAATAGATAATAATTTTACAAATTGATATCTTTATAATTTTTAACAATAATTTATAATAATTCTTTTTAACAAAAATTATATTTATATATTAAAAAAATAATTATATTATTAAAAAATTATATTTTTAAATGTATAAAATTTACATTTACTTTTTATTAATCATATTTTTAATTAGACACATTTGCATAATTTAAGGACAATATATTTTTATTACCATATATATATACGCACGAATAAAAACTAGAAGAAGTAATAAATTTAAATTGATGCATAAAATCACAAATTTCAGAATAAATCACTTTTATCATTGTATGATCAACATATATACGTATATATAGGTATATATTTCTTTCTTTACTTTTGCGTGAGTAATATTGCTTGGTTTTAAGTTTTCCCTTTCTGTTTCTTTTACTGCGCACACAATAACAATTCTAATCTCACATCTAATTGCATTTTATTTTACGTTTATTTATTTGTCAATTATTTAATACAAATATCTACTATACAATGTTAACATAAATTAACATTGAAAAAAAAAAAATTTTTGCCATCAAATAATAACAATTAGAATAATAATTATTATTATTTTACAATAAATTTAATATTTTTAAAAAACTGTTCTTTCATTTGCAAAATTAAATTATTTTATTTACTCTTTGTTCCTTGGATTTAATTTGCAAAAATTTTTTATATATTTAAAAATTTTGTGATTTGATTTGTGAGAATAAAAAATTTATATTGAAAATTTTTTCTTTGATTCAAATTTCTTTTATAAAAAAATTTTTTTGATTCAATATAATTTAATTCAGTGAGATGACAATGATTATATAAAAATAAACGCGATAAGCGATACAAATTTAATTTTTAGTTAAAATAGTATTGTCTTTATTTATCTTTTCATCAAATTAAAATCTTCGTTTCGGTACACGCAAAACAGTTCCTACAGATCTTAAAGTAATTTATCATACCTGACATAATTTAATATTCTTAGATTGAGATTCTGATAAAAAGAAAAAAATAAAATAAATAACCGTATCTTCCTATTGCGCTAAATACTCGTTTTTTATTTTCTATATATTTAAATAATTCATTTTTTTTTTTAAATAAATTTAAAAAGTATAATATTGACTCCATAAATATTCGTTTAAAAAAATATTTACTTAAATTTACTTTGAGAATTTATATTAAATTAAATTTAAATAAATTATCTATATTTAAATTAAAAACATTATATATATAAAATTAAATTAAATATAATTATAATAACTCATTATTTTAAATAAATTTTTTTTTAATGACTTTAAATTATTTTTATTAATAATTATATAAGTTATTTTGTTAAATTAATTAATTTTATATTGTATCATTATTATTTTTTAAATTATAAAATGATAAATAAATTTTATGGATTAATTGATAAAATGTTAATTTAAAAAAAAATGCATATAATGAATAATTAAAATCATGGAAAATGATTTTAAAATCGACCTTTGTTATATAAATATAGTTGAGGAATATAAATACCACAATTTATTTAAGTTACTAAGTCACGAATCAACTTAGATTCGTTCTTCTATATATAAATTATTATGCGGCAGTGATTATCCCATATATATATATATTAATAATACTCTCTTATATTCACGCGGGTCTAAAAGATGATTATAATATTCGCAGCTTACTTTATATGTATTATAGACTTGCGTGCAAGTTTTCTAAGTAAAAGTTTTTCACCTCCTATATAGAAAAAAAAAAGTATAAAATTATAGTAAGATCCAATTTTATGTTTATATAAGTTGAGACCCGCCTCCTTAATTCAAAAATAATTTCCTCAGTTGGGCGTCAAATTTTTCTCTAAATATATATTTATACGCCCTTTCACCTCCACTGATCGATAAAGTTATTATAATAATAAAAAAAAAAATTTCTACATTTAACATCCCTTTGAAAACACGTGAAAATCAAATCAAAAAAAAAATTTTATACAAAAACTTGGCCAAGTTCAAATGTTCGTTTTTTTTTTCCTCATATAATTTATGGTGTCGTAAAAGTTGTTCAGATTTTTTTATTTCTTAATTTTTACAAAGTATTTTTAAAAAGCGACATTGATTTAAATGTTTCTTTGTTTTTTATTAGCTATAATTTTTTTAAGAACCTTTTAACCTTCCATGGAATTAAAAAGGAATTTCTTTTTTATATAAAAAAAAAACTCAAATAAAAATTGTTTATTGGAATGGGGTTTGGAATTTGATGAGGAATTCGTCTTCACGATATATTTTCAGCAAAAAAAGAGAATTTTTTTTTTTTTTTACAAACGCGGAAGGACGAATATTTTAATAATTATGTTTTGCATCATCATCATCATTAATCGGGTCAAGTTGTCCAAGTCACGAAAGTTCCGATGCTCGCATTATAAAACGCAAAATGCAATGCTGACTTTGCAACAAGAGTAGCCAAACACGCATAAGTGACCATGCCCCAGTAATTTTTCCCTTCGAGTTTAAAGTTAAGCACGAAACTTAATTTTTTCCTTTTTCCCTATATATATATAGTTAGCATGCAGACTTGGAATGTTGGCATTTTTTTTTTCCTCAGAAACACTCCTATTCGGTCGATTCTTAAGCAGCAAACAATCCTCTGTTTTTTTTAAAAGACAAAAAAAAATTGTTTGGTAATTTTAAAATTTTTTTTTTTAAACTTAAATAATTTAATTCCAATTTAACATTTTTAATTTTCGAAAGAAAAATGTTCAAACAAAAAAAATGTTTGATGAAATTCAAAATATTTTAATTGAATTTAAAATTAATTTAATTTCAAATAAATTTGAAAAAAAATTTCGAAATTGTTTCCCAATTTAAAAAAAAAAACTTCTATTTTTATCCATCCGTCAGAATGTTTCCCATTTACGATTATGCAAAATAAAATTGCAAATTATGAAAAACTATTTTGAATAAAATATTTAGAGAGCCTTATTTGTGTGTGTGTTGTACCTTTATCGTCTTGCGGTGGCTAATACCTGCAGCAGTAGCAAAAGTTGACGTGAGCAAGTAGCAAATAGGGAGGGGGTTCCGCGAAACTAGCGATAAACATATTTTGCGATTTTATCTCTAATACACGGTTAAAAATAACGTAAACTTATTACACTCTCATGGTAAAAGCCACGAAACAACAAGACACGCGTGAAACACTGCAAAATCGATGACTCTAAAAAGCGAACATATTTTTACACTTTAAAAAAGTGAAACATTCTTGTCAATTATAATTGGAGAATTTATTTTTTCTTAAAAAAAAAAACAATGAAAAAATTAAATCTAACAATCATTTGTCTCTTTTTTCTTCTTCTTCTTCTTCTTTTTCTTTGTTGAAAGATCGTCATTCTCATTTATTGAATTATTCGTGTCCTCGTTATGTTTGCGTTTCTTATTCTTTTTATCCGTGACTTCCTCTTGTGATAAAACTTCATTATCTGATAAATGTTCTTCTATTTTACTTTTCTTGGTTTTTTTAGATTTTTCTTTTTCACTCGATTTTGAAATTTCTTCTGATTCAGTTTTTATAGACAGAGAATTTTCTTCTAATTTTCTTTTCTTCTTTTTCATTTTCTTTGATTGAGAATCTTCCTCTTGTGAAATATTATCAATTTCTTTTGAAATATTCGATTTTTTGTTCTTCTTTGGTTTTTCCTTAAATTCATTTTCTTCGGAACAATTTTCAGTTTCATTCTTCTTATTCTTTTTTTTCTTCTTTTTCTCCTCTAACTCCTCATTCAATATCAAATTAATTTTCGAATTATCTTCCAATTCATTGGATTTTAATTCAGAATTTGAATTATCTTCTTGAAGAATATTTTCCTCCTTCGAATTTTGTTGATTGAACTTTTTTCTTCTTCTCATTCGCTTTTTTTGCGAAGCAGTTAATTTCCATTCTTTACTTTCCATTGAAGTTTCGTCTATTTTTTCGCATTTATTTTCTGCCACTTCCATTTCATTTTCTCGATTGTCGTCATTTTTTTCATTAAAATTATTTTCTGTATTTTTATTGTTTTTTACTTTTAATCTTCTTTTATATTCAGGTAGAGGAACATCAAAATTTCGTTCAAAAACAGCGACAAAAAATCCATTAGTTAAATCCACATCGGGTCTTGCGTATAAACAATTGTCTTTGCAATTATAATTGAGAGAACTGAAATTTAACCAATTTTCATTGAGTACATTTTTAGGCGAAACAAGTTTATAAGCATCGCCAATATCGGTGAGAATTTCATCTATCACGTGCTCATTTTCTTCGGGTTGAATTGAACACGTGCTGTAAATAATTTTCTTTGCCGATGGAAAATTGAGAAGTGCATGTCGTAAAAGAAGAACTTGAAACGATTGAAGACTTCTCAATCGACCAGGTGCGCATTTTTCTATTTTTCCACTGACTTTCTCTCTGTCCACCATCCCTGAAAAAAAGTAAAATTGAAATCATTATTCACTTTTGAATTTAAATTTGTTTCAAGTTGTTTTGGTAATTAAATTATTATTTTTTTTAATTTACCTGATCCAGAACAACTGGGATCAACGAGAATATATTCAATATTTGGACACTGTTTTGAATCAACAGTTAGAGCATCTTTATTAATAGTTTCGACACACGTAGAATTCGTCAATTCGATAAAATCACAAAGCGTCTTGAATCTCCTTTCATCCATTTCCACGGAAAAAATTTTTCTAAAAAGCATAAAAAGAAATTTAATGAATAATAAAAATTTAAAGTTTTTAAAAAATAAATTAATTGAAATTAGTGTTAAATTAAACTATGAAAACTATGTCAAATTCTTTTGTGTAGTAGTATGAAATTTATACTAAAGTAGAAAAGTATATCTCTGATAACATGGGAAATAAAGATTAGTATCAAAATGTCCCCTTTACATTTTGTATATTTAAACTTTTCCGCAGAGTTTAAATTATTTGTAAATTTTTTTTTATACAAAGCAAAAAAAGAAATTCAATTCAAATTAAACAATTTTTTGTGGGGAATAAATTTCTTTTTACATTTTTCATTAACAATCCATTTAAATTTATTTTCTCTTAATTTGAAAATTTTGAAAATTAAATTTTTTTAAACTTACCCTTTATTTTGAAGAATTGCTGCCAAATGTGTCGATTTCATTCCGGGTGCTGAACACATATCCAAAACCGTAGATCCAATCGGTGGATTTAAAAGAAATGCAGGAAAACAACTCGCCTGTGAAATATTTAAATTTCATATAAATAAAAAAGTTAAAATTTCACAATTATTCTAAATAAATTAAGAGATACAATTCTCTAAATTCGATTCAATTATTATAAAACAAATTTTATTTTTGATTGTAAAAAATACCTTGTCTTGTAAAATAATTCTACCAGATTTATAACCGGGATGATTGAAAAATGCCGTTCCATGAGGAAAAATAAGTAATTCTGGAATATGAAAATCTTGAACAAATGTTTCCTTATTCAAATTTGAAATAATTTTCAAAAATGAGGAATAATTATCAAATCCAGATTGAAAATTCCAACCTTCTTCTTGAAAATTTATTATTGCATTGTTCACACTCATCGCTAATGTATTTACTCTCACATATCGTGGTTTTTCAACTGAAAAAATTGTTTCACATAATTTTTATTTTATTAAAAAGAAAAAAAGAAATTACATAAAACAAAACAAAGATCAATATTTGACAAAATTAATAATATAGTTTGAATTTAATAAAAAGCATTAATTAATTAAATAATTTTAATAATAAAAATGTCAAACTTTTAAATAATTTTAAAAAATAATAAATTAAAATAAAGAAATTTTTGTCTGAAATTATTTAATATTGGTGAAAAAATATTAATTCAGTAAAATTAAATTTCGAAATTATCAAAAAATTACAAATCTATTTGAAATTAGATGAACTATAAAATCACTTTATTGTCCATATATTTAAGTGTACAGAAACATTTTTTTTTAATAAGTACGTAAAATAGTAACGTACTGACATTTTTTTTTTTCAAAATCAGTTTATATTTTTCCTGTTTCTTCGCAACAGCTTGACTCAAAAATATTTTAACAATTTTTTTACATTAATAAAATATTGATTTCATTTATTTTCAAAGTCAATCGTATGAAAATTACAACAGTTTTAATATTTTAATTCGTTTCTGTTGCATGACTTTAATTTAATTTTTTTTAATTTCAGTGTATACTTAAAGAAAATCTTTCTCTTATATTGAGAATGTAAAAGTGCCTTTGAAATACTATTTTTTATATAAAAAGAAAATGATTTGCATTTTAAAAAAATTCTATTACTATTTTTTGAAACTAAAATTAAAAAAAAAATTGTAAAAATAATTTACATATATTTAAAAAAAAGTCTTTTAAGAATGAAATTCACATTATTCATTCTTTTTATTGAGATCTTCTTTAGACGTTGAATCACTTGGATTCACTGGAGGATCATCAGGTTCTTGAAAACCTAAATATGCATAACCGGCAATAATAATATTAACAGTTAAAACAGCCGCGCATACAGAAACACAATTTGTCATAAATCGATCACTATGCAATTCTTCTTCCATAATATGTTTAACGCCAAAAAATGCAGCAAATGGCAATGTAAACATTGCAATGCTGAATATAAGAAGATATCCTAAAACGTGTGCCTCACTCATTATTGATGACGATGTTTCGTGATTATTTTCTAATTCACTTTTCGATGTTCGTCGTTTATTTTTGTCACTGATAGAAATATTTTTAAATCTCGAATGTCGACTACTTTGAATACGACTGTTGCGAATAATTAAAACCATGGATTCGAAATTTCAAAAAAAAAATCCTGACGTTTCCTGGAAAAAGAAAGAAAATTTTTTTTTATGATTAAAATTACCTTTTTTGGATAAATCTACATCTTCTGTGATATTTTTCATTTCCTCTCGTAATTCTTTCTCGTATGAAATAACCGTTTGAATGGGCTTGGACTCTGATTTTAAGCACTGCTTGCCCCATATTAATTCTGTTATCAAAACACGAGTTAACCACGGATCCAAACGTTGTTCTTTGAAGAGAATTTGAGTTTTGCGTATTAGCTGATTCAATTGATCCCCATGACGAACGGTATTAAACGCCAATGCGTAGACACCCTGCACATTCTGTGTTATAAAAAAAAGATTTTTTTCAAAAAAAAAAATACTTTTTAAGTTTATGTACAATTATCGAAAATTTTTTTTATAAAGCGTTTTTAAAAATGGGAAAGCCACCTTAATTTCAGAGTCATGTGAGTTTGAAATTTATCACAAAGATGTAAACGATTTTGTAAATTTCTAATTTAAAAAAAAAATTACAAAGCCTTTGTATTTTAGATCTTTGTTTCTTTCTTCGCAATTATTTTCTTTGTTAAAACTATAAATCTCACGTTAATATTTAATTGCCTTAATTATATCTAGAATTTTAAAATATTTTTTCTAATTTCTAATAATTTATTTTAAATGTAAGTTTAAAAGAAAGAAAAGTACTTGATATAATGAAAAAAAATTAGTCCTTTAAAATTCTAAAAAAATTAATAATTATTTTTGTATATAAATATTTTTTTTTTTTGAAGAGAAAATAAAACACGTGACAATATTCTCAAAACTCACCGTGTGCTTTTGCTCGTAAATCAATTGTTTAAGACTTGCTCCGTTTTCCTGAACGTTTTGTACAATTTTCGCAACAGTTTTATACAGCCTCGGTACTTTAACTGAATGAATAAATCCTTCAGACATGTTAACAATTACATTACCAAACAAAGAAGAAAATCTTTAATTAACAATTCCAAACAGGTTTTTGGTTTTTCTTTTTTGGATTTTGAGGTTATGTAAATAAAAACCCAATCACGTGATTATGTATTGATGCGTAAACGTTCACTGCGCAGCTACAACAACGCCTCTAATGTTAAATTATCGAAGGAAAATTGTTTGGCGCTAAATTCAAATTAAAAATTTTTTTTAATTAAAACGTAAATTTTTATTTAAAACCTTTTAAATCAAGTGATATATAAAAAGGTTCAAAAATTAAATTAAATTGAAAAAAAAATATTTAACAATAACAATCAGATTTTTTGATAAAAGCTTGGATTTATTTGTCCTGGATTCATTTTTTTTTTTTCATAAAAAAATACATGTTAATACACGATGCGACATATGTACCATGAACAATGAGAATTATATTTTTTATGAATGAATGAAAGTGCTCTTTTTTTTGGTAATATTGCATATGTGTGAAAATTTTGTTCTATTCCTTACGTCAAATATATGAAATTATATTATTATTTTTACAGATAAAACTATCTATAAGCAAAAGGCTTCCCTCGGCTAAAATAAATCTTTTGTACTTGTACATATTCATCGCATACGTCTTGTGACTGAATATAACTATGTATATTATTATTATTATTACTATTATTATTATTATTATTATTATTGTGATATAACAACATTGCATGATTGATGGTCTGACCTTTATGAGATGATATTTTTTTTATATTGATTTTAAGATTCAAAACTGACTACACATCTAGAGAATATTAGTCGTTATATATTATATTTCGTAAAACAATTTTTTTTATCATTTGCCTTTTAAATCTTTCCGATTCTATTCCTGCACTTTTTTTTTGAAACTTTTCATTTTATTCGACTTTTATTTTTGTTTAAAATCTTTCCGTCCTTATCTCTTAAAAATGTATTTTTACACAAGAAATAATTTTTTTTTGAAAAATATTAAGAAAATTATTGCTTTTTTATTTTTTTTATAAAAAGGTTGAATTCTGAAGAATTGTATTTTGATTTTACAGAAAAAATTTTTCTATATAGACGAATTTTTGGATGGAATTTTAATATAAATTTTAGAATTATAGATAAGCAATTCAAAAAAAGAAAAATCGACGGAATTTCTCTATTTTTTTTTCATTTTTAAATTAAAACTTCGATGCTTTTTTTAACGCGTGCGTTTCATTGTTATTTTTTTAAAAAGTGAGTTCTAAATTACGTTTTGCAAAGTTGACTTTTTTCTGGAATAATATATATATATATATTTTTTTGAACGATTATTAGGCGTCTTTCAAAATTTTCATTTTTTTAAATTACGAATATGTGAATTTCAGAGACAGGAATCTTTCCTATATTACTAATTTGTAAAAGTACGTTTATAATTTTAATTAATTCGACATATTGGTTCGTTAAAATTATTTTTATAACGAATATATATATAAAACCTTCGTCGATATTCGCGTAACAAAATAGTTAAATATTATGTCATTTTAAAATATTTCAGTCTAAAAATTCATATAGTAATTTTTATATAACAAAGTGTTTAATATCTAGATTTTGGTTTTTTTTTTTTAGTAGATAAATAAAATAAAATAAAAATAAAATTAAATAATTATAATAATAAAATTAAATTATTAATATAATTAAAATAAAATAATTAAAATTAGTTTTTCGACGTCTTCAACGAGAAAAATTAAAAAAGTTGACCGTCGTTTCATAAATATATAGCTAAACTTGAAATATTTTTTTTTTATACAATTTAGAATAGATTAACGATATGCCTTACGTATTATCAATATTATTGTTCTCAGTTTCATCCTGTTCAGCAAGAAGTGGAACAACTTGCTGATTATTGCTGTCGGAATCGGAAGGCCTTCTACTCTGTCCTGGCAAAAATGACATTGGTATTGTGCCTGATGGTGTTGTTGGCGCTGATCTTGATAACCATCTTTTTGCCTTATTTCTTGCATTTGGAGGACCTACGGACATGTAAACTTTACCGCGAGCACGTCGCGTTTTATTCATAACAACCTCCGTTGGACTCAATGGTTGATGCTGTGTTGCAGCGTCCTGATTAAATGGATAAAGAAATTGTGGCCGGTTATTTGTTTCATGCGACGGAAATAGCTGTGAACTAGGTCCATTCGGCAATTGTGGAAGCTGCTGAATTTTGTCCAAAAGCTCTCGTAACTGCAAAAAAAGGAAAAAGAAATTAATAAATGAAAAAAATTATTATTAATTTATGACTATATAAAAAAGAAGAATTTATAAACCTCTAAAGTGGGACTTGTTGCACGTGGAGGTGACGATGGCGATTGTGCGCCAAGACTTGAAATATCAGAAACAGTTCTTTGATTTGCCAATGAAGCCATTGAATCGTCCATATTTCCTGCTCTCTCACAGCCAGCTATCGATAACTGGTCAATACTATTGCAAGAATAAGGCGGAGGTATTATTGTATTTGCTTCATTAACGACATTACACATGAAACTGGAACTCAACGAATCCAATGTACTTGCATGGGAAAGTGACCTGAAATAACGCATCACAAAACCAGAAGCACCTTTTCCAAATCCATCATCGTAGCCAATTACAAGGGGATACAAATCCGGTTTTGCTGTTACCTGGAAAATTACAAGGTATTATCAAAATTAATTAATTAATTATTATTGTAATTATCCAAATTCATAAATTTCAAATATTTAATTTAATTAATGCAATTTTTAATTTCAATTATTTACCTCATTATAGGGAGGTGGCATGGCTTGAACGAAAGAATTACATCTACTATAGTGAGGAGGTAAATAACAGGAAGTCGAAGATGCCCTATCGGATGTGGAACAATCCTCATTTGTGCTGGACCGACGACATCTCCACAGCCAATAACCACATGCAGCTCCAGCTGCTAAACCTGCCAGTACGGCTGCAGTCCTAAACATAAATTAATTTTGTAAATAAAAAAATTATTTTTATTTATTTTTTATTCTTTCTATTTACAGAAAATTATTACCAATAAGTCCAAATCAGGATCGTGAACATTTCTGCGATTGATGTACCCATTTGTGGGAGTATATTGTAGCAGCAACCCAAAGAACAGCACTGCTTAGGAGGAGAGCATCTAAGAAAAAAAATTTTTAAAGGTATTAGAAAAATAAATCACAATTTTTATATTATGAAAAAAAAATTTATAAACTTACGTGTGCCCTCCATCACAAATCTTAGCAGAGACCTTAATTAGAAAAAAAAAGATTTTTAAATACAAAATTACAAACCGATAATAAAAATAAATAATAAAAATACCCTATCGATAAATAATTTCTAATAAAAATACAACAAGCAAAACTGCCACTAAAGCACAAAAAAAATATTATTTTTTTGATATCCAAGCCAAGGATCTACATATTCACAATGGACGAATTCGATGCGTGTGCGTCGCAATTTTTTGGAAACTTGTTTTTTTTCCGAGCGCAAATTTAGAATTCGGCAAATATTAATATTAGTAAAAAAAAAAAAAACTTACTCATATTAAGTACAAAATATATTGTACCAAGTGCTTTCATTTCTCTAGACCGATGAACCGAACCGAGTGATTATTGATCGACGACTTCCAACAGCGAACGCGCAACGAGCTTGCACTTTTTCCTTAGATTCACTTTGGAGAGCCATGCTATTGAGGAATAAAAAAAAAAGGGGGGAAAACGTCACACGAAATCTAATAATGAGAAATTTTCTTTAATTATTCACTATATAGCTTACTTGTCTCACAATAAGAGCCAGGATGATAAATGTGTTCTTTCTTTCAATAATGGTTGTCTTTAACATATTATTTTGAAACACTAAATTCACGAAACGCGCGTCAATTCGTGTCCTCTATATATATATATATATATATATATTTACCAAATGCAGTGTGCGTCAAAAACTATAATGTATAGGATTCTGCGCTCTTTAAACTTCTCAAATAATCCTTTTAATTGCGCCTGATAATAATAGTGTTAATTTGCATCAAAAAAAAAGTTTATCTATATTCCAATTATAATTTTTGTTTAAAATCGATAATTCTAAAATCACAAAAAAAATAATTAATTAAAAAAGAATTCTTAGAATCAAAATGATGTGTCAAAAATAGAATTAACTATTTTTAAAAAATACATAGAGAATATGTAAAAGAATTTATCACATTTTGCCAAAATTACTCTTCTCTTTTTCAAAAAATCCCATTAGCAACAGAAACACGAACCGGAACTTCCGTTCCTTATGTGCGAAATTCAAAAATATTCCCGCCAAATTCGTTCTATTTTTACATTAAAAAACATTTTTTTTCAACATTAATAAAAATTGAACTTTTTTTTATTATCTATAATTATTTAAAATTGCGTCATTAAAAAAATTTGTCCACTTATACAAATTTAGAATTTAAAATGTAATTATTTTTTTAACAGTAAATTAAAAATTTTACCTTTCTTAAATTAATATTTAATTTTTCTTTATATTTACAAATCTTTTAAACTAATGAATCAAAAAAAAAATTAAATGACGTGTTAAAAAAATTGCATAAACCAAAAAAATTACTCAGACATTGATTTTTTTTATTGTTAAACTTTCCCTTCCGCGTAACATAAGTATAAATACATGGTGTATATGATAATTCTATTATACAATATTATGTCCGTATTAAACCAAATATCTGTTTCCCTGCGTAGCAGAGAATTTAAGAGAGAAAAAAAAAGAATTAATTCAAAGGATTTTTAGGATATAAAGGTATTTCAAAAAAGCAAAAAAAAAAACTCCGAAACTTACCTCTCCGTACGCTTTCTATTTCCAAAAAATTCAGTTTAAAAACATAATAACTTCCAATAATCCGCAATTACTTATTATTTTGTAGCTTACTTCATTCCTCTTCGTCTTCTTCCATATTAATAAGGTATATAGATTAGTTTTTTTTTTCCATTTTTCTTTTTTTTTAAATATAAATCGAGCCTTAAAACCGGGAGTGCACCGGTCGAATTAGTTATTAATACACTGTAACAGTCGTATTTTTTTTTTACAATATTCATACGTAAAAATCATGTAAGCAGAGATAAAATCGCAGGCGCCCTAATCGCACTCGTTTCAAAAATGAAAAGATTTTTTTTTTTCTTTTCTTCAAACACTGACAGTGAATAAAATCAATTTTTCTTAAAAAAAACATGATCATTAACTTTTCATTATAATCGCTTTTTATCCCCTCAAATTTGCATTCACTGTTAGTAATTTGAAAAAAAGAAACTTCGAATTTCAATTTATTTTCGTATCTAATCGTGACAATTAACGATTCTTCGAATTTTTTTTTTTTGTAAAAAATTGCATATGAGATCAGATTAAATTTTTTCTTCTCGAAAAAGTGAGGTGTACTAAAAAATTGTTCGAGAACACCTGAATTGCGCAGTAATGACTTTTCATCAATCAGGAAATGTGAAAAAAAAAACCTTTTTTCTTTTCTTGATTTCTGAATTGTCAATCACACGTTGTCGCTGCTGGTAAAATCAACTCGCAGTGCACAATATTTTTTCATCTTACAATCAAAAAAAAAATTCAATTTCACTGAATCACCTATGGGGGGAAAAAAAATTCATATACACAAGAACACTCGATTACAAAATGTTTTATAAAACAAAAAATACAAAAATTAAAAAAAAAATCTACACGTGATTCAATGTTTAAGCGTGATTAAGTGCAACTTTTTTTTTTAAAAGATTGTCGTTGCACACGAGTGTCAATTAAATTCGTATATATTTTAATTATACACGTAATTAAGTTACAATAGACTCGCATCTTCAGATCGGAAATCACACACGTCTCTCGCTTTTATTATATTGAAAAAATAGTCATTGAATTTTTACAAAGAACTCTAATCTCATACTGCAAAATTTGTTATAGAAATTATTTATACAATTTCGTTTTTATTTTTCCATTCCCTTTTATTTTTTTTTGCACAATGGGGGGGTGAGGTGTGAGGAGGAGGGGGAAACCTCTATATTCATACTCGATGTACAGTCGATTACTTATGTTTAAACAAAATAATCGATATCGATCACCAGCAACGACCAGAGTATATCTAGCATTATTTTTTTTTATAGTACAAAATATAGCTCCTTGCATACGCGCTTCCTGAATTCAAACTTACATTTATAGGAAAATATGTTTGCTTATATATACACAAAAGTGTATACATATATGCATACATAAAAAAATTAGTAAGGATTTATTTATTCGAATATGTAAGCAATGTAATTTTATTTTTTCAAGCTGATAAATGTGACTATACATAGAATGTTTGCATGTTTTTGTACAATTGAAATATATACACACACACTATATATTATCACTGAAGTATATAATTTAAAAAAAATGCAGTGAAAAAAAAAATTCCAAATTTCTGTTTTTAAAAAATATTCTTCTGAGCATTACGTTACATTCTTACAAATTCTGTTAAATATTGTCCTTTACTAAAAAAATTTTTTTTGCATCGAATGCATTCAGGGCCGTTAGGTTCACCTACTTTTCTTTCATTTTCATTCATCTGTTTTCAGTTCTTTTTTTTCTTTAAATTACTCAAAACCCTTTTCTTTTTTTTTTTAAAAAAATCAAATTTTAATAATTATAATACGGCCAGAGAGTTTAAGAGGAAGGAACGGATACAAGATGCTTGGATATAATTAACAACTCAAACTTCCCTTTAAATATGTTATTCTAATTTTCCTTTTTTTTTTTTACTTCATCTCTCTTCTTATCACTATTCCTAATAGTATTTATAAAAAATTAAATATCAATGAGGGGTATAACAATATCGTAATAATTAATTTAAAAAAAAAACAATATCAAATATGTTAAATTAATAATTTATTTCACAATTTAAAAAAAAAGATTTCAAAATTCGATTAGTTTAGTGACAATTTCACAAAAATTGAATTTTCCTTTCTTTACCCAAAACCCATACATCTTGTATCAGATGAAATATGAAATCATCAGGGAAATCTTTTTAATTTAATTATTTTCTTTTTTTTTGTGCACGTTTACAGATTATAATTTCTATAAAACGTTGTCATTTTCCAAAAAAAAAAACAAACAAAAATTTCTGTAATTATACGTTGCAAGCACATAGTCCGATGGTGTAACAGCGATAAAAAAAAACGTTGATATCGTAAGAAATAAACCATTGTAAAAGGAAAAAAAAAAAATATAATAAACAACGGTGGATAGAGAGGAGAAGGGAGAAGGAGTGCTCCAGGATTTTTTTTTCTTTTTTTGTTTTTGGGCATGAAGAGATTGGGAATCCGAATGACTATGACGAAACGCGTCTTTTTTATATCATTTTTTTTTTTTTTTTTTTTTTAGCGATTATTATAACGCATCAACGAGACACATGTTCGCACATCCCTACCTAGCTACAATCCCTGGTAGTGGTGCGCGTAACGGTAAACGGCTTATCGTTAAGCGAGCGGCACGGATTCCATTTATCTCCTACTTCCTGTCATCCTGATCGCATTCACGGCTTATGTGACCAGGCTTGTTGCAAGAAAAGCATGTCTTGCCTCCTGCCTCTGGGCAATTGCGTGCAATGTGTCCAGTCTTATTGCAATTGTAGCAATTTGGTGAGGAAAAGCGTCCAGAATCGTTGCCACCCTCAGGGCAGGTGCGCGCTTTATGACCAGTTTTGTTGCAAATGTAACAACACATCTCAGGCCCCTATATTAAGATATACATTTGTTTTAGTTGATTCATTCTTACCTTTTTCGCTTTAAAGAATAATATTTTTTAAAAAAATGGGTCATTTTGTTTTTATTTCGCACAAAACGAAAATCATAAATACCACAATGAACTTTGTTGTCGCGTGGCTCTTAATTGATAATTAATGCTATTAAAATAAATTTTACATAATAAATAAAAAATATTTATTATTTATATTATTTACTGTTCCTTAATATCTTCTCCGAATAATAGGCTTACTTTCGATTTAAATTTAATAAGTAATTTCATTACTTTTTCTAACTTAAAACGAAATTTTAATTAAAGAAAATAGGAACACTAAATAATAGACATAATAAATAAATATAAAATATTTATTATGTAAAACGTATTTTAATAACCACATCAATTAGCAGACACGCGACAAAATACCTTAATGAGAATTTTTTGTGACGTCAAATTTCATATTATCGAATTTCTATTTAGCTGAATTTTATATAAAGTAGACTTTATATTGAATTGAATTTTTTCATTTACGACGATTTCTACTCTGTAGCCTCAAATTAAAAATTGGTTTTGTCACTACAAAAAAACTATTGTAAAACTAAATTTTGAAAGATTCAATTATACAATTTAAAAAAATTTATTTTGTCCCGAAAATTTCTTGACAAATAATAATTATTTAACAATAAATTGAATTTTTTCGAATTATAATAATAGTTCTTTTAAATAATTTATATTATTGTCTCTTTTTTAAAATATAAAAGCATTTTTAGTTTTAGTTCGGTTTTAAATCTTCTGAATTCATATTAAACAGAATTTCTATTTATCCCAAGAAATTTTTATTTAAATAAAAATTCTGCTGTATAAAAGTGACTAAATTAAAATTCTGTTAAATAAGAAATTAATAATAATAAATAAATAATAATTAAATAAAAATTCTGTTCAATTTTAAAGTGAACTTTATAAAATTTTGCAAAATTAAAAGCCGATAATTTGAATTTTGACGAACAACAAATTTTTTTTTTATAAGTTCTGTGTGGAAATAATTTATGTATCTTGAAAAAATAATTGTTAATGTTTTTGAAGAACATGTTTACAATATTAAAATTTCATTCTAATCACGAAGATATTTTTAAAATATTCTTTTTCTCAATTTTTTTTTTAAGTTAACATAACTTAAAATTAAAAAATGTTTTTTAACGCAAAAAAAAAATATAATAAAAATTAAAAGAAAATATTTTTTATTATATTTTTGTTTGCATCAAAAAACCGTGAGAACGATTTTTTAGTTTGAGGTTATGTTACGATCATCATCCTTAACGTGAGAAATCAGAAGTTTTTTTTTTCCTTTCTTTTCAAAAAGAGATATGCGCATGTAAATTTATGGAAAATCTCAAGATGAAATATAGGTTTACATATTTTGTCATCAATACTGATAGAATGAAAATCTTAAAAACTGAAAAATTTAATAAAGAAATAAATTTAAAAATTTAGAAATTTAAATATGAAATAAATTTAAACATTAAAATATTGTTTTTTTTTAAATAATAGAAATTACACATGCTAAAAAACAAAAGCAATCAATTTGAGCAAAATAAATTGAAATGACCCTAAAAATACTATAATAATAACAGGGCGCGAACTAAAGTGAATCTTTTAAAATACTGAATTTACTGACGAGAAAAAGAAATTACTGACCAATAACGGATTAACCTTATTAAATTTTAATTTAAATTAGGTAAAATGAAAATACATTGTCAATATATTTTAAATTGAAAATAATTTTGCAAATTGAAATTTATTTTTATTATTTAGAACAATGTATATAACATTCTACCTAAAATTTATTAGTAATTAAGAAAATTATAAATAATTGAATACCTTTGAATAATAGAAATAAAAAATTTTGTTTTTTAAATTTCAGTAATCAATTTAGATTTTTTTTTTTTTAAAGAAACTTCTCTATCTGCTGAAGTTTCTTTTGTCAGCTTCTTTCCTTACTTTTGTTACTCCTTGAAGTAATGCCTTGGCAACTTCAACTTCAGTCTGCGACTGTTTTTTCTAACGCAATTTTTAATTTCTTTTTTTTTTTCTGCTATCGTACAAAATTACTGACATTTACAGACCTCGGAAAAATATACTGACTTACGGAAAATACTGACCCAGTTAGCGCCCTGTAATAATAATAATAATACTAATTATAATAATAATTCTTCAAATTTGTTTTTGGTAAAATAATTCTCTTTGGTAACAAAAAAAAAAAAATAAAATTTCAGTTTCCATAAAAACAAATTACTACTATAAAAAATTCTTAATTTTTTTTTTTTTTTGAAACCGCAAGAAATAAATATAATAATAATAAAATGAAATTAAAATATCAAAAATAAAAATTGTAATTTCCACATATTTTTTAATAATAATGAAAAATATGTGAAAAGAACAAATAAAATTTAAAAAAAAAAAAAAGAAAAGAAAATTGCGAACCTGTTGACAATCCTTTGCAATGTGTCCAGTGCCGCTGCATCGATAACAAAGATCATGATCTTCCTTGCAATCGCGAGCAAAGTGTCCAAATTGATTGCACTTGAAGCACTTTTCACGACCTCTGCTGAATCCACCATCACGATCATGATTCCTGTCTCCACGACCTCCACCTCCACCTCCACCACCACCTTGTGGGCATTCCCTGGCGAAGTGACCCATGCGGTTGCATTTATAACAAGCACTTGAACTCATTTTTAATCTGCAAAAATATTTCAATTACATTTCTTCCAAAAAAAATTTACAAGTATTTTCGAGAAATTATAATTGTTTTAAAAAAAATCCCCAATTAAATTCCATCAACATTTCTTTAATTTTCACTCACGTAAGATTAGAATCAAGATACAGGTTTTGTATCTTATTTTTGCATCATAATTCTAACAGTATTGGAATCGGAGAAAGTAACATTCACTTATTTAAAAATGCGATTTTAGAAATTTTAACTTTAATCTCGAATTTTTATTTTTTTCAAAATAAATTATTTAAACGTTAATAAAAATAATAATAATAATTATTATATTAATAATAAAAACAATTTATTAATTTAAATTGTCATTTTCTATTTCTTAGGATGAAATTTAAAATTGACGTTTAGAATAATGATTTTCTTTTTGTTTCTCATTCAGAATATTCATTGTTTTACATTTAACATTCACATTCTTTGTTTCTACAATTACCAATGAGATATTCTAGCACAATCATAACTTTTGATAAGACGTTGGCAAGGTTTCGATTCTGACTTGTTTACTCCAATCTTCAGAAGAACAATCAAGGAACTCTCTTTGTTTAGATAAAAAATAAATTCTTTACAATTCTTCTAAAAACACGCTACTTAAACATTTATATAAAATAAAAATTATTTCCAATTTGTTTTTGTGATATTTAAAAAAAAAATATCTACAAAAAAAATCTTAAAAACAAAAAATTCCAGGTTTTATTTCACAAAAAAAAAAATTTTTTTCGCAAAAAAAGGAGTGCTTATACAAATTTTCGAATTAAAATTTAGAAAAGACAAATAAACGTAATGAAAATTGAAAAAAAAACACAAAGAAACACTTGAATATAAAAAAAAAAAAAATTGCAAATCATTCAGAAAAAGTATTTCTTTTTTTGTTCATCTTACATTGCGATAAATGTGTCTCAATATTGAAAAAAAGATTGCATTGCCGGCGTCGCGATAGAGGGCTGCAAATCTCTACTGAATAAAATGGCACCGTGTTTCATGTGCACTTGGTGACTTGAGGGGGGTATGAAGGGTACACGTGTAAAATCACTTCTAGTTATTCACGAAATAAAAAAAAAAAAACCCAAAGAATATTGCGGAAAAAATAATGAAAAAATGCACAATTTTTTTAAATAAAATGAAAAATTACAAGTAATTGTACAATTTTAGACAACGTGGCTTAATCCCCACTTTGTAGAAGCACGCACATACGCTATGGAACCGAAGATGGCATCCACGAGTGACGCCGTACCACGCTTTTTTTCCCATGAAATTACAAAGCAATCATGCTTATGATCGATGAAAATAAATTATTTCCCAATGAACAAAAATAAAACAAATCACATAATTATGGAAAAATATGAATGTTCAAAGTTATTATACGGGAAAATTGAAACGTAGTAGAGACCACGTGTAAAATTCTACAACGTCCAATAATACCCGTGTGTAAAAATTAACAATTTACAATTGTAATTTATAAAGAAATTAAGACTCACCTTTATTATTCAGATAGTGATTGTTTAAGTATCTCCTCTTACGTATCTAACTGACACCAAAAGAGACAATGGAGCCGTGAAAATGAATGTTTTTCTTAAAAAAAACTTTAACCGATGCTTAACCGCACGGCTGTGGCGACCATTGACTGAAAGAGCAAAAGCCGGCCAATCCCCGCTTTCCTGCCCGCCAAAGTCCTGAACGCCACCATTTCCCCCACTATGACTCCAACATCCGGTACATTAAATACTATTCATTTATTAAAATCATAATATTTACATGTAAAATAGTAATTAATAAATGATAATATAGTTTGTGTATAATTTTACAATTATAAATAATTTACATCTTGATTGTTTAACTGAAAAAAGTATTGTGATTAGTAACTATTATGACCAAGTTTGTCCAAAATTAGTGACAATGTCCAGCAGGGATGGAAGAGTAAATTCGAGTAATTTGCATAAGTTTCTAACGGTAAATTGCATAGTTCACTGCGTTAGTTACGCAATTGAGGGCGCCACTATTTCGGCGGGATTATTTAAAAAATTATAAATAAAAAGAGTTATATTTAGATCACTAAATTTGATTGGTTCTCATAAGCTTATTTTGAACTCACCTTTAGTTCTTCAAATCAGGGATGGGTAATTGAGCAATGAGCAAATACATGCTGATGAAACGCACTTAAAGTATATTTTTCTGTAAGTTAACCTCAAATGGTTCAGTAAATTTTATAAATAATTTTCTATTATTTTAATAGTTTAACATAAAAAGAGTTATATTACAGTGTATTTTTCAAGATTCTCCAAGTTTATTATTTACGTAATCAGTGTACTATGATATTGACAATGAAAATTATTTTTTGATAAAAATCAATTCTAACCTTTAAATTTCTCTTTTTTTCCGCAAAGTTTTTTTTATATAAAATTCAATTTGAAAATGTTACGAAATATATTACAATTTTCGACGAAATTAAGAGGTATTAGTGTAATAAAAGTGACGAATACAAACTTTTACGTTCAAGTTGAGAAATATTCAAGATTTACTGGTCGTAAACATGCGGCAATTATTAACGAAGATGAACTTTTCGACGAACCCGCAGCTTCTTATCCGAATGATAGACAATCATTTAATCCTGAATTAACATCAGTCAAACGAAATAGAAAACCCACACGAAGGCAAAAAGCCGCATTGTAAATATATTAATTTATTTATAAAATACAAATATTTAAAATAGTTTTAGTTTTATCCATGAAGGAGTTTTTAATTTAGATTTTTTAATATAAATATTTATTTTTACAGACGTCATCTGGACGTTGAGGAAGATGCAGGTATTAATAAATTTAGAAAAAAGGATTATAAATCAGAATTGGATAATGGACCACTTAAGAAGAACAATTTATATACCAAATTATACGACAATGAAAAATCATTATCGTAAGTTAATATTTTAAGAAACTTTTTAATAAATATCTTTGATTTAAATTTTTATTTAATGTTTTTTAAAATTATTGAATTTAAAAATTTTTTTTTTAGAAAGTTTAAAAGAAGTAAATTCCTTGTTTTGTTTGTAGATCTTTGATGATACAAATAAAATCGAAAAAACAGAGAAAAAAGTTGAATAAAATTCTACTGGAAGGCAAACGATTAATAGCAGATGCACTTCATGCTGGATTGACTCCAGAGAAGATTATTTTTAGCCGAACTGAAGATATAAAAAAATTACCTTTAAATGATGACGAAACAGAGAGGTATAAAGTACCATATCGAACTATTCAATTATGGTCGAGTCTCACAACACCTTCTGGAGTAATGGGTAAATTATTTAAATTAAAAAAAAACACTTTGCGTTTATTTGAAACATTTTTTTTTAAATTAAAAATTAATTAATTAATTAATTTTTAATTTTTTTAAATTTTATTTAATTTACAGATATTTTTCTGTACATATTCCAATCCAATTGATTTAAAAATTAAAAATTTGTTTTTAGTTTAAAAAAAAAATGTATATCAAGAACAAAATATGTTAAATATTACGAATTTTCAGGTATTTTTGAAACTCCAAATGTTGAGAAATTTGCAGTAGATGATTCGCTGCCAATTACAATTTTATGTGACAATATTAGAGATCCTGGAAATATGGGATCTATTTTAAGGGCAGCAGCTGGCGTTGGTTGCGATAGAGTAATTTTAACTAAAGGTATTGTCAACAAATTTTTTATATGTTATTTATTTGATTATTTTATATGTTGAAAAAAATAAGATAAGCACTAAAAAGAAAATATTCTTTTTTTATTGAATTTGTAATAATTATAAAAATAATCTAATAATTTTCAGGTTGCGTTGATTTATGGGAATCAAAAGTCCTAAGAAGCGCAGCGGGTACACATTTTCGTTTACCAATTTACAGTGACAAAAATTGGTATGAAATTCGTTCAATGATAAGTCCAGATTCACAATTTATTGTCGCTGACAATCATGTTGACGATGCATTGTCTAATGATAAATTGGAATTGGAGAATAATGAGGAATTACAAATTGTCGACAATGAAAATATCGATGATGAAAATGACAAGGAAGAAAATACAATTGATACGAAAGATGGAGAATTGACAAGAGAAGATATGAGTAATAAATTGTCTATTGTTCCATATTATTCCCTCGATTATACTCAAGGGGAAATTGTCATTATCATCGGTGGAGAAACAGAAGGTTTAAGTTATTCTTCACTTAAAATTGCCAGTGATAATAATGGATATCGCGTTAATATACCATTGAATAATGGTGTTGAAAGTTTAAATAGTGGAATGGCACTAGGTATTATTGCATTTGAAATTAAAAGACAATTTTTAATGGCATTAAAAAAAGAATAAAGAAAAAGAAAACAAAAACGTGTGAAAAACACGTTTTTTATTATTCGAAGTTAGATATTAAAAAAAAGGAAATTTAGCAGTATAGGAATATAGCTTTTTAGATTTTGTATATAATTTTTAAAAGAATTTTCTTTCTCTAATAAAAATGTTATATAAATTTTCATATACCTACTTAAATAGTTATTTAATTTAATCTTGCTTTTTTAAATCAATTTTTTAATTTTTATTTAAATATATTAAAAATTTTTAAATTGATTTTCCAATAAATAATAATTTTCAATAAAAAGTTTGAATTTGTATTTCGCGGGCGTGTTACAGCGCCAAGTGTCGAAATAAGGAACTAATATAGACATTACATACACTAACCTAACTTTACGAATATTTACCGCATTTGCGAATTGCACCGGTTAAACATTGTTTTTACCGCGCAATTTTACTTCCAGTTGTAATTAAAGGTATTTAATTATTAAAAAAAGGAATTAATTTCTAATTTAAGTGAGAAGAAACATTAAAAATGACTTTCGAAAGAGGAGCTCTATTAGTATTGGAAGGATGTGATCGAGCTGGAAAATCAACACAAGTGAAAATGCTTCTTCAAGCTTTGCATGATCGTCAAATTCCTGCTGAAATAATGTCATTCCCAGGTAATTTGCAAGTTTTTATCATTTAAATCACACGTCAAATATCATATATTTTATTTTTGATTCGTTTGAAAGTTTTTATTATCTCTTTTTATAAAAGATATACCATTTTTCATTGTTGAGCAATTTTTAGGTTAGTTTGGCGGGAACTTTGTTTTGACATATAGAAAATGATTTTTTTCAGACAGAACAACGACAATCGGTGCGAAGATAAATAAATATTTATTAAAAGAAATTGATTTGGAACCTGGTGAAATTCATTCCCTTTTTTCGCAGAATCGTTGGGAAAAAGCAAATGATATGATAAAAACTCTTCAATCAGGAAAAACCTTAATCGTAGACAGGTAATATTTAATATTATATTTATTATCTAAAAATATTTATATTTTTCAAAAAAAAAAAATTTAATTTTAATTATCTCTTTGCTATGGTAATAAAATTAGAAACAGATTATTGAATTTCAAAATTTAAACAGATATGCAGCTTCTGGTGCTGCATATGCATCAGCATACACTGGAAAGGATCTTGACTGGTGTAAAAATCCTGACAAAGGTCTACCACGACCTGATCTTGTAGCATATTTAAAGGTCAGTGAGGAAAATCAAATGTCAAGAAGCAATTGGGGTGACGAGAGATTCGAGAAACGTGAAATTCAATTAAATGTTGCGGATAATTTTCAAAAACTCAAAGAAAATAATTGGAATATTATTGATGCAAATCAAAATATTGAAAATGTTCATAAACAAATTCTTGACAATGTACTGGAAATTGTACAACGTGTTAAAAATACGCAGATAAAAAAATTGTATCAAAACGACGATTAATTGAGAAAAAAGTAGGTAATTTTTTTGTTCTGTAGATAATTTTTATTATCTTAAATGTTTTCTAAATTCTATTTTTAATATTTATGAAAATGAATGAATTGTCGATAAAGACGAAATCTTTATTGTAATTTAAAAACGTCATCGTTTAATTACTGTGCAATATTTCGAAAATTTTACATAAAAAGAAATTAACAAAAAGTTTTCTTTTTCAAAAAATAAAAAATTAATTTTTGAAATATAAAACAAAAAAAAATATTATAAGAGAATGTTTTATATTCGTGAAAAAAAAGAGAAAATTAATAAAGTTTCATTGAAGTGGAAAAGATTGACTAAAGTGTAATGCAGGTGTAAATCCTAAAATATTCATTAGAAAACCTTTTGTTTCGCAGGGGAGTTTCAGCTTTCAGCACCAAAGAGGAAATGAGGGAGCTTCGACGTGCCATATTACTGTCTATGTTCGTGTGTGTATGTGTGTTTGCAATGAAATTAACTCCTACTCGCGAAGAATAAATGGAATATGTATATGCGTTTAGCATGACAAAAAAGCTGAGCTGCGAATACGAAGCCTTGAAAATGCCGAGCCCCACGTCCCACTCCACCAATCAGAGGCAAGAGTATGCTCATGTCTGAACACACATACATATATATATATAAGAACAGAAACGGAAGAACTTTCGTGTATAGAACAATATTTTTTTTTTCTTAAATAGCTAGACGAAGAAACTTCTTCGAAAGTCCTTCCGCAAACGAAGACTCCAGTTTGAATAATGATTTTCTCCTGCTTCTTTGCCGCATGTATAGTTTTTATTTTTCTGATTTTAATAGATTATATCAGTTATTCTAGTCTCTCTGAGATAAAAGATGCATGGAATTATAAGAAAAGGAAAAGAAAAAATAAGCCTCAATATTTGTATATGATATGAAATCTTTGTGACCCTAAAAAAAAAAAAAAAAAAGAATTTTTGACGAAACTACCGTTGGCCAGTTTATAGGGAAACCGTATACATAATCGGTTCTAACAGTAAAATTATATGTATAAGAAAATTTTAACGGAGTTTTGAAAATTGAAGAGAAAAATTATAAAAATTTTCTTATTTTAACAAGAATTTTAATTTAAAAAAATTTTTTCAAAATGACTTTAAATCTTTACACTTAGAAATTATTTAAAATAATTAATTTAGTTTCATTTGGAAATTTTCAATTTTTTTCAAAATAAATTAATTCATTCGAAATTATTTTAAATAATTGGATTTTAATATTGAAATTTTCTCTTCTTTTGTTTTAGATAATATCGACGTTGAATGTAATAGGATCTATAAAAATATACAGGTTTTCTAAAATTAGAAACCATTGGTATTTTTCTTATTGCTCGACATCAGAGAGATAGAGAGAAAAAAGAGTTTTTTTTTTTTTTGAGAAGGAAAATGTCTTTAAAACTGAAAATAAATGAATTTTGAACCTTGAGAAATTTTGGAAAAAAAAGGAGCGATTTAAATTACATGAGAGAAAAATTTGGTGACAATGAGAAGACGGACAGAGAATGAGAGTATTTTTTCACATCTCCATATTAATAATACAATGTTTAACGGGAAATAACAAAATTGAACGCAAGAAATGAAAGAACAAACACGACGATTATATCGATTCCTTTTTTTTTTCTTAGCCGTTGAACGTATCGTCGACCGTATGTTCACGGTGTTAAATATACCGAAAAATACCACAGATGTGTGAGTATTTTCAAAGGGTCAATTATATATAATATTTAAATTTTCAATTAGATGATAAATTACATTTAAAATAATTTCCTATTTAAATTTTTAAAGAAAATTTTGTTTTAAAAAAATTAAAAAAGGTAGATAATTTTTGGAATTAACTGACTAACTACTTTTTTTATACAATTTTTTTTTTGTTTTCAAATTATGTGGATTGGGTAATTAAATAATCGACTTGAAAAAAAAGTTTATAAAAAACTTTTTTATTATATAAATTAAATATTTTTTTTGTATTTCTATATTTTATTGAATTTATAGTAATTTTTGTTGTTGAAAATTTCCTCTTTGAGAAGTTTATAATTTATTTAGTATTATACAAATCAGCCATTTTAATCTTGGATTTGTAGGTGGAGTTCTCCTTTGATCCAGAGCGCAGCATCCCTCCGCGTGGACCACCCTTCGGATAAGGAAAATGGTGGAAATCCTTGCATCGAAATCTCCAGGTCCGTTTAGAAATCTCTTTTTTTTAAAAAAGAACCTAAAAACATTAAAAAAAAAAATTAATAGTTTTTGTCTAAATTTGAAATAGTTATAATTATTTCTATATTATTATTTAATTATTATTATTATCTCTAAATTATAAAAAAAAATTTATAATCAATTTTTTGAAACAAATTAAAATTTAGGAAAAACTTAAAGAAATTAATAATAATAATAATAACTTAATGAAATGAAAATTTTAAAAAATTAATAATTCTTTAAGAAATTCGTTTAAATGAAATTTCCGTTGAATAATAATTAAAAAATTCAGAACATCAAATATTGATTCGATGTTTTTATCTTTAAAAAAAAATGTTATCCTTTTTATTAATTTTTTTTAAAACTCGATTCAATTTTTAATTTAAAATCAGAACATATCCGGCACGAATTGGTATAAAGACTAGAAGCCATAGGGTTAATGTATAGAAAAGAGTAGAGACTTAAATATACATGTAGATATGTTAGTTTACGTAAAGCAGTGGCTCGTTATCGTTTCTTTTTAATTTTTTTCTTTTCTTTTTTTTTTTTAATTCCATTGAGGTCGGGAGATAGGGTGTTTACGCGGTTGTTCGCAACGACCCGGGGCACCCTATTCGAGTCCAACGATAACCCCTGGGGTTCGGGAGGTTCTTCAGAAGTCTAGCATTCATGTATATATAGATATATAAATGTATAACCCCGAGATCAAGATAATACGCGATCACGATTGTCGAAAAACCAAGTCCAGAGGCGACATTCGTGCGACGAGGCTTGAATATTATCTTGCCACGAAAACCTTTAAATTTGTTTTTTTTTTTTTTGCCATTTGGGTGGGCCAAATTAAATATTTTTTTTTCTACATTTAATTAACCTAGGAAAAAAAAAATTAAATCATGATTATCCCGCAAAAATTATTAATTATTAGAATTTTAAAGAATTGTTATTATAAATAATTATTTTTTAGACGAATTTTCATTTTTCGAATTGATAGAATTTTTATTGAAAATAAAGAAAAATCGATTTTTTAAAATATAAATCTTTTTTTAGGTTCAATATATATACACACACACGTAATTATATTGAAGGAGTTGCAGTTCGGCGGAAGCAAGTGGCGCGTTGTCAATGAATATGTAGGCTGGCCCTCGACCTTTTGAAGACATACATATTCACACTATTTTATATATCTATATATGTATATGTAAGCAATGTACGTATATTCCTATCTACGGGGTGTCTCATTAAATCTACACTCGAGAAATGCCGAAGGATTCTTATAAAATATATATAATATTATGTTGTATAATTAATTTTTGGACGACGACCAAAACTGGCGGAATGACTTTCACTATTCGATGATGATAGTTTTTTTTTTTTTTTTTAAAAAGCGCGTTGACGACTATTTTTGAATTTCTAATCCCGACTGACGAACACTTATCGTGAAAGAGAACGATCAGAAATAAAAATAAAATTGAATTTTAAACAAGCTCGTAATATGTGTAGATTTCATGAGAGACTCCCAACAGTTTATTATTATAAAAAAAATTATATATTTTATAAAAAGTTGAAAATTTCAAAATATTAATTATTTTATTAATAAATTGCTGTATTGATTTCAGGACACATTTCAAGGAAACATAATTATGTAATAAATTAGAAAAATTATCATCAAACAATATAGTTTGAAATAAAGAGTTGAAAAGTAGAAGAAATGGGAAAAAAAGAAATGATAGTAGAAGAATTGGAAAATATATTCATGAAGAAAAAAAAAGGTATTAAAAAAACATTTTAATGGGAATATATAAAAATATCCTTATTGAGAGTTAATGTTGATTTCTGGTTGATGTGTGTATATATAGATATATTGACGAGAACACAGGTTACGATAACTGTCTTTACCGGGGTCGTTGCGTATATATACACAACTACATATTACAATGGTCCTCCCTCGATTAACCTTTGCTTCCTGCTGTAAGACTGCAATATGTCCAATCGCCTTATCTGCTTACGTAAACTTTTTTTTTTTTCATTCTGCATTTGTTTATTTCCAACTTTCAAGATTATTATTGTTTATTCATCTTTTAAAATAGCAGTTTTTTTTTTATTTGAATATAATTTTTTTTTTTTATTTACTGATATATGTTATTAATATTATCTTACCCCTAGCAATCATTTCTAGTTTTATTATTATATATCAATTAATTCACTTGTTTTTATAGAATTTATCAAATGAGGCCTAGAATTTCATAAATATATATTATTTTTTTATAATATTTTTATAAAAATATATTTTCAATAATTTTTTTTATAAATATTTTACAAAAATTGGATTTTTAGAGATTTTTTTAAAATATAGAAGAGGAGGAATTATTTCAAGCGCAAAATGAGATGTTTTTTTTTTTATATTCTATGCCCTTAAATTAATATTTCTTTTTATTTAATTTTTTTTTTTTTTTTTAATGGAAAAGATGGAGACAGGCTTATTTTTCGATCGAAGCATTACGTCGTCGGGACGTTACCCTAGGGGGGTCAGTGTCATGTCGTGAACACGCAGAGTTCGTTGACTGTGCAGAACCACGGACCGGTTGGTCCACCCTTTCGTCTTACCCTTCGTATCGTTTCACCCGTCCATTCCTTTTCTCGTCTTTCTCGTTTCTTCTCTTCATTTCTCTCGCACCCTTTTTCTCCTTTTTTTCACAAAAAATTCTATTCCTCTTCAACACACACACATATATATAAAATAATTTTTTTTCTATTTCTTTTTAATTTTTACTGTTTTTTTTTATTTTTTCCATATTATTCCAAAATTTACTGATAACAATTTTTTTTATTAATTTGAAAAAAAATTACTAAAGTAACGTTTTTTTTTTTTGCAATATTCGCACTCAATTGTGATCAATATTTTAATTATAAATTAATAGTCTGTTATTAAGAATAGAAAAGAAATTTAATTTAAAATTAATGGACATTTTTTATTATTACAGGAAGTAGAATGGATTATTTTTCGAAATTCGTGGAAGAAATTACTTTGAATAAGGATTCAATAATTTGTCAAATTATAATGGAAATTTGCAAAAAATTTCAATTTTAAATATTGTGGAATTTATGGGCTCTTCATCTCCTTAAGTTCACCAGTAGAACAATGTGGTATGTGGTCAGACAAGCATTTATTCAATCCGAACAAATTTTTTTCTCTAAATTCTAATTCTTTTTGCACATCATTTGTTTTTTTTGTTTTTTTTGTTTAATTACAATTAGTATATATTTATTTGAGATTTAGTAATTCATTTTTTTCTGTGCACGGTTTTAATTAACAATATTAGTAAATTAAATTAATAATTA